ACATACTTTCTAGTTAATAATCTAAGTTTGATGTTGTATTTCTTATCACTGAGATTAAATATTGAATATGATTGTAATTAGTCTTTCCTTCACCCACAAACATGGGGGAAATGCAAGTCTGTATCTGGCTATTATTATTTATAAGTATATCATTATATTTCTTATCACCAAGATTAATATTGTGTTATAATATAAATAAAAAGTAAGAGAGACTGAACAAACTACACCATGAATGAGGTTGTAACTATTCTTTGATGTTTGTTGATGAATTGATAAAAAATAAAGGTAAAATTAAAATTGATCTCTTACACTGTATCAGTAACTTAATCATATAGAGGTACTGTTATGTTTTATATGTTGTATGTTTTATTTATTATTTTGTTTTATTTGAATTAAATAGTAAGCAGAAATATGTGTTTGTTTTACATGTTATTCAATTTAATCCTATTTCTAAAAGCATAAGCTGAAGTGTACCAATTAAGTAATTTATCAGAATTAATTGGTGAAAATTGGGCTCATTCATAATGTTGGTATCAATCCCACCAGAGATTTGGTTTGAAGAAGCTGAACAGATAGCTTACTAGAAAATCAAGTCTAACCAGATGCCTGCTTTAGCCTGATGCAGGGAAAGGGAACTAAGGTCTTCCTACACCAGTAAAGCAGGAATTTCGTCATATGACCTCTTGCATGGTGCCATATAAGACAACTAAAAAGGAAAATATCTTTTAATATAAAATAAACAGAGAAGAAGTGTCATTGTGCTGTCTTGAAACATGACCACGAAATCCAGATATCGTTTTCAAAGTTTTACTACAATGTGGGCACACATAACCTATCACTGACATAGCTAATTTACTTTCACTTTTCTCTGATTTTTCGGATTCAAACTCTGAATCACTGTCATCTAAATAATAATCAGTATATTCCCCATCAAACAGCTCTGACAAATTTAAATCATGCCAAGATAGAAAATCTGAATTTGATTTTTTGGTTTTTAAGGAAGTCATAGTTACATGAACATTAACACATTTCAATTTGAAAATGAGCCTACAGAAAAATTTTAGACGATTTATTGAAGGCATTATTACTCAAAAAAGGTGGGAATATGTTAATTGCTATGTTCTACTGCTAACTGGTAAACGTCTTTATAATTAATGACGCATGTGTAACATTAAATAAATGCCGCATTCATTTCTACATATATATAGGTAATTAGAGCTTATTTAAGTATTATCAAATCGGCTTGATCTAAGAGTGTGCCCTTCATTGTCAAAAACATCGCAATTAAGAAAAAAATAAATACAATCAAATCAAACAGTAATATAGCGCAATTATTGCCCCAAAGAATAAACAATTGGTTATAACACTGAGATTAAAAAAAAACTTGAAATATGGATTTGATTTAAAAGGGGAATTGCAAAAAAAACAAAATATATTTATCATAATTAACATTTTATTCCCTTAATTGTTGATTTTTTATCGTAATTTACAATATAACGGCAATGTAAACATTGATTAACGGATATCGCCGAAGTTTAACGAGAGCGCGAAAATTGGAGACTAGCGGGAAAATCCGATAATTACCGAAGCGCGCAAAGGATTGTGGGTATAGATCGGACAGTTGTTTATTTTTCGGAGTTTCTAATCCGGTGTATGTATATCTGTGAATAAACCTACCCATTTATTTAACATCTAAACACTTAATTAAAATCTATTTTTTTCTAATTTATATCAATTGATAATAAACTTACCCATTTATTTATCATCTAAATACTTTAATGATAATGTAATTATAAAAATAAAAATGGGGAGGACCTGTCTTCCTATTTGCAAATATGCAGACAGTTCTCCCCCAAAATAGGGAGAGAACCGCGTCAGGGAGGAAACGTCAGGGAAGGAACTGATAAGGGAGAGAATAGTCTGCCAGTACTTTTTACGAACTGGCGCAAATTGAACTAAATGACAAACTGTCTTACCGCCTTTGTTTTCCTCATTATTTAGCAGATTTTGAATGGCACGAATAATTTCTAACACGTACAAATGGCACAGAAACAAACCTGACACGTACAAATGGCGTGGATTAAACAAAGGGGAACAACCGAAAAAAAGGTGGGGAAAATCCCGGGATCCGGAGGCGCGTTCAACAACGTGAGTGCTCGTTTAAGTGAAAACTAATCGGAATATACACTATATTTGTGTTGATTATTGACGTAATGAAAGGCGATTAACGTTAAGTTTTTATTTTTTATTGTATGTAATGAACAGTAAAATAATTTAATTTAGGATATAATATATTTAGAGCTATTTAATTATTAACAAACTTAAAATGCGGAAATCACAATACTTATAATTATAGGCCTAATTAATTTGAAATTCTTGAAATGGTCAAATCCCGTGATCCCTATATGTTTTAATACGATCCTAGCTGTTCTGAAAACTATATTCTTGAACTGGCCAATTCGCGGGATCCCTATATGTTTTAATACGATCCCCGATTTTCTGAAAACTATATAGTCTTTAACTGGTTAATTCCCGGGATCCAGGGCTTATGTTTGAATACGATCCCGGCTTATCTGAAAAATATCTTCTTAGACTTGTCAATTTCTGGGATCCCTATAATTTTTAATACGATCCCGGCTTTTCTTGCTGAATTGATAATTGTGTTTACTTTTTCTTATTGCATATTAGCACTCTTGATGCCCAATATACAACGACTTCCATTGCCATTACATGTACTTACAATATTAAATAAGATTTTGTGTGACATACTGAGGTCAATTAATTAACGCTTTTGTCTGTGAAAAATATACTTTATTTTTAAAGATTTTTTATAACTACTACAAATCAAACTTATTCAGAAATATGTACAGAAACATTCAAATGATAATAATAATTAATAATAACACGGATTTATTGTAATATAAATCCGTGATAATGATAATAATAATACACCGAGAGTAGGTGGTCGATTCCCGGGATTGCATATATATGTTTAATACGATCCCGGATCCCGGCTTTTCTATAGGCGATCCATGGATTTTGAGTTATTCCCTGCGGTCTGGAGACCGCAGGGTATTGGTACGCGTTTAACTTTTGAGGCATGGAGGAGCACGTGACCTGTTTTCGCCACAACAACACTTGGGACAAGACCTTTCAGTCGACCACACTAACCTTGACCTTCATCCATAAATGACCTTGACCTTCAAGGTTAAAAGTCCAATTTTTGCTTGTTCATGCTGTTATTGGCTGTAACTTTGTTATTTTTGAATGGATTGTCTTCAAACTTGAACATAATAATCTTCAAGGATATCCCTTGAAAATAACCAGCCAGACCTTGACTCATAAACCACTCATAAATGACCTTGACTTTGAAGGTCAAATTATTGAAATTTTCATTTTTTGGCTATTATTGGCTGTAACTTTGTTATTTTTGAATGGATTGTCTTCAAACTTGAACATAATTATCTTCAGGGATATCCCTTAAAAATAACTAGACAGACCTTGACCTTCACTCGTAAATGACCTTGACTATTTTTGAATGGATTGTCTTGAAACTTGAACATAATAATCTTCAAAGATAACTGTTAAAAATATACCGAAAGACCTTGACCTTCACTCATTAATGACATTGTCTTTGAAGGTCAAATTATTGACATTTTCATTGTTTTGGCGGTAACTGATTGTAACTATATTATAACAGAACATTCTTAAGGACCAGACCTTGTTGTTTATCAAACCATAATTTGCTTGGGCTCTTTAATGACCTTGACCTTGAAGGTTAAATTACTGAATTTTCTCAGATTTGTTCATTAAATGACCATAATTATATATTTATTGGTGTGTGTGTGTATATATATATATACATACATATCTATCATCATCATCAACAACAACAACAACAACAACAACGTGTTTCTATTTATAGAATTGCGTCATGTTTCTATTTATAGAATTGCGTTATGTTTCTATTTATAGAAATTGCGTCATGTTTCTATTGATAGAAATTGCGTCATGTTTCTATTTATAGAAATTGCGTCATGTTTCTATTTATAGAATTGCGTCATATTTCTTTATATAGAATTGCGTCATGTTTGTATTTATAGAAATTGCGTCAATTGCGTCATGTTTCTATTTATAGGAATTGCGTCAATTGCGTCATGTTTCTATTTATAGAAATTGCGTCATGTTTCTATTTATAGAAAATTGCGCAATGTTTCTATTTATAGAAATGGCGTCATGTTTCTATTGATAGAAATTGCGTCATGTTTCTATTTATAGAAATTGTGTCATGTTTCTATTTTTAGAAATTGCGTCATGTTTCTATTCATATATATATACTACATGTATATACAAAATAGATAAACAAAACTAATGTGACAAGACAGACCAACTAAATTTATAAAAAGGAAACGTTAAGGTATGTTCAAACCTTTCTATGTTTGCTTTTAGAAAAAGTAAAAAGTCGAGCGTTGCCCCCGCCTGGCGGTGGCTCTTGTTATAGTTTTATAGCAATTTGAACTTGTAACCGGGAGACTTTTCAATGAAAACAGCCATTTTTCACAAAATGCTCATGAAGTAATGGGTTAAATTAACCTCATTTTACGAGTCATTGACCACTCGACCCCTGGTAGTGCCGATAATCAGTTAATTAACTCGGTTAGAAAAAAGTCTCGCCAAATCAGGCAAATGTCCCCGTTATTCAGCCACATGCACCCTACCCCACGAAAATAAGAAGCACCCATTGACCCGGGAGTACGATACACTCAAGGGGCTTTGGTTACAATGAATCAGTAACTGGTGAATAACTTTGAATAACTACCGAAGATGATAATATTGAATGATATTGAATCAACGCAGATTAAACATAAAAGTTTCGCTACTAGGCTTACAAAGCGAAATGTGAGGGTGGAATAATAATTGATATATTGCAATACAATTGACCAGGGTTACACAAGAAATTTCCAATATTTCAGTATGTTTGCAATGACTAACACAATGTGTTTAACATTTAACTATTTTGTGACATCGTTAAGTAAAAAGTCGTTCTTACAAGAGAATAGATTTAAAAGAAACGACAATGTTCAATGAACATCGCGAAAATATGTTACATAGGCGTTATTGTGCCGTTAAATTATTGTTTCTAAATAAATTTTCCAATTGTCACGCTGTTATGGAATGTGTTCAATATGATTTTTATTTCCACTGATAATAACACCAAGTAAGTGATTATTAATTCTTCATTGCCGATATTATTTTACCAAATGTCTGAACACCACCTGAATTTCCGTTACCGAGGTTTTCCTCATTCGGATGAGCGCCATATTTGTTGAGGTAGTACAATACATTACACATTATTTAATAAGGTTACATTGGTGTTTTGGAATTGAGTTGATACTATGTTTAAGATTAAATAGAGACATTAGTAGCAATCAATATGATTTGTGTGAGAATAAATGGTAATAGAAGCTTGCAAAATACGTTTTCGCGACATGTTGTTAACAAAAATCTGAGTGCCCCGCAATTTTCCACCGAATTTGTGCGTAAGTAGGGTTTTTTCTGTTTGATGATTTGTGTACTAGATTTGTGTGTTATGGTATTTATCTGAAATAAAATGCTATGAATGTTGAATGATATGTTGAAAAAATTGTTCTAAGTTTTTAGTAAAATATTTGAATTGGGGTCAGCTCAGCCCTAAAACGTCACACGGCCCCCGAGTCAGCTCGGCCCTATTCCAACTCGGCACGGGTCAACTCGGCCCATTTTTCAATTTATTTTATATTCACTCTTTATTTTTGGAACCACATAATTAATATCATGACTTATTCATGCACCAATGTGGAAAGATGTTTTCTTAAATTATAGTTGCAGATGTTTTCTTTAATTATAATTGCATTTTTGGTAATGAAAGAGTTTTCAATGATTTGGGTTATAAAGACTAATATTAACAATCATTTGGACATTGAAAAATACATTGACCTTTACGAAAACCTAGCTAAACACCGTTTTCCGGTACGTTACCGATTTAGCTCTGGGGAATTACACCAAATGAAGTACATAACACAGTAACATGATATTGCTATTTTTCTATCATTATTTTAATTACCGTTTAAGGTGAAAAAATTGATGTATTTGGAAATTATCAATATTCTTTTTATATCTATTGGAAAATTAAATAAAATTAAAACAGACGTAGTGGAATCTTCCATAATAAATAAGGTTATTTTCTGCGTAAATTTGTGTATTTACTTTATTTTTTGTATGGAATTATTCATACAATGATATTTAATTATTTTCTTACAAATAAATAACAGTTTAATTTCAATTTAATTAAAAAAAGGCCGAAAATATCGAGTTCGCTATTACACTCCATTAAGTTATGTACAGAAAGTACTGGAAAACGACATTTAGCTAGGTTTTGGAATTAGTGAATTGCATGTTAATAAATGCATTATGTTGCTTTATGTCTATAAGATAATTAAAGAACAAACATTTAAAAATATTTTATATTATATAAATAAATAAACAAGTTTTTATTTCATATTTTATTGAAGATTACTTTACAAGCAAAAAGCATCAAAGGAAACACTGTATTATCATAATTTTTAACGAATCTGCAAGAATGAAATTATTAATTTTACAAATTTTTCTAAATCCAGAAGTACACTGCACATTTATATAATAACATATACCAGATATTAGTGATGTAAAATCGGTCGTCAAGCAGAATCGATAATCAAATTCAATCGGACTGGTCATTTGGATTCACAATCGGAGAATAATCAAAAGCTAGGCATTTTCGTAACATTTGTGCTCACAGCCTTGCATGACAGCATTATATAGTACAGTTTATTATGTATTTGAATAAATTCTTCTTAGTCATAAAGGAAAGACATACAGTGTAAATAGTGAAAAGTCTGGACAAAAACTATATTTTTAAACATGTTAATTTGTCGGTTATTGTTTTTTCTTAACGAAATATGTGGCTTAAAAGATTACACTCGTTACATTGCTAGTTACAATTGGGAAATAAATCCATGTATATCATTATATGTCTGTAGACTGTAAGAAAAAAAGTATAATGTTGTTGTTTAAAAAATTCAAACACAAACATGTTTAAACTTGCTCTTTAAATAGGGATTTTTTTATGCATTTTTTCAGCTACAAATAAGATTGTCATCATGAATAAAGACAGCTTCCACTGTCAAGGTAGAACTATTGTGATATGATTTATATGAATATGTTGGCTTTAAATGATTTCAGAGAAATCTCTTGACCTTAATATGGAAATTTTGAACAGCCATTTTGGGAATTTAAACATTGGAAATTGGGAATTTTAATGTCTATTTTCTATTGGGAACAGTACCGTTTTAGGGTAGTAGGGGCCTAGTTATATAAAGGGAAAAAAAACACTGAGTTTACTCACTTAACTGTTATCAATGTTCAACAAAATCTACATACAGTAACATAGCTTTAACTTTACACAACTTTACATTCCAGTTATGTCCAGTCCCATGAAATAATAATCAATTATTTTACATTCACTATTGATATTCGGCAACCTCGGACCAACTCATCAATTAATCAAGTTAACTCGATAATCGTTTCATCACTACCAGAATGATATATCTTTATTTTACTTTTAAAACAGCTTGCCTTGATAACATGCAAGTTATCATAAAAATTTAATATGTTTAATATGATTTTTTTTCAAAAGGCGCCATTGAAGTTGACCTCTGCCGAGTTGATCCGTGCCAAGTTGGTATTGGGCCTAGTAGTCCTATAAATATGACATCGTTTGAGATATTTTTGCTTCTGGGCAGGCTTGACCGACATAAACTTTAACAAGCCTGTAACGTCTAATATATTGGACTAAGGGCCTAGTTGACTCTTTTACCAAATATTAAGATAGTAGCCCTTAGTCTTAGATACTTTACAGTAGCCTTAAATTAAAACTGGCCTGGACTGTAGTTCCATAATACTGGTAAAACTATTTTAAGTGTCACTGAAATTGTTATTTCCACAGAATGGGATATTTGTTATAGGCCTAATGATCATCTGAACCAAAAATAAAGATCAATTTAAATCTATATTCGATAATCTCCCTTAGTGCTAGCATTACTATGAATGAGGCAAAGCTTCAAAGCGAGCTCTTTGACAGAAATCATAGGGCCATCCTTAAAAAAATGTTTGTTTGCAGTAACCCGACCGACTCACAAAATTTGCCCCTACTCAAAATTTTTTTTCATGGTCTGGATAAAAATTCTTTTTTTTTTTAATCAGAAAATTATGCCTTGTGCTTTGTTTTCGTTCTTTTAAAGGTTAATAGAAGAAATAAAAAAAATAAAGATCAATTTAAATCTATATTCGATAATCTCCCTTAGTGCTAGCATTACTATGAATGAGGCAAAGCTTCAAAGCGAGCTCTTTGACAGAAATCATAGTACATTATAATTTAAACCCATCGGTGGCTACACATTTCATGTTTTTAATACACATAGAACTGCACACTTTAGGCCGCACTCAACACAATTATCCACCGCCGATGGAATCGGGAGGGGGATATAGTTTTGGCGTTGTCCTTCCGTCCATCCGTCCGTCCGAATTTCGTTTCCGGAGTAGTTCTCTGCAACTACTGGCTGGAATTCAACGAAACTTTATGGGAATCATCAATATCAAGAGGAGATGCGCATATCGTCGGCTTGTTCCGGTCCGACCCTTTAACTCAGAGTTATGGCCCTTGATTAGTTATGTAGTATGCATAAAAAATCGTTTCCAGAGTAGTTCTCTGCAACTACTGGCTGGAATTCAACGAAACTTTATGGGAATCATCAATATCAAGAGGAGATGCGCATATCGTCGGCTTGTTCCGGTCAGACACTTTAACTCAGAGTTATGGCCCTTGATTAGTTATGCAGTATGCATATGGAGTAAAAATCGTTTCCGGAGTAGTTCTCTGCAACTACTGGCTGGAATTCAACGAAACTTTATGGGAACCTTCAATACCAAGAGGAGATGCGCATATCGTCGGCTAGTTCGGGTCAGACACTTTAACTCAAGAGTTAAGGCCCTTGATTAGTTATGCAATATGCATATGGAGTAAAAATCGTTTCCGGAGTAGTTCTCTGCAACTACTGGCTGGAATTCAACTAAACTTTATGGGAATCATCAATATCAAGAGGAGATGTGCATATCGTCGGCTTGTTCCGGTCAGACCCTTTAACTCAGAGTTATGGCCCTTGATTAGTTATGTAGTATGCATATAGAGTAAACATCGTTTCCCCACTACTTCTCTGCAACTACTGGCTGGAATTCAATGAAACTTTATGGGAACCTTCAATACCAAGAGGAGATGCGCATATCGTCGGCTTGTTCGGGTCAGACACTTTAACTCAGAGTTATGGCCCTTGATTAGTTATGCAGTATCCATATAGAAAATTATTTGTTTCCTCGCTACTTCTCTGCTACTACTGGCTGGAATTCAATGAAACTTTATGGGATATTAAGAGGAGATGTGCATATAGTCGCCTTGTTCCAGTCAGATACTTATAACTCAGATTTATGGCCCTTGATTAGTTATGTAGTATGCATACATCTCATTGGCATTTCCAGATTTTACTATTTAACACAGTTATGGCTCTGTTATTGCCCTGAATATTTATCAAGTTCAAAGAATATTACTGTTTATGCCATGATTAATATATAAATAAAGCCTTATGTCTTCAGTTGTTGTGTTAATAATAACCAGTACTCGGCGGGGGATATAAATTCAACGAATTTGCTTGTTTTATTTATTTTGACCTCCTTATAGTTATTAGTCCCCTACCGGTTTAACCGGAGGGGACTTTAGGTTTACCCTCCGTCCGTCTGTCTGTCTGTCCGTCTGTCTGTCTGTCAGTCCGTCAGTCCGTCCGTCCACAAAACTGGATCCCGCGATAACGTAAAAAGTACTGAAAATATTTTTATGAAACTTGATATATGGATAGATGGCAGTATGGAAATTATGCACGTCTTTTTTTTTTCTTCCTATGTTGAAAATTCTGGTTGCTATGGAAACAAATAGTCTGAAAATATGGCAAATTTAACACATAAACTGGATCCAGTGATAACTCAAAAAGTACTGAAAATATTTTTATGAAACTTGAAATATGGGTAGATGGCAGTCTGGAGATTATGCACAACTTTTTCTTTTCTTCCTATGTTGAAAATTCTGGTTGCTATGGCAACAAATAGCCTGAATTTCAAGATTTCTGATTTAAATTTTTCAGCTTTTTCACTATATCTTCTTTATTTCTTAAGGTGTTTACTTCAAACTTTAAATATAAGTTTCTGGTCATCAACCACATCATATGTGACAAGGTTTATAACTCTAGCACAAAAAATATCAGTATTACCTCCCTTGAACTTAGATTTTTTAGGGGAAAAATGTTGTCTTTTTTAAATAACTTCTTTATTTCCTAATGTATCTACTTCAAACTTCATATATATGTTTCTTATTATCACTCGACATTTTTGAGAAGGTTAAATACTCTAGCAAGACTATTTCCAGATTTATGTCCCCCTTGAACTTAGATTTTTTTCGAGAAACTGGTTTTTTCACTCCAACTTCTTCATTCCTTATAGGATTTACTTTAAAATCCCACATCGTAATAATATGACAAGGTTGTATAAACATAATTTCCTTACTAAGCATGGAAACTTAACACATTACTGTGATATAGACAAACTTATTTTATTATGTTTTGTGGTCGATATTTTCAAATACAGACTTCATCCTCAAATTCATTATAAATGGCAATACACAGGAGTGTATGACAATTAAAGAACTTTTTGAGGGACCGGTAGGGGACTACTGTATTGCCCGCAATACTATCAAATGCTTGTTTACATAGGTTGTTAGATGTCCAGCCAGAGCATGCCTTTTTCTTGTTTTAGAAAATGACCATAGGTATGTTAGATATACAAAGTTGTGTAAGTAAGACTAACTTTGTTTAAAATAGAGAGGATAGAATCTTAATTATGGCTAATTTGAATTTTATTTCTAAATACACGTATACAGTGATCAAAATAAGTATGGGCTATGATATGTTTACATGTATTGAAGAAATCAAAGATGGTCGGATACAAGATAAGTCATGCAAAGCAGGCTTAAAATATAAAAATTAAAATAAAGAAAATGTTGATTTTTATTAAATTTAATTTTATCTGAATACACTTAGCGACATTGTCATTTGAAATATGTATTCAAACAATATTTCATCCTTGATTCTGTTCTTGGTCAACACAAGCTATGTTTTTTTTCCGTCCTAAAGCATTTTGGTTCTGAACATATAGCTTTACTTTATTTTGTTCCCGTACTAAAATTTACATTTAAATTTTAATATTGTTTGATGGGGCTATATATGAATCACTTTGTCCGATCCTGTTCTGTCCCGTCCCTTTCCATTTTGGAAACCGTGATATTAACTTGAAACTTGTTTTGATACACTATTAAATAGAACACCATACAGCTAACTCCTTAAAATGTTACTTGTTAGTTCACTACCATGCGGTCGAGCCAACTTTTATTGATCAGACAGATGATCATACCTGCCACATAACAAAAGGCATTTTCAGTTTGCGCCCCTCCACTATGTAAATGTAAAATTAATATCAAATGTCAATCAAAACTAAACCATTGTGTGAACTATTCATTTTGTTAATTTTGTTGTCATATAATTATATGCAAGGTTCTCAATGACAGCAGGCTACAGGCCAAAATGACTGGCTGAAATCATCATTTGGCCTGTTTGGGGATGTGCTCCCTTCTGTTTGGGGGGTTTGAAGGGGGGCGGAAGAAACCAAGAAAATTTTGGACATGTGACAGGCTAAAAATGGCCTCGGGTGGATCGTAAGGTAACATGTAACCAACGAGGAAAAAAAGCCTTTTTCTCTAAGTTGCAGCACTTTCATATCAGTTTTGATGGAAAAAACAATGCAAAATAGTGATTTTTGGCAATTTTGAGACATTCCCCATTGCCAATGTTACAGGAAATTTAAGATTGGGCATGCTATTACATAGGCTATGGTCCAGTTTAAGATTGGGCATGCTATTACATAGGCTATGGTCCAGTCAACATTTGTGCCAAGTTTCATCAGTACTGAAGCATTTTTCATAGTTTCATAGCAGTTTGAACTTGTTACAGGAGGCTTTTCAATGAAAACGGCCATTTTCACAATATGGTCATGAAGGAAAGCCTTAAGGGTTAAAGAACTTCCTCCAAGCTTGGTGTTATTGGTCATTTCTTTGGCAGCTCTTGTTAATACTGTTGGATATGCAAAGTCAATTACAGGTGAAAGTTATAGTAAACAAGCTTTTGAGGAAACTCAAAGGTCCTAAAATAATGACATGTAATGACATTGCATCAGTTTCATGTTTTATATTTCCTCTCCAAATAAAATCAGGAGGAGGTGGGGGGAGTATTGAAAAGGGATCACTCCTTTCCAGGCTGTAATAAGCTTAAATTGTATGTATAGATTTTAATATCACTTGATACAAATGTTCACCACCATAAGATGTAGTGATTGTAATTCTTGATAACAGTGACACTTTAAATGAATGTCCAAATGTGGTAACGGCTATTGTTTAGGATTTTGATAGTTATTGTAATTTTTTTCTTTTTTTTTCAGGTTAACAATTCAATTTTAATGAAAGGTGGAAATGGAATATTGGTAATCCAGATGGTGAGATGGTTGAACCGGGGGCTACTGAAAGTATAGAAATATCAGACGACATTGATCAGCCAAAAGACTGTAAAGAAGAAACAGGAATGCTGTTAGGAAGAACTTCAGACAGTTATGATAAATGTGATGAATTTGATGATTTTGTTGATGGAGATGTAAGTACTAAGGTTGGTATGGATACAGATCATACAGATTGTGAAATAACTGGTATAATTGTGAAGACAGACGAAGGTACTGAGCAGAGTATTTCTGCAGATGTTATAGCACAGATCGACTTTGAAATTGCCAAGTCCTTAAAGGAAGCGTTTTCAAAAATTGGTGATTTTGGATTAAATAATAAATCTAAAGTTGGGAGCAACAGTTTCTTCCTTGATAATAAACTGCCACAGCATAGAAATGAAAAGCTATGGCAAAGGACCAGTGATGAGGTTAAAGGGTCTGACTTAACCTTATCTCAAATGACTAATATACGTAAAAAGACTACAAGTGATTTAAAGGAACTGAATGGGTGTTTTCAAGATGATCAAATTTCTTCATCAGTCAAGGACAGTTTTCTTCAAAGGAGCACCAAATGTGGGAATGATGCTCTAGAGTCTATATCATCTGAAGATGGTCATGCAGTTGACAATCATTCTGTTGATGTAGACCTACCTGATATTGTTAAAGAAGATTGTTCAACTGACAGAGGCGATAAACTGGAAGGTATGCATTTACACCTCAGGTTTTTAGCTTGACTATAGGAAGTATATGGAGAGCTGTCCTACTCACTCTGGCGTCCGCGTCCAGAAGTTTTGGTGCAGTAAAATATTTTTCACTATAACTTTTTCGTTTCTTGAGGTATCAACTTCAAACTTCAAATATATGTTCTTATCATCAACCTTATCATCAACCACATCTTATGTGACAAGGTTTATAACTCTAGCACCAATATTTTCAGATTTATCTCCCCTTGAACTTAGAATTTACCATAAAAAATACTATTTTTAGCTTGCTCATGGTGAGCTCTTGTGATCCCCCACCGTCCGTCACTGTGCGTCGTCAACAATTTCTTTAAACAACAACTTCTCAGAAACCAATGACTGCACAGTAACCAAACTTTACAGGAATGATCCTTGGGTGATCTCCTGCCAAAGTTGTTCAAATGGTTCCGGTCTGTTGCATAAGTAGGTCACGGGGCCAGAAAAGGAGTTTAAAAAATGCAAAATTAAAAAATCTTCTTGTCTGAAAGTACAAGGCTTAGAGCTTAGAATTTGGTATATAATATTATCTATAGGTCCTTTACTAAGGTTGTTCAAATTATAGCCCTGGGGTCAAAATTGCCCCCGCCCCAGGGGGTCATAGGTTTTTCTTATATGTATATAGTAAAAACTTAAAAATCTTCTTGTTTGAAGATACAAGGCTTAGAGCTTAAATATTTGGTATATAATATTATCTATAGGTCCTCTACCAAAGTTGTATATTATTGAAATCCCTCTATGCATGTAAATAACTTTGCACAAATGTTCACTAGTGTGAGGCGGAGTGTTGCATGCAAAATTTAGGTCCCTGCAGCCAAGGTCAAAGTCACACATAGAGGTAAAAATTCAGATAAAAATATAAAAATGTGTGTAGGGACCATTTAGTCATTATTTTTTGAGGGTTTGAAACTTTAATGGTCATTATCATGACTATTGGTGTGAAACATGTAATTTAGATTAATATATGCATGGTCAAGGTCACTTAAGATAATTGCCAAGGTCACTAAAGATGATAAAATAGAGAGATTTTGTCCAGAGCATATCTCCTACACATATGGAAGGATTCAATGAAACTTCATATAAATGTTCACCACTATGAGAAGCTGTGTCGCGTGCAGGCCTCTAGGTCAAAGGTCACACTTAGAGATCATAGAAAACTGCTTGTCCGGAGCAAAACTTCTACATACATTGAGGGATTTCAATATAACTTGGCACAAATGTTCACTATTGTGAGTGTCGAGCACAGAATTTAGGTCCCTGCGGCTAAGGTCAAGGTAACACAGGGGTCAAAGTTGAGATAAGAAAATCACTGGAGATGATAATATATCCAGATATTGCCCAAACCATATCTCCTATATGCATATCTATAATGCCCACATCTCTGTCAAAAGCTTCTGTGACGGGCGTATATTGCGACAATGATGCCCTTGTTTGGAACTGTTGTTCTCCCTTTGCAATAGCAACCTGCAGTAATGTTTTTACTCATGCATTATTTCAGATACAAATATGAACTTTTGGAAATCTGTTTTAGATTTAGATTTTATATCTGCTTTTGTTCAGAGATTACAATATTACTTGTTCCTTGTCATGGAGAGTTTTATATTCAGGTGAGCAATTTCTAGACCATCGTGGCCCTCTTGTTAAATAACCTTGCATTTATGTCTTCCACATCTGGCCTTCTTGTTAAAAAACCTTGCATTTATGTCTTCAATAACATGTCACGTCTAAGACCATTATCCTTACCTTCAAGTTCAAGGTCAAATTTATAGTTTGAAGGTACACATTTGTGTCCGCACTGTAACTTGTCATGCATTGAAAATCTTTAAAATAACTTGGTTCAAATGGCTCATATGTTACCACATCAAGACAGCATGTGGTGTCTAAGGCCCATGTCACTACCTAAAATGTCAAGGTCACACTTAGAGGTTGAGGTCTGGACTGTAACTTTGTCATGCATTGAAGGATTTTATAATAACTTGGCACAAATGTCTACCACATCAATATGACATGTTGTGTTTAAAGCCCATGTCACTACTAAAATGGTCAAGGTCATTCTTAGAGGTTGAAGGTACATATTCATCTATTGACTATAACTTTATCATACATTGAGGGATACAGTAAAAACTCTGAAAACCTGACCCTCTAAAAACCGGAATCCTCTGAAAACCGGACCATTTTATTTTCTCCCTATATGTTCATTGAAAAAAATCCTCTGAATACTGGAACCTCTGAATTCCAAAAACCGGACAAATTTCTATGGTTTCTAATGCTAAACATGCATAAAAAACCTCTGAAAACCGGACAGCAATTGAAAGTGTCAACTTTCTGTGTATTTTAATGTAGATCTAAACATAATCTCAACAGGTGACATGTTCAAATACCAGGTAATGGTCATCTCCTTTTATCTATGCAGGTATGAAAACACTTGTCAGTGTATTGTTAATTTCTTATTGTCAATTAAATTATAGCTCTTTTAATATATTTGTGTCTTTCCTGGTATAGATATGATTTTTATGCCACCGCAGCATCTGCGATGCGGTGGCATATAGAGATTCACCTGTGTGTGTGAGTTTGTTTGTTTGTGTGTGTGTTATATAGATTATATAGTGAACTTAAAAAATCTTCTTGTGAAAAACCACTAGTCCAATTTCAACCAAACTTGGCAGGATTCATCCTTGGGTGAAGGGCTTCCAAAGTTGTTCTAAGAATTTCATTCCATGCAGAAATCTGGTTGCCATGGCAACCAAAAGGAATTATAAGAATAAATTTAAAAAATCTTTTAAAGACCCAAAAGGCCTAGAGCTTAGATATTTTGCATAAGGCATTGTCTGGTAGACCTCTACCAAGATTGTTCAAATTATAGCCCTGGGGTCCAAATCGGCCCCACCCCGGGGGTCATTGATTTTCACTATATGTACATATAGTAAAAACTTAAAATACCCTTTTGTCTGAAGGTCCAGGGTTTGTGGTTTGATATTTTGTATGTGCTATTATCTACAGGACTGGTACTCTACCAAAGTTGTTCAAATTTTGCCTCTAGTGTCAAAATCAGCCCCACCCCAGGGGTCATAGGTTTTTCTTATATGTATATAGTAAAAACTAAAAAAATCATCTTCTCTAAATTCACAAAGGCTAGAGGTTAGATATTTTGCATGAAACATTGTGTAGTGAACCAAAATTAGCAAGATTGTACAAATTATAGCCCTGGTGTCAAAATTGGCCCCACCCTGGGGGTCATTGATTTTCAATATGTACATACAGTAAAAAATAAAAAAAACATATTGTCTGAAGGTACAAGGCTTAGAGCTTTAATATTTGTTATATGATATCATCTATAGGTAGTCTACCAAAATTGTTCAAATTTTGCCTCTAGTGTAAAAATTAGCCCCGCCCCAGGGGTCATAGGTTTTCCTCATATGTTGTATATAGTAAAAACTTAAAAAATCATCTTCTCTAAATTGACAACGGCTAGAGGTTAGATATTTTGCATGAAACATTTAGTAGTGAACCTCTAGCAAGATTGTACAAATTATAGCCCTGGGGTCAAAATTGGCCCCACCCCCGGGGGTCATTGATTTTCACTATGTACATATATTAAAAAAATCTTATTGTCTGAAGGTACACTGAGGCTTAGAGCTTTGATATTTGGTATATGATATCATCTATAGATACTCAGCCAAAGTTGTTCAAATTTTGCCTCTAGTGTCAAAACTAGCCCCGGCCAGGGGGTCATAGGTTTTCCTTACATGTATATAGTAAAAACTTTAAAAAAAATCATCTTGGCTAGAGGTGAGACATTTTGCATGGGGGTCAAAATTGGCCCCGCCCCTGGGGATCATTGATTTTCAGTCACTATGTCATAAAGTAAATCAAAGTGCTGCAGCACTGAATGCGACGGACATGCAACCGGAGAGACATTAAGCTTCTTTTAGAAAAAAAACAAAACAAAACACAAAATATATAACAGAGAAAATTTGTTCCATACTAGTTCGAGATTTGTAGAGCAATATATTTTGTGTCCCAAATTGATATAATTCAGATTTTCGATTTCAAGCACTTAAATACAGAATGAAATTTATGCCTAAAAACTCTGGTCAAACTTGTAAATCAGTGTCCTTATCGATTTATTCAAAGAAATGATATGTAAATAGAAAAAAAACTATCAACGAAATCTTTCTAGAATAAATCCAGGCAAATAAACTTCAAACATAATACATTATACATTTGAGAATGCTATTTAGAATTGCTTCGTGTTATATCATAGTAGGCATACAGACAATAAAATATAAGTCATTTGTATTTTTATTTCTCTTGGATATGTCTCATTAAAAAAAAAAATGGTTAAAATCATCAGCAATTAATAGTGTATTTCTTAGAATTTTTTTATTTACAAGGTAAAGATGTAGAGGCCAGATCGAGCACATCGTTTTTCTTTTAATTTAAATGTCACTTAAGCACTACAGTGTTTAGTTGTCCTTTTCAACTTCACACTAAATTCCATTTTCAACTAGTTTGCTTCTTACAATTGTATAGCATTTCTAAAAGTATTGCATTACAATCCGCTGGTTTATTAATTACATGTTTAATGTGTACTTCCTAATCGCCTGTCCAAAAATCAGAACAGGTGAAACAGAATCTATTTTTAGAATAGCGAAGGTTAACTCATATCATGACCTCGTAAAATATGTAAACAAACCACAAGAATCGGAAGTAGAACTGATATTATAAATTCCTTACCATGAAAGACTACATGGCGGTAAAGTGTCTTACATGCATTTTCGAAAATAGATATTTATACTAACCATTGTACTGTATCTAATATATTAATAACTGCTGAATATTCAGCTAAACCCGCGGTATGAGTCACGAAAATAGTTCTTCTTTTATTAATGCACGAGTTATCCTAGAGTCACGAAAAACTTTTGATTTGTTAATAATAATGTTTTGTTTAATGTAGAAATATTTATTTCCTACTAAAAATGTCTTGGAACTCAGAGGTTACACCTTTATTGTAGTATAATTTGCTGTCCTACTTTTTCGACAGCGGTAAATCGTTTCAGCAGTAATTTGCATATTGCGCAATAATACTACGGGACTACAACGTTTTTATCAATAATATACGTTCATATCTTAACTTGGATAACTTAATTTGAAATTGAAAAGGCTTAATATGGAAGACATTAAGATATCCAGACAAAGTATGGGAGTTTTGAAGGATCAAATTCATGTACTATTTCTTGGGCTGTTAATTGGTTTAGGACGCATTGCGCGATAGTAGCCAACGAAATCCCATGTGTAGATGACTTAGCTCTGAACGCGCCTGAGGGCGCGTCCGTCGCAAAAATTAAAAATCTTATTGTCTGAAGGTACTAATCTGATAATAACAGATAGGTAAGTGATCAATGCATTATGGCAGTCTGTATAGAAACAAAAAAAAATTGTGTTCCTACATTACTATTTAGTGTTGTATTTATGCGGTGGCATGGCATTTTTAGCTCACCTGAGCTTGCTCAGGGTGAGCTTTTAGGATCGGTGAATGTCCGTCGTCCGTCCACAATTGCTTGTGAACACTCTAGCAGTCGCATTTTTGCCTCAATCATCATCAAACTTGGTCAGGATGCTTATCTAGTTGAAAGCTCTGATGAGTTCGAACATGGCTCATCTCGGATGAAAAACTAGGTCACAAGAGCTAAAAATAGAAAAACCTTGTGAACACTCTAGAGGTCACATTTTTGACCCAATCATCATCAAACTTGGTCAGGATGTTTGTCTAGGTGATAGCTCGGATGAGTTCGAACATGGGTCATCTCGGATGAAAAAGTAGGTCACAGGAGCTATAAATAGAAAAACCTTGTGAACACTCTAGTGGTCACATTTTTGAACCAATCATCATCAAACTTGGTCAGAATGCTTGTCTAGTCAATAGCTCGGATGAGTTCGAACATGGGTCATCTCGGATGAAAAAGTAGGTCACAGGAGCTATAAATAGAAAAACCTTGTGAACACTCTAGTGGTCACATTTTTGACCAAATCATCATCAAACTTTGTCAGGATGCTTGTTTAGATAATAGCTTGGATGAGTTCGAATATGGGTTCTCGGATGAAAAACTAGGTCACAGGAGCTATAAATAGAAAAACCTTGTTAACACTCTAGCGGTCACATTTTTGCATCAATCATCATCAAACTTGGTCAGGATGCTTATCTAGTTGATAGCTTGGATGAGTTCGAACATGGGTCATCTCGGATGAAAAAGTAGGTCACCGGAGCTAAAAATAGAAAAACCTTGTGAACACTCTAGCGGTCACATTTTTGCATCAATCATCATCAAACTTGGTCAAGATGCTTGTCTAGGTGATAGCTCGGATGAGTTTGAACATGGGTCATCTCGGATGAAAAAGTAGGTCACCGGAGCTAAAAATAGAAAAACCTTGTTAACACTCTAGCGGTCACATTTTTGCATCAGTCATCATCAAACTTGGTCAAGATGCTTGTCTAGGTGATAGCTCGGATGACTTCGAACATGGGTCATCTCGGATGAAAAACTAGGTCACAGGAGCTAAAAATAGAAAAACCTTGTTAACACTCTAGTGGTCACAATTTTGACTCAATTGTCATCAAACTTGGTCAGGAAACTTGTCTAGGTCATTGCTGGGAATAAATCGAACATGGGACATCTCGGATGAAAAACTAGGTCACAGGAGCTAAAAATAGAAAAATCTTGTTAACACTCTAGTGGCTACTGTTGTGATCCAAATATTCTGTTAATTGGTCTGAAAGTTTGTTTTGATGATTTCTAAGTCAAGACCGAACATGGGTCATCTTGGATGAAAAACTAGGTCACACCGCCCAAATATGGAAAAACCTTGTTAACATTCTAGTGGTCACATTTTCGACTCAATTATCATCAAACTTGGTCAGGATGCTTGTCTAGGTAATTGCTTGGATGAGTTCGAAATCGCATGTGAAACTAGGTCACCGTAGCTAAAAATAGAAAAATCTTGTTAACACTCAAGTTGCTACTGTTTTGATCCAAGTATCCTGGAAATTGGTCTGAAAGTTTGTTTTGATGATTTCTAGGTCAAGTATGAATATGTGTCACCTGGGTAAAAAACTAGGTCGCACTGCTCAAATATGGATAATCCTTGTTAACACTGTAGTGGTCACATTTTTGACTCACCTGTCATGAGACTTGGTCAGAATGCTTGTCTAGGTAATTGTTTGGATGAGTTTGATAAGTCAGGTGAGTGATCTAGGGCCATCATGGCCCTCTTGTTTACAAATGCAATCTTGTTCAAAAATGTTTTTAATGTGTTATGTTTTTGTTTTTTTAATATAAAATGTCTAAAAGAGTTGGGAAACATTTTTTAAATAATTGCCGTTTTGCTTAAAATTTTGATCTTGAAGTTATCTTTGTTTTGATATCAATATATGCAAACATAGTAATACTAAATAAATTCCATTAATTACATATTCACAGCTTAATGAAAAAGATATTATGATATATTTCAGACAATGTGGTGTTTTAATTTCTGATTTTCTGTATTATATTCATGGATTTGCATAATAAAATTACATAGACATTTATTGCAAAAAGAAATTAAAATATGACTTGGACATAAGGGTTGAAAAGTAAATACAAAATGATTGAACAAAATCATTGTTCAAACACATCATAATTATCAATGTATGTATAAAACCTCTAAAAACCGGAATCCTCTGAAAACCGGACTTTTGGTCAAGTCCAGACAGGGTCCGGTTTTCAGAGATTTTACTGTATTATAAAATAACTTTGCACAAATATGTACATGAAATTATGTGTCACATGCAAAACCTGTGTCTTTACCTCAAAAGTCAAGGTCACACTTGGAGTTTATAGATTATTCTTTAAAGCTGCATGCCTTCAGATGAGCAAATGTATTTCAAGTAAATCAATATTGAGAAAAATACACTAAACTTTTAAGAAAGATAAAAACATTCAAGATCCAAGGTTATGTGCGGTTTAAGACTGATTTTGCAGTATTTTATCACCATATTTCTACTGTGTTACTAAGGCAGTAAGGGCTGTTTTTGCACATCTAGCTTGACCACTTTTTGTTAATTTTCGTGGATTGTATTAAAAGTGCCGATTTCAATATGTAAATTACTGTATTAATTCACCTCACAATATTTTACTTTTAAATACATTTCCAAAATTGTCATGTAATTAACATGAATCTGTGCTGCTTTGAATAATTGGGTTTACTCAGTTATTGAGAATATAAGGAAATGTAAGATATCTGATTGAATAACTTTACTGTTCTTTGTTTAACAGATGATGTTGTCTGGATTTGTTTCATCTGTGCAAAAGAGTTTGCTGATCAATCAAAGTTGATGTTACACCAAGAAATATGTGAGACGGATCGAAAAAGTTTAACAAAGGAGGACTTGCTCAAACCATCTCTACCTCCACAAGGTAGTCATCTGACCATCCCATCAACACTTTCAGAAACAAAATGTAATTGTCCACCACCTGTTCCTACGTTGTTGAGAAAAGTTGGTTCTAGTTTAAAGTCTTTACCTTTAGGAATACCTACAAAACGAAAAGAGAGGCAATCTCGAAAATTAGCAGACATATATATTCCACCATCCAGAAATGTGTACTTTGAATCTCTCGGCTTATATCCTACACCAAGTGTTGAGGCAATATGGAAGTCTCCAAGGAAGAGTGTTAGTGATGATGACTGTCAGATAATCGATCTTACAATGGAGGATGCTCCCCAAGCTGTACCATTGACACCACGTACCCGTTCAATGTTGTCACAGTTAAGCAGAGATGATAGTAATACTCGTAAACGTCAACTTAGTTTTTCAGAAAGTACACATCTGTCTAGGGTAAAAGAAGAGCCATCAGTTGAGAAGGAGCTGTCTGAGGATTCTGAATGTAGTATTGAAGAAAGTATACAAAGGCACAAAGTCCCATCAAAGTCAGCTATTCTTGGAATACCTCTGACATCTCCTCTTGGACAACGATTGAAGAAACACTGGAAATATGAAAACAAGGTACCCATTGTCAGTGATATTGAAAAGTTTTGTAAAACTGATGATGAAAACATTTTTCATTTGAACAAAGTTGAAAGAAAAAATCGAATGGTAGAAAAATTAAGAAATAGACCTCCCGCTCAATGTACATTCCGATTCACAAAGAAATATATCAACAAGTGGTTTCATTTGTACAAGTTTAATAAGGATGATAGACGGGAATTTGCTAAAAGATTAAAATTTGGCCTTGATAGAGATAGTAGATTAAAGCTGAAAAAAATGAAACCATGTAAGGTGGTTGTTGCAAGAGTCAGTAAGAAGGATGTAAAGTACTGGACAACTCCACGTTTGAAAGCCTTGCCTAAAAGAGCTTTTCCACAATTCAGCATGGCAAATGACTTTAATAGACAGTTCAGATTCAACCAGGTACAGTATGCAGCCTCTAACAATATTATAAGACCAGTGCAGGCACCAATGTACAACCAGTTCATACAACCTGTATCAGTTGTAAGACCAACACCACAATTACTTGTCCGCACAGTACCAATGGGTGGTCAAGGAATGCGTCTGCAGGTTTTACCAATTCAACAGACACAGCAGACCCAGCCTCTATTTCCACCTGCAAGGAGTGGTCTTGTACCAGTGGCTTCCCAAGCGACATCTAGGAGTCAGAAACGTAAACAGGTGTTTAATAATGTAAGGGAAGATGATGGAATGGTGATATGTTTGTCGTCTGATGATGAAGATGATATAGTCATCAAACCAGTACTAAAACCACAGTGTATATTACCCAGTATTGATACAGAAGAAATCAGGGACCATAGTAAGAGGAAGATAGGTCCAGCAAGTTTCATGCGTCGGCAGTCTAGAGACAGTACGTCTGCTTCAATAACTGACAAACCTAGTGCTCACTTTAACTTCATTCATTCCATGCCAGTGAATACAGGACAGCTTATACAGTACCCAAACACCGCCTCTGCTAGAGTGTTTGGACTAACTAATGCACATAATGCAACAGTTCCTCAAAAACCTGTGTCTAATTGCAATATGTCTCAGTTGAATGTGAATGATAATAAAGTATCAGTGGTTACCCATACTTCACAAAATGAACATCCACTAAAAGAATCTAGCCAGACTGTGCAATTAAATACTGATATAAATTTGGCTCATAATGAGTCTGTGCAAGGTGTAACTGATTATATGGATTATGAAGTGATATGTATTGATTCAGATGAAGATGGTGATTAATAAATTTTTCAGTGAGAATGAAAGTTCTCAAGTTTATCTTTGTCAAACAAAGAAAAAGTCATTCAAATTGTTGTACATAAGTATCAGATACCAGTATACCAGATGTACCTATATTTGTTCATTGAAAAATTGTGTATGTAAATTAAAGCTATATGATATTTTGAATAAATATGAACATTTGAGCAGTCTTTCATCAGGATTTATATTGACAGATTCTTAATTCACATATAAATGGAAAATTATTTATACATTGTATTAATAAAATAATAACTAAAAAAGCTAACACATATTTGTCAATGAATGACTTATGATAAAATTTCCTATGCTATAAAAGTTATTGGATTATATTAATGTAACAACGTGTCACAGTTGAATATTCCATTAAATCAAAATGAAGCTCTAATAATATACTGGACATGGAAAGTTAATATAAACAGGCAGCATTGTTACCCCCCAAGGGTGAGCATATAGTCGTCTGTCCTAAGCTTTTTCTTGTCCAGGAAATGACTCTGAAACAGCGAGAGGTATCAATATGAAGCTTTGTAAGTAGATAGATCTCATTGGGTAGATGTGCAGTGCACAAGAACCGTCACTCTGCCTCCCTTAATTTTGGAGTTATGGTCGTTTGTTCTATTTGAGTAGAAGTGCAACGCAAAGAACAGTAACTCTGCCTTTCATAAGTTTGGAATTTTTGAGCTTTGTCTTGGACATAACTCTGTGTCCAAAACCTATTCAGAGAGCATCACCCGGTTACAAGCGGCTCTTGTTAATTATAGGGAGGCAACTTTTGCCACTGTAAACACATAATCATACTGCAGCATTGAGGCGACTCTAGCCACAGTTCATTCAGTCACTAAATTTATACCCATCAGGCAGTATTGATATATCCCTACTCTGACCTTTCATTTGAATGACAATAGATTTAACCACAAACATTGACGTACTCTTTTGCTAACAAATACATTTATGTTATGGTGAAATACTTAATTGTATCCACTCATCTGATAATTGGACAGGCCGGGGAGGTAACTCTGTCCACAGTTAATTCATTTTCATCGCGCAGCATCATCAATTATGGTGAGGCAACTCTGGCCACTGTAAATTCATTCTTATTAGCCAGCATTGTCAGTTATAGTCAGTTAATTCTGGCCACTGTAAATTCTCGTGTCGCAGTAAATTCATTTTCATCACGACTGGTCACTGTAAATTTATGCCAATCGATTTTGACGATAGTAAATTCATAATCATACAGCAGCATTGTCAGTTATATGAGAAAATATGACCACTGAGTTTATGCTAGGCAGCAGGCAGCATTGTAATTTAAAGAAAAGCAACTCTGACCACAGAAAATACATTCTCATCAGGAAGTATTGTCCGTTATCTAAGAGAATCGAGTCTTGCCACAGTAAATGCTTCTTGCCACAGTAAATGCATTCTCAACTGGAAGAATTCACAGACACTTGAAGTGTGGAGCTTAAAACACCTTTAATATCTAAATAAAATGTATATTTGTCAATCCTAGCACATGCACTGATCATTTATATCACAAAAAAATATAAGCTGTTTTATAAAAAAGTTTATATTTCAACGTCTATAATAATACTCGTATAGTGTATTATTATAGACTTTTTTCAAAACGGCTTATATTATGTTTTTTGTGATACATGTATATATGATCAGTACATGTGCTGGGATTGACAAATATGCATTTTATTTGGATTTTAAAGGTGTTTTAAGCTCCACACCTCAAGTGTCTGTGGAAGAATGGTCAGTTCTAGGAAATCGATTTTGTCCACAGTAAAGACAGCATTGTCATTTATAGGGAATCCTTTCTGTTATTGAAGGCAACTCAGGCCACTGTTAATTCATTCACATCATGCAGCGTTGTAACTTATAGGAAGACAACTCTTAACATCTTTAGACAGCATTGTTAAACGTTACAGGGAGTCAACTCTAGCAACTGTAAAATTCAGCATCATTGTCGTTAGGCAGCATGGGAGTCAATTCTGAACACTTAAATTATTCTCTTCGGACAACTTTGTTATAGGGATTCGAAGCCTGGCTTCAAAGTTGGCCACCAAAGCCCGTCTTTTTGAAGGATGTACAGTGTTAGAGCAGTACCTCCAGCGCTTTTTGGGTCGATTCTTGCATTTTTATTAATTATTCATACATTGTATATAAATCGGTGTGTAGAGTTGAATTAGACGTTTTAAAAACAAATATGGAATGGAAAGAAAATTGTCATTCTTTTGTAAAATTTGACGTTTAAATGTGCATTTTTTGCTTTAAAGCGGCTTATTAAAAATCCTGAAATATGTTTTCTTTCTTAAACGTCCTTTAAAATGTAGTAATGAAATTCAACGTACGCAGATTTCATAGAGCGACAATTATGTTTTATATTTATACGAAGCAAAATAGCTGTCTCGGAGTTGGAACAATCGACATTGAACATAATAGTAATAGCTCATCATTTCACGTACATTTATAACCAAATCCGTTGTGCTTTCGGTTTGTACTTTGGTACTTATACATGCATGTATAAATGGTTTTGTAAATGGTATACTGTTTACTTATATAGCTATAAAGTTACTTCATTTAGATGGACCTTTACAATATACGTGTAATTGAATAAACTTAGTCAGCACACCAAGTACATGGATCTCCTTGAAAGAGAATTCTCTTCAAATCTTCAATATTATTATATCAGGAAACAACAAATAGAGGACATTCAAGTTTTCTTCTATAAATACAGGATTTAATTTCATCGAGTGGTATGAAAATAAATATTTCATGAGTGGCGGTAGCCATGAGTGAAATATGATAATTTTCATACTATGAGGTAAAATCAGTCCTGTATTTATAAAAAATATTGAATTTTCTGTTTATTTCATACTTTTCTTACCATTCAAAAGACCACCCCTTTAACATTGTGTATTTGTATTGGCCGAATTTAGAAAAAAAATGTTTTGTTGTTGGGAGTTATGATAATCAAGTAGACCTCACAAAAAGTGGTATAACACAAACCCTTACACCGAGACTGGCTAGACATGTTACTGAGTTTACGCAATGTGCATATACATATGTATTTCTTTATTATTATTATTATTATTATTATTATTATTATTATTATTATTATTATTATTATTATTATTATAAACTGGTTGATCAGCAGATTTTACTACAAAGTAATCTGACAAGATACCAGTGAAAATACGGAAAATATGTTTTACAGCTGTGGAAAATAAAGTTTTAAAATGTGTTAAAGCTTATCAAGTCAATGTACAAGATGTTACATCGAGTGTTAGATATAATGGCAAATTTTCGGAATTTTTCGAGCTATTCGCGAATGACATTATCTATAATATTAATACAAATTTAGATAGTTTATTTATCGTGAGCGAGCTCAAACTAGTTTTAATCCTTTTTGTCGACGATCAAATTCTTTTGCGAAGTCGCCGATATCACTACAGTCTGCTTAATGATTTTGAAAACCATTGTTCAAGATGGAATATGAAAACCAGTACATTAAAAACTAATTGGCAATGGTAATCAGTACATTAAAAACTAAGGCAATGGTCTTTGAGAAATATATACACAGTATGATATTTTCATCTATAATACAAAAGTTATGTTGTTTAAGCGTTTAACTCTTTAAAAAAAAACGGAAACTGGTTCAGAAGTCTAAACTCGCGTCGTATGCATCATTATATTACATACGCAATTTTTAATGATATTGAATTACGTGTTTCTCAAAAGTTTAAGCTGTTTGACTGGCTTGTTGGTTTGTGGGCAACCATGAAGCTACAGATGTTGAAGCAATTCTTACAAAAAATTTCTGCGTAGGGTTTTAGTGGTGAAAAAATCAACAAATTTATTAGCACTATATGGGGAATTGGGACGATATCCTTTATATATATATACCGTAAAATAACAATGATTAAATATGGGGTTAAAATAATGAAACAAGAGGATTCGAACTTAACTATTATTAAAAGCATATGCTGACTCCAATATAACGAATAGAGGAAATAACTGGGCATTTCAGATAAAATAGTACCTGTCAAAACTGGGATTTCTATATGTTTGGCAAAACCAAAATGAAAATGACATTCCTTTTTGCTTTCAAACAAAGAATATTAGATAACTTTTTTACAAAAAAAATGGTATGCAAACATAATATAAATAATTCCAGTTGGCTATATTTAAACATTGATCGTGAAAAATATCTTTCGGTGATTTTTTTACTATAAATTAACTATGCATTAATCCTCTCATAATTTATATATTGAAACTGGTAGATATTATAATATCCCACGGGGGCGGGGGAAAAACTTTGTAAATCATGTAATCTGTCAATGAACGAAAATGATTACCATGATTACCTTTTTTAATGGTCTGTCCACATTTCAGAGATTTAAGAAAGAAATATTTTTAAACGCTAGCCGACTTTGAATAAATTTAGAACACTCTACAGAAGATATATTGAACTTTGCTCAATTTGATTACTTTGCATATAAAAGAAGAATTGTATAATTTGCCATTAGAATCAGATAAATATTGTTAATATTTCATTAGAGCGATGTACATGTATATGTAAAGGTACATTTGTATATGCCATCACCATTCCTTCTTATACTTCCATTTGTTTTTGTATGTTTTTGTTCACTTTGTAAATTGGATTTGTATAGGCTATGAACATAGTATTAACATGTTAAATGCTGAATAAAATTTTCGTATTCGTATTTTTTTCTTTCTATCGGATTGGTTCAGTGAAAGTACGAAGGGGTTCGAAAAATTGACACTGTTTACCATATTTATGTATTTATTTTTCACAAGTATGACATCTTGATATCTGAAAATTACAAAAATTAACAATTAAACAAAACAAAACTTGTGAAAAACAAAACACAATGTAACAAAATAAGAAATGTTTTTGTCGAACAGATTAGTGAGTTATACTTCTTAAACAATTGACATAGCTATAGATAAAAGTAACAACTTAAAGAAATTGAACGGTGTAATTAAATAGAGAGCGGTAGTGTTTTCGCAAATTATATATACATGTACATATGATATACACGGTTCCTATCGGGATTTCGTAGTTTTAAACTTGGTTTAAAGGTGCGTTCCATATTTCCAATAATCTGGTAGTGACATAAATAGATTCGCGATCAAGGGTGAATGAATTGGATCAATATACCATAATAGGAATTCTATACAAACCGTTTCGTGTTTCTACCTGCAATATTATATTATGGTATTATAACAAAACAATGTACAGAGATTATTTAAAAAGGAATGGATTAGTTATATCAGACATCAATTATAAAGAATCTAACGAGTCAGTAACATTAATGGAAAAAATAAGTGAGGAAAATGGAAATAGCGGCGAAAGTTTAAACTCGGATACCGAAAATACAAATGATTCTCTTAGCAACGAGGTAAATAAAGCTATATCACCATTAAAGAAGAGAAAGTTAATTCTACATTTTGACATTAGAAATACAGTGCTAGTGGCGGACTCTGTAACTAATGTCTCTGTTGAACAGGCATTGAACAGTTTTCTTACGGGTGTTGTATGGGGAAACGAAGGCCATGATGGAAATTGGATATGGCACTCGGATCAGCTGTCTTTAACACCACCGGCAGAAAATGTGGTAACATACTATAAATATCTAGAAAAGAAATATGTGAAGAACACAACAGACAGGACTCAGCTGAGGCTAGCAACGGGCGATTTCTCACAAAGCGAAATCGGTAAAAGGTTTCAACCCCATTTTCAAAATCATCTAGAACTTTTGAAATGGCGACATGATTTCGAGGTAGATACCCACAATTGTCTGACAATGTCCGGACACGATGGACAACAGTACAATTACATAGTCCCGGCTCTGTATAAATGCATCCATCATTTAGTTGAATCAAAAAGAGATTTTGCAATTGTTTTTAGAACATTTGGACTGGACGCCCCAAACGTGATCAAAAGTTTGGAGCACGGTTTGCAAGGAAACCACCCAGGTTACCATGAACCTGTCAATTTGAAGGTAAATGAAACTGTTGGAACGGTTAAGAGGAGTAAAAGCGAGCCAACTGTCTTTACCGTGCCAGAACCAGACGGGACAACACGCAGTTATGAAGGGGACAGATGTATTTACGACATGTTATCAAGCAGTGTCGGTATTACCGGTTTTAGAGACGATGTCCATTATTGGCTTGAAAATTCCTATCATCACGAAACCGCTAAACCTCATATTATAGACCCTTTCGACCAAAATGTTCACCATATATTTTTTGATGATAATTTTAGGGCATATGAAGACGATAGTATTGTAGATGTGAGATTATTTGAATCACGTGGTGCCAAAGAAGCGCGATGTTTAACTAAAGCGGAAGTTGCTCAGTTCGACAACGTCTGCCTTGTACAGGCGGATCTTATTAAATGCATTGAGGATGAAAATTACTATCGCGATAGAATTCAAGAGTGTGAAAGTAACTACTCATTATTTCTAAAAAGATGGAGCCGACTTTCTCGAAGTATGTCTTTAGACGGGTAATTTTTAAAAACCATATAAATGTGTTCACACACTATGGAAAATAAACAGTCTCTATGTCATCTTTGTTCACATTATGGGAGATAATCAATTAGTTTTACATATCAATCTTTGTTCACAAACTTTGAAAGATAATCAGAGTTATATGTCAATCTTTGGATTATAATCAGTGTTTCATGTCAATCTTTGGAAGATAATCAGCGTTTTATGTCAATCTTTGGAAGATAATCAGCGTTTTATGTCAATCTTTGGAAGATAATCAGCGTTTTATGTCAATCTTTGGATTATAATCAGTGTTTCATGTCAATCTTTGGAAACTAATCAGTTATATGTCAATCTTTGGAAGATAATCAGGGTTATATGTCAATTTTTGAAAGATAATCAGCGTTTTATGTCAATCCTTGGAAGATTATCAGTTATATTTTTTATGTCAATCTTTGTTAGGTTAGCCAAAATTATATATTATGATGCAATATTACCAAAACGCAATAACTGAAGCATTAATATTTCCAATATTTCAGGTCAAACATCTATTCTAATAAAATTTCTATTCATGATGTTGTTTACTCTTTCTTAATTTCACCGTAATCTAATATTCATTCCATGACGTAACGCGCATTATTAAGTAAGTGGATATTTGCTTTAATTTAATCCCAACCCTTTAACTAATCTAAAATATTCAATAAATATCAGGAACGCGTATATGGAAATTTATACCCCGATAAATATGAAACTACATAAACATGTTCTTTTCATATAACTAATAAATTAAACAAAACATTAGACGATGATCAATACTATTGCATTAAATGATAACATTTTATTAAATGATACCGCATTACATACTATAGCATCGCATTAAATAATAACATTGCATTAAATAATAGCAGCATTGAATAATGACATTGCATACATTTCGTATTAAACAAAAACGTTGCATTAAGTAATAACTGTGAATTAAACATATAGCAGTAAATAACAGCATTGCGTTGAATAATAACATCGCATTAAATAATAATGTCGCATTTATTAAGACCTGTCCGGAGCCGATCATTGCAAGCCGAGTCCTCTATATTAAGTCCATTTACTATCTTTTGTATTTGCCTTGCTTTGACCGAAACAAAAACGTAAGCTACTAAATTATTCATTATTTCTTTGATTCATATATTAGATGGCTGGTTTCCTTGTCAAAATATGGTTTGACATAATGCACATAAAGTGGTGGTATGCAGGGTTAATTACCATGGTAGTGTTTTTCCTAGCGAAAGGTAGCCCTACTAAATATACCTGTATGTGGTGGAAGGTGATGGTAGTTTTCCAGTAAGCCACATTGAATCTATCAGACCTCAGTTCAGACACTGCATTTTTCCTGGACATGCTGTCATGCAGTTTACCAGTACTAATTACCTTCACTTTTGCAAGGAACTGATACACTTCTGAACATTTCATCAGAGGTACAGTGAGAATGACCATAAAGAGGATTTCATTTTCATGATCAATCACAACGAAAGTGACCTTCACCGTCAGGGAATCGAACCCGGGTCGCCCGATTCACAGTCCAAACGCTCTATTTATTGAGCTAACCGGATGGCTCTAAAAATATTTTTATCAATTGAAACCGTTACTATGACGTTAATTTATTTACAAACATGTATAAAATGTACTAATATAAAATTTCACAAACTTTTAAACCGTATTAATCAATTCTTTGATTTTTCCACATTTATTCGCATTGATTATGATAATAGCTCATGCTAGTTATGTTAGTGAAGTATGACAATATTGCTAATGTCAATAAATTAATGTATATGGCCATGTTCGTATTTCAAAAATCAGACATGTATAAGTCGAATCAAATGGTATTTACATTACATAGTATCAGAAAAGGTGATATGTAATGATAGCAAAGTTTGGTTTATATATGGGCTGCTTTTTAAATGAAAATATTTGTTAATTTAGGGACTTAATGTGTGCCTATCTTTTATAATCTGTTTACTTGCCTCGTACACAGTTAAAGGCCCATCATACGCCAGAAAATATTTTATTTTATTTCACAAAAGCTTTGTTTTTCGGGGTGGGGGGATGGGGGGTGGTCATTTCTAGTTTCCAAAAAGTTACTCATTGGCCAATAAACTGAATCATCTTTTTATTTTGTTTCGTTTTGGCAATTAGTACAGTTAAAGTGATTTAGTATTTTGTATGAAAGTCAAAATACTACTTTGTTTACATTTTGCTACTTTTATGAAAAATAAGTTCACATTTAGCGCAAATTTCCTCGAGTAACAAGCATCTAATATGTCCTTAATATTTTTAACGATAAAAATTACGTTTGTCCTTTTTTTATAGAAGTAAAAAAATTGTTCGTCTAAATTGATATTTTTCACCTAAAGCTATTTTTTTTTTGCAGTAATATGTATCGATGATACGATGAAAGACCAAAGTTGAAACTTTGATACCTTCAACGCGCTCGATTTCTTAAATGGACTTGTCTTTCAATCTTGACATGCCCAGTCATCAGTTTTAGGGGAGAATTTCAATCTGTGCCGCATTAATAAATAGGCAACATCAGACGACAGAAATGTACCAGTCTGACAGAATCTGCTGCTGCCGCCAGCAAGCTAAAATAAACAGGTAAATTGAATGTTCAACTCACAAAAAGGACTTGACTGCAAAATTAGGGCAACGAATTTGTCCTGCTTTGAATTTAGAAGGGCCTATTTGAAGGAAAAGACCAGACTGCACGGATGAGCATGCATGCCTGGCCCCATACTGATGGCAAAGACTAATAACTTTTGGTTTAAGCAGTCTGATGGCCCAAGCTTATCATTTTCTTTTTTACTCTCGTTTGTTCTTGGTGTACTGTGCACTTTTGCATACGATTTTATCACATGGAAATTTGCTATACATTCGTTTCTAATTACACGCAATGTAATTAACAGTGTTGACAACGATTGGACAGACGGACAGACACACGAACCGGACAGAATCATCAACTCAGTGTACAACATCCATTATTCTTGCATAAAAATGTACACACATGTATACATTTACAGACAAGAAAACATGTATGCATTAACAGATAGATTTTCGTTGTGCACGTGGATTTATGCAATCGCAGTTTTGCGGCCCTTTCCGTCAGTCTTCGGATAAGTTTAATACTGATTGATATCAAAACAAAACTATGAAAATACCTCTTACTATAGCAGGTGGAAACCATGGCAAAATACGAAATACAGATAACGAAACCTACTCTTACCGAATTAGACGTACGAACTTTTATGAAAGAATAGTGTTAATGCACCTTTTTTCAAGCATAAGCCCACGAATGTTATCAAAACATAACTTTCAAAATACATCGTACTATCACATGGAAACCATAACAAAATACGAAATATTGATAACGAAACGTAATATTACCAAATTAGAGGCATACTTTTAAGTACATAGATTAGATGGTTTATTCAGTTTTTTTACCGTACATAAACATCATGCAGAGGCCGTGGATTTAAAATTCCCTCGTCCTAGCTGTGGACTTTAAATGCGTCCTATGTTAATGTACGAAAAAAGGTACTATTTACTTAAAAGAATAAGCAAAAACACCTATAAATGATAATAAAATGGTGAAAATGATAACAAGGGATGTTTAAAGGTTATAGTTTCCCCCACCTTAAGAATCTCTACTTGACTCACGAAGTAACAGTTCAAATAACAGGACATAAGTCAGACCTTTGTCGTTATCGTTATAAATATCGGAAAATAATTTGTACCTCTTCGTACACCATACTTCAGAATGTACTTCTACGAGGACATTCGATTAATAGACCATTTAAAGCCACAAAATAATCAGTTTATGAATTTCGAAATACATGCTAGTCATCGATATTATTAACTGAACACCGTACATACTGTTAAATCATTAAAGTAATAGCGACGTGTTTCGGACATGAATTCAATATTTAAATTTTATTTACATGACATTTGTGTTTGAAATTACTTCATTTTGTCCAATAGGAGAGCAGTACTTATTTTAAATGAATCATAAAATATTTTATTTGCTAAATCGGCTTCAAAACCTTATACAGTCAAAATAATTTAGTTTTCTCTAACATATTTCGTGGCGACGAAATAGAAAAAGTAGACCTTTTTAAATACTTTATTATTTTTTTTTCTTTATTTATTTTTTACGGATTTAAATTTGTATTTTTCTTTAGATACTATTTATTATCTCGTTGCCACGAATTATAACTTTTTGTTGCTGTTTTTTTTTATCTCGTGGCCAATAAGTCCGACATGTCCACTCACATTTCCGTCAATATTTTTATACCAACGTTACAACGTTCAACGTAACCGGTGGCAACAAATACACACAAACAAAAGTATATACTGCTGATTTTCTTAAGGATAAAATATATCTAGGTTTTTAAATTTCCAAACCATTTCATTATGTAAATTGCGTATGCGATTTTGAATCGAGATCAATTTGAAGATTGATTTACTGTTCTGAAAACGTCCGTTGGCATCATGGAATTACAAGATATTTATAAACACAAAACACATTCTGTTGATGCTTTAAATAGCGACTATGGTTATAATTTATCATTCTAGAAAGTTTCTTTTTGTTTTGTGTGTTGTTGCTGTTGTTTTGTTGTGTATTTTTTCTTGTTTTTTTTGTTTGTTTTTTTGTTTGTTTTTTTTTTTGGGGGGGGGGTGGAGGGGGTTATGGGGGTACTTTTTTAATATTGACTTTCAGACGATATATCATCGCACCAAGTTTTTCCTTCAAAAGACAGAATCTACTAAGATAGTATCTGCAAAAACCGTAGTTAAGATGACACGATTTTTCAAATGTCAAATTCTGGTGATATTTCTAACGAGTTATTCTTATAATGGTTGTTTCTGCTGTAAATTTTCTGCAGGTATAGGTGTGACTTGTGAAACAACATCAGTTATGAAACATATCTACAAACGATGTTTCTCATCTGAAACTGATGTTTTTCAATTAATCCACAATTACGTATACTATCAGAGTGAGTAGGACAATCGTGTATCACAAGTTTTGTGATACACGATGATGTTACAGATGCGGTTTCGCAATGGATAAAACCGTCACGCGTTATACACTTTACATGCTCGAAATATGTTAATAATTCTGTAATTGTCACGTGACACCATCGAAAAACACGTGACTGTCGAAAAGACAAAGTATTCAGAAGGTCTTCCAGTTGACTATGTGGTTAAAATATCATGTAACATGTTTCAATGCATGTTATTATCAATTTATCAATAATTTATTCAGAGCGGTGGCCTAGTGGTTAAGGTGTCTGCCTCTCAATCCGTGGATCATGGGTTCGATCCCTAATCCCGGGTCACGACCATGTTTCTTCAAATGTCAACAGTACTGATTAGTTCCAGGAAGCGGACTCGAAAGTGATTAATATAAGTTGCAAGAACTTGTTTCGCAATCGAGCTTAAATAAATATGTTCAAACCATATTGTTTATGACATTAAAGTGCTATAACGTATATACATGTACATGTATATTGACATATAAATAGGTGTTCGTTCGTTACCTTGATATTTTTATACGCCGAGCACACTTAGTAGTATACAAGAATATATTAAAATGAATAAAAGTACAACTACCAGGGAGCTATATTACTGTTATAAGTTTCTGTCAATACATCGCATTTTCAGGCCTATTCGTTTACAATAAAAATATGTTTCTATAATTCAATATTGATTAGCTTATTCATAAACAGCTTGACGTACATGTATATAACTATAATACTAGTGCTGTCATTAAACACGTAGAAATTGAGACCTATCCTTTACTCTTTTCCTTTCCTTTTTATGTACTGAATGATACGTGCATTTAATACTTTGTATAGATATAAACTGTGTGCTCTCCTACCCTCTTTATGTTTGCGTAAAAAAATATGTTAACGAATAAAAGCCAATTAAAGAAGTTTGACGGAGAACATTATTACTCAGGTGAACGAGTTCTCATCAGCGACATAAAAAGCATGATTTAACTCATCAAACATAATTATCATACATAGTAGTCTACCAAAATACACTATAGTGCAGGGGCGTCCGTGGCCGAGTGATTAAGGTCGTTGACTTCAAACCATTTGCCCCTCACCGCTGTGGGTTCGAATCCCGACAGGGACTTTGAATTCTTTCATGTGAGGAAGCTAGTTTACGGAACGTCGGTGGTTCTACTCATGTGCCCGTTCGTGCCTGAAATAATGCACGGAATGGCACATGAGGTCTTCCTCCACCAGTAAAGCTGGAACTTCGCCATATGACCTATACTGTGTCGGCGTGACGTAAAACCCAAACAAACAATCTAGGGCAACGCTAAATTTATCATTAAGAGGAGTACAAGTAGTGGAGCTGGAAGGAGATCTATCTTTAAACAAATTGATAACAGCTTAGTAAAGTTCTCAGAAACAAAATCGTGGGCATAAATGTTGCTGATGTTGAATCATCATTTATTTCTAATATCCTTCAGGGTCAAATTGCACTTAAAACTATCTAAAATTAAAAACAACAATCCTTTAGTCTCAAAACTATTTCACAATAAACAAGCAAATTCGTTGAATTTATATCCCCCGCCGAGTACTGGTTATTATTAACACAACAACTGAAGACATAAGGCTTTATTTATATATTAATCATGGCATAAACTGTAATATTCTTTGAACTTGAAGCCTTGTACCTTCAAACAAGAAGAATTTTTAAGTTTTCACTATATACATATAAGGAAAATCTATGACCCCCTGGAGTGGGCCAATTTTGACCCCAGGGCTAAAATTTGAACAATTTTGGTAGAGGACCTATAGGTTATATCATATACCAAATATCAAAGCTCTAGGCCTTGTACTTTCAGACAAGATTTTTTAATTTTGCATTTTTGAAACTCCTTTTATGGCCCGGTGACCTACTTATGCAACAGACCGGAACCATTTGATCAACTTTGGCAGGGGACCACCCTAGGATCATTCCTGTAAAGTTTGGTTGCTGTGCAGTCATTTGTTTCTGAGGAGATGTTGTTTAAAGAAATTGATGACGACGCACGACGACGGACGGTGGGGGATCACAATAGCTCACCTAGATGTAAAAACATCTTAATCTCCAGACTTTATTGCCATTTTCAAGGCATCAAGAAGGGATCTCACAATTTTCAAATATTTTTAAATGTTATTGTAACAAATCATTTTAATTCTTCTTTAATAAAAACTAGAAATCTGTCCATAGGCCACGGGTGCCCCCACCGCGCCACTGTTCTGTCAATCTTATGACTCTAGGTCAAATATTTTTTGAAAACTAAAAATCTTTTTACTAAGTAAAGGGCAAGAACTTTACAAATACTGAATAAATCCCCAAGCAAACCCCAAGTTGAAAATTGCAAATTTATACTACTGTAATTCAAGGGCAATAACTCTAACAAAACTGAAAAAAATCCACATTCAAAGTCCCAGGTTCATAGCATCACAGTGAGGTGAATCATTATTCCTGTAATTTAGTGATGTTGATCATTATTCCTGTAAAGTCAAGCACTCAAGGATCAAATAACAACATAATGAAACAGTTTTTACTAAGTCAAGGGAAATAACTCTACAAATACTGGATAAATCCACAAGCGAAACCCCAGGAACAAACTAAATATGCTGAGCAACTTTCCAATAAGGTTTAATGACCCTATGTCAAATCCTTTTTGAGTTACATGCAACACAAGTTGAAAATTGCAAACATTTTCTAAGTCAAGGGCAATAACTCTAAAAATACTAAATAAATCCAGACGAAAATACCCAGGTGCACAACTACACATGCTGATCAACATTCCTGTAAAGTATCATGACTCTAGGTCAAATACTTTTCGAGTTACATGCGACACAGGTTGAAAATTACAAAATTTTACTAAGTCAAGGGCAATAACTCTAAAAATACTAAAAATATCCAGACGAAAATACCCAGGTGCACAACTACACATACTGATCAACATTCCTGTAAAGTTTCATGACTCTAGGTCAAATACTTTTTGAGTTACATGCGACACAAGTTGAAAATTACAAAATTTTACTAAGTCAAGGGCAATAACTCTTAAAATACTAAAAATATCCAGACGAAAATACCCAGGTGCACAACTTCACATGCTGATCAACATTCCCATAAAGTTTCGTTGAATTCCAGCCATTTGTTGCAGAGAACTACTCCGGAAACGAAATTCGGACGGACGGATGGACGGACGGACGGACAACGCCAAAACTATATCCCCCTCCCGATTCCATCGGCGGGGGATAAAAAACAATGGTCGCTCTATAACGCTCGCTTTCTTCATTTCAATTCTATAATTGAGGTAGAACGCGAAACTTTGCAAACTTTCGAGTAGCTTCTTGAAAATTGGCATGTAAAAAGTTGACCATAATTCAGATTAGATCTCGATAATTTTATTCCAATAGTTTCAGCCATTTTTGTACACCTCGTCAAAGTTGACCACCGAAGCCCGTTTTTGGGACAAGACTTGTGTATCCTTGGCCAGTGTTACGGGCACTATCACGTGACAGCAGACATCTTAAATTCTACTGTATTTAACGGAAATTAACTGATCCTGACCGGACCATACTGACTGGCAGGCAATCAGTGTCCAATTAGACTGGATAGCACTATGTAGTTATAGAAAATGAAGAAAAAATTAAAACAAGCAAGAATGACATTTACATGTATTTTATAGTTGATATGTAATGTATGATGTGGAATAATATATTTGCCATTTTGTTACTAAACTTTGTTTCGTTTGTTCAATAATCACAAATACACAGTTTTCTCTTGTCAGCTACTAGTTATTGTGTTTACTTCAAACACCAATTAAAACATCCTTATATCAAGATGTTTGTGCTCATACATACTCCAGGCTGGATGAAAGACAGAAAGCGCTAAATTTATATCCCTCCGCCTTTGGCAGGGGTAAAAAAATAACAGATGTATCCACCTTGATATCTCAAAAATAAATGAACAGCAGGATGGACAGATACAAACTAAATAAATACAAGTACATAAATAACTTAAACAACATCAGCTCGTGTCAGAAAATGTCTCCCATCTATATCTGTCACAGAAATCATTGTTAGTCAAATCAAATTTTCTCTTTTGACCTTAATTATAAGTATCCTGAATTTAGTTTGTAATAACATTGTTTTTGCCAACCAAAGTTAGCATAGTTTTTTTATAAATGTATATAGAGATACATTTACACTAACACAACTATTATACGCGGCTATGAAATGTGTTTTTTTGTTGTTGTTTTTTTTGTGTGTTTCTTTTTAGGAAAAACAAGTTATTTAAATGTTCTTAGAAGACAGTCACCTAAGAATCCTTTCTGTTATACAAATCTGACCAACACGTCAATTAATTAAACTAATTTTCAATGATTTCTATAGAATGCATCTTTACTGCCTTGTTGTCTAGCATCTTGAAATTATTTGAATAATGAATCTTGGTACATGGTTACCCAACGACCATTTCTGAGAAATGATAAATATCAAGTAATAAAATGCACATTTTTATTGTAAGATTGATTTTAATATATAGAAAATTAATAAGATATTCAAAATGTACAATTCACAGTTCTTACGTAAATACAAATAAATAATACTAATAAGTAATTTTTTGTGGAATATTTGAACATAGTCTCTTAAAAGGAATGTCCTTTTAACTAGCAAAAAAGGACATTTTAAATTGGCATTAAAACAAAGATTATGCAGTGTTTATCAACCAATTCAAATGGTTTGATCACAGATGTATATAGATAAGAAAAGTACAGATTTTAACACAGAAGTTCCACGGCAAGACAAACAACTTAAGACCTGACAAGTTTAAAACCATGTCCAGTTTCTGATGCTTTTGGTGGTAGCCACTGCATTCGTTTACGTTTTACAAACTGTCTTATACCATCACAAATACAACATAAACCTCCTGTTTCACAGAAGTTTACACCTTTGATCAATGGTTTAGTAAATTTAGGAAAGTTACTATCCCAGTGTTCTTCTATATCCTCTACTGTTGGTAAATGAAAAACAAAGTTGGTCCAGTATTTTGAAACCTTGTATACACCCCTGACAATCCTTTTTTTATCCGACCAGGCTGGTTCTATATCGTCCGTGAGATTATATGTCACCCAATCATCTGTAAACGTACCTACAGTCAATTTGTCACCAAATTCTGGATCTGGTACACGTGTGAATTTACAAGTCTGCAAAGCTACGTAGTTGTCATCTATTTTTGAAACGTCTTGAGCCCAGCGCCATGAATGCTGAGTATCACAAACTAGAAGTAATCTGGAACCAGATTCACCATTTTTTTGAGTCCACCATTCTATTAATGTGTCAAATTTGAGACTACCATTTCCTGGAAGATGAAAACATATTTGAATGTAAATGATTGCACATGTAAAATTTTCTAAAACTTGAAATCAAAGTAAAGTAAAAAGAGCTTAAATAAATATTACAGTAAGATTAACATGCTCCAGAACTTTTTGGATATTGAAAAAAGCCTTACTCTAAATTTATATTTGAATAACAATAGATTTAACCACAAACATCTATCTACATGTGTTTTTTTTTATTAATGTTATGTTGTGGTGAAATTCTTAAGAAGAATTTTAAATTAAGAAAATAATTAGTATAAATAGGATTTTCAGCTTCTGTGACTAAAGAATCCCCAGAGCCATTTCAAGACGTTTGAATATCATCCAAGGACCATACTAAGCATGTTTTATCAAATTTGTACATGGACTAACAAAAGAGAATTCATTTGAAACTGTCAATTATCTATCATTTATTAAGTTGAAAAAATCATGAAAGGACACTTTTTTGTCAAAAATCATTGAATCTAAACATGCTCTTAATATGCACACCAATTTTTGATTTTTAAATATTCTTGTGAAATTTTGTTGAATTCCAATCAGCTGTTCAGAGATATAGTGTTTAGACAAAAAAGCTGACAAAACTGTCACACTTCAATCAAATGCAGTCACCTTCATCCACAGACATATTGAAGTTGTATGTTAAATTACACACGTATATGCACCATCTGTGTTGCAGTCTTGTGTTTCTAAACCAACAACTGACAACAAGGTTCTGCTTAAGGTAAATACAAAGACTTTATGACATATATCCAACCTGTTAGAGCCCAGTCACCAGAATCATGACAATCCCCGCAGTAATATAGTAAATATGTGTCATATCTCGGACCATCTCCTGTCCTCCGCTCAAAGAACTGCATCACCTTAGACTTCAGATAGTCCGCTGTTATACCACTAGAGGAAAAATCACATCCATAGTTGTCTATCATATTAAAACTAAAGAACTGCTGAATCTGAAATATATATTAAAAGTTTAAAATTATTAGTATCATCATATTCAAGTCCAAAATTATCATTATCATATTACAAAATGTCTAAATTACTATCATGATATAAAAACGAACAACTTGTAAAACTGCAGTATCCTATTTTTTTTTTTTTTTTTTTTTGTTTTTTGGTTGGGTTTTTACATCACACCAGCACATAGGTGGTCACATGCCAACTTTCCAATGGTGGAAGAAGACCTCATATGCCCCTCCAAGCATTATTTTAGGCATGAATGAGCACCTGAGTAGAACCACCAACGTTCAATAAGCTAGCTGTCAGTGTTCAAACCCACAGCAGTGACGGACAAATGGTTTAAAATCAATGACCTTAACCACTTTGCCGTGGATGCCCCTCAGTATACTATTTACATGTAAAATCAACTCTTTAATTTAGGCAAGTAATTCTTAAGGAGAATACATATTAAATTACATGTAAAGGAAACACAAACAATCAATGTTTTTGTAGTATATTAAAGATACAGTAACTTTGTGCGCAAAATTGATTTGATATGGAGCTGTTGGAATCGGAAAATGAAAACAATGCTACATGGAGTACAATATGCATTTGATAAAGTGTTTTTAGACATAGGAAATGAAAACGAGGCTAACTTGATAAGACTGGAACCAATAATGATTTATAATGGAACCTCATGTTTAACTTGTTGGACTATTTCTGGAACTTTATTGGTAACACTTTAATACAAGGTGTGAAATAGATTGATATATCATGATTGTTACATAGGGATGGTATCAGTATCAGTCACATGTCAACATTACCTTATTCAGTGTGGCTGTAGCTCTAGAACCTATCTCCTGAACATTCATAGCTGACAACAACTTTGCTCCTCCATTTGACCTGTATAAACCAGAGATAAAAGCTTTAAACAAGAAGTGTAACATAATAACATTTCATCATAGTACACACTAAAAGCTTTCTTTTCATCAACATTATAATTCATAAATAAACCATAACATGACCAGCACTACAAATTTACCTTGTCATTTTTAAGCAAGCACTTTACCTGTCTTTTTTGTAAAAGATATTAGAATCATTGAGTAGATACAATTTTAATGAATATATGGAAGTAATATTTAATCATATACATGTATATGCTGTCAAGTACTGATTAAATTATAAAAAAGAATTCAACAATTATTTCAAATGATGTTGGCTGGAGTTGGCTTTAAACTTGAAAATACTTAGGCATAAGAGCTTGTAATACATGTGTAGGTACAATATATTTTGTTTAATTACAAAATAAAGCTCTTGCACCATGGATTTATTGACATGGTTTTATTTTAATCATTGCTTGATGGTCATCAACTTTCAACCTTTATTCTGTTGGATGAAATATCTTAAATTCTAACCTAAATAAGGATAAAATATACACTTCTTTGTTAATATATATTGTCACATTCAGAACTGTTCACTATTTAGAGGAGAAGTTGTGTAAGAGGACGGATTGCTCAGTCGGTAAAGCAGCTGTATATTATTCCAAGGGTCCTGGGTTCAAGTCAAGGTAAAGCTGCACATTTTTCTCACCCTGTAACAATATTATATAGATAAATAGGTTTTTAAACATTTTTGCACATACCTTTGACAAGTGTGAGGAGCTATGAGGGCATATCCTGTACATGTTCCACCAAGGTTATCTCCAAGTTCCCAAAACAGACTCAACGTAACTGCCTCTATAGGTAAAATTGTCATCACAAGTCCAATACTGTAATTGGTTTTTGTTTCCCAGCCCACGCCCATTAACAAAATTGTTGTTATTAAAGTGAGAAAAATTATCCTTCTTGATATCAAACTAAAATGGCGGATCCCCTTAGATGCAAGAATCCTGTTCATGCTACGATTGTCTTCTGATAAACAATTATATGTCAGATTACATTCTGTTATCTTGTTCATCAGCTTCCAGGTTGATATCAAATATAATATATGGAAGCAAAGCCACACAACAGCAAATACCGAGAACAATGGTACTACAACAAACCATTCTTTATGATTGGCTGACAGTCGTCCAATCAAAGAACCCGACACTAAATTCAACAGAAAAATGAAGGCTATAACTAATCTTCTTGTAAATCCAGATTTTATAAAAAATGCTTGCCATCTTTCTAGTGTTGAAAGATTTGAAAAATAAAGATCTACCACTGGCTCAAATAAATGTCGTCCAGCAAAACACATTAGGCCATACACATTTACATTCCTATGCACTCCACCGTCACTGATGCCAGCCAAACTTGGGAGAAAAATAAATATAAAAAAAGAAAATAAGGAAATTAATGTTAAAACCCCAAGTAATGACTTTAATCTAATAGCTGTGAGATTCAGTATGAACGCTACAATGCAAATAGTGATAGCTATTGAATCAACAGTCCCTATAACAAGAGATCCTATTGCGAGTCCTAAACTCTCCAGACATTCTGCTGGTGAAAACATACCAGCATTGTATTTTTTCTTCTGTAAGAAGCGTTCACATATACTCCAAAACCATCCAAAGACAGTACTACTGATCAGCAATATGTTCATGGATTCTTGGAGGGTTTCATACTGGTACTCCTGAGAATCATTGAAAGTGATCACACCTAGTATACATCCAAGCCAAATATGGAGCAATGCTTTACCACCAGATGTGTAGTTAAAGTAATACTGTAAAGCACAAGAGATCACACAAACAAACAAGCCACACAGAGATATGAGGAGAACTACCGTATTACTCGAGTTTGTCCATTCTGTATACAGCCCTAATGCAAGAGCAACGGTTAACATCACATCTGATACATATCCTAGGTAAACCACTGTCAGTTTTGCTCTAAAATCCTTGATGTTCATAATGAATACTTGACAGCACCGCTTCAAAAAGTGTAAGCAATATGATAAATTGATTTGCTGAATATTGATTAATTTTCTTCCCACAATTCTTTTCAGAAGTTTACCAACCATTTATATTTGTTGCTGTATCAACTGCCAGTTGCTTTCCATTAACTGAAATACAAACATAATCTGATTATCAAAAATAAAATGTTTACCAAATAAGTTAAAGTATAATATTGTGCCTCAGTTGTGTTAAAAGTCTGAAGATTATTTGAATAACTCTCACATCTGACAGATATCTGCTTCCTAGAACTAATCAGTATATGTATTGATGTCATATTATTACATGTACATATTGAACAAACATTGTTGTTACCTCATGTACCCAGTAGTGCTAGAACCCTTAGGCTACTGCTCTTTACTTTTTTTTTAAAATCATAATTGTTTATTAACATACATTAGTCATTATCATACACTGTAAAGGCGATCAGGAATAGATCCCTATGTTTATCACTGTCTCACTCTGTCTATATTTTCCACAGGTATATACTATAAACACAGAATAAGCCTAATATATATACATGTATACTCCTGGTTAAGACCCTGGGGTCTAATCTAGGATTATTGATTGTAATTAACACTGATAAAACAAAAAAGTATAGAATCAATAATGGTATAGTTACCATTTTGTTATACCTGGCTAGGAAACTCACACAACCTTATTTCCCATATATTTTACGATAGTATATATGAACCCCGAATGAAATTCATATGTGTATTTGATTCATAAGTTGATACAAAATTGAGTACGAAAATTCTAAGAGCGAAAATAAAAACTGAAAAAATAAAACAACAAATAACTGAAGAATTTACTTTTCAAGTAAATAAAATATTGACTTCCAATTTACTTGTTATGTGATCTTTTTTCTTCCATTAATCTGTATTCATGGACGATTAACTGGCTGAACAGTGAACCTATCTACGCCTCAATGGTAGACAGACGTTTCACTATTGAGACAGTTCACACCAAGACGGTTCACACCAAGACGTTTCACTCCCAAATGGGAGTGAAACGTCTTCAAGACGTTTCACCACCTTTTTATACCAAAATTATTTTGATACATTTGATATACTAAAATAGACCTAAAATAACAATCTTGTGACAACAATTAGCTTTGAGTAACGTGTTTTTTGTTGTTAATTTTAAACATGGGATAAAAAAATGTTAAATTATTTAATGCTAGTATACAGTGCTTTTGCGAAACATGTCAAATATTTTAATGGCCATTGAAATCAGAAATATCTTTAATTAAATTAGAAGCATTGGGCTTTTTCAATATTTGTCATGTATAATCATTTTTTGGTGACAAAATTTCATTATTGTATAAACAAAACTTATGGAGAGGTTTCTATGTTTAAATTGGCTGTTGTCAAAAAATATTTAAATGGTCCAATAAACAACTGATTAGTAAACTGTTGATGCTTTAAGTGCAGTGTTTATACCTTAAGTTTGTTTAATGGCTACTGTTTAATAAATTGTTGGAAGAAAATAATTTTTAAAAATAATTTATTTTATACACATGTTTCGCATTTCATTGTTTAAGACTTACAAAAAATAATCATTATATTCATTATAATGAAAATAATCATAACATTATATAATATATTAAATATATTGATATTTTTTATTGTTTGAATAATATTAGATACTTTACTGGTGTTGATTTCAATATTTAAATTGATACTTATAATATGTCTAAAGTCTTTATTTTTCTTTCTATGTTATTCTATTTTTTTTTAATTTACTATAAATAGAATTTTCTCATGTTGTTACACTTATAATAAAAGTGATATTTCAGAAAACTGTTTTTTAAATGTTAAATGTTTTTTAATTCTTCTAATAATTTGTATTAACAATACCATTGAAATCAACAAAATGAAACATTAAATTGAATTTCCTTTTTACACTGTTTGATTTTAATGAAATTAAAATTTGTTAACTTTCCTGATAAACATCTCTTAAAAATTGGGAGTGAAACGTCCATACAATTGACAAAATGGGAGTGAAACGTCTAGGTGTGAACCGTCTTGGGAGTGAAACGTCTCAATAGTGAAACGTCTTGGGAGTGAAACGTCTGACATTCCGCCTCAATTAGCCTTTATTAGGTCTATTGACGTTTTTTACAGCAACAATTTTGTTGAAAACAAACAGTATAGAATGACACACGCATAAAGAATAATATTTCGATTATCAAAATCATTAATTCAACAATACTTACATACATTAGTCACTTCATAATACGATAGACATAAAGTTATGCGGTTTGTTTAATCATGTTCTGTAAACGGCTCCGCAGTGGTTACCTCCCCTTTTAGAATCGGAATACCTCGACGATTATCCATAGTAAATTATCAAAGCACAGAAGGCGCTGAATTTGTTTGGGTCTCAGAATGTCAGAAAGGTGAAGGTTGTGAGATTATAAACCAATTTGTTTTTGTATAGTGCCACCAATGCTTTCCAGTGTTTTAACTGTAGTAAATTGGCTATAAGACTAATTGCAACACTGGTATTCAATTCAATGTTTATTTGATTTAAAACAATTTGAAAAAAAAATTTAGGGTTTGTAACTCTTATATATTATTTCGACGCTAAACCTGCACTGTTGTTTAACACAGATGTAAATAATCATGGAGCTTACTATAAGCATGTATATCTATAAAGAACAAGTACAAATGTTGCTGCAATGCAGCAATTGAGAAGCTCCGCGCAAAAAAAGCGCTCATTATGTACAGATACCTTACCAAATTATTCCTATGCACAGGTCATGTTATATTCTGATAAAGTACTATTGTAGATTTTTTCCGAATGTTTTGTAAACCATTTTTTGCATAATTATACTTATCTAAATGTGCACTGTCCATAATTAAAAAGAAGGGAAAGATATTTAATCTAAAAGAAAAATGCTTTCGCTGATGCCTACCTGGTAAGGAAAGTAATTCCATTGAATACTGTAGTCAGTAACATAAGATGATAAAGTCTGTATTTTATTATTATAATTGTAACAAATATACAAATAGTAACAAAAGGGACTGATATTACAATATAGTAATATTACATGCATTTTTTTGTCAAATTAAAAAAAAAAGCTTTCTTTCAGCACTCGAGAATGAAAAAATTGGATGAATTTCAAAAAGATCAAATTCAGGAATTTTTTGTTTGTTATACACGCTTTATGTGATGATACAGTATTTATCAATATAATATAAGACTGTTACCTGAATTTTAATTTAAAAATATTTTATTGTATGTATATACATACATACATATATTTTCACAATTATACATAAATACATTAATGTAAATATACAAAAGGGTTGGGCCAAAAGTTATAACAACATTATCGGGGGCCCTCCCCTGAAAATACTGACTGCAATGTTATTTAAACATAGATGTGAAAAAGACATATGTAAAGTATGATCAATTAAGTTGAAATCTAAGAAAAAAATAATTAGAACAAAAAACTTAGTTAAAAATATATTTTCTGATATTTGAAAAAAAAACACGTCCCCTACTCCCTACAACAGTTTTACTATGAATTTTGACAGTTGACAATAGTCTAACAATTTGTATAGAACCATAAAAGCAATGTTTAAAAGAAAATCAAATGTTGTTAAACTATATTAACCTTTTCGTTTCTTTAATAAACTGATGAACATGATGAAATAGAAGCATGTTTTGAGAATTAGTTAAAGTATTTATACCAAAAAGTAGCTTAAAAGAGCATTAGTGCCAGGTGTATGTTTTTTATTACCTCGAAATTTCGAGTTACTAACTCGAAATTTCGACTTACTTATCTCGAAATTTCGAGTTACTAACTCGAAATTTCGACTTACTAACTCGAAATTTCGACTTAGTAACTCGAAATTTCGACTTACTAACTCGAAATTTTGAGTTACTTATCTCGAAATTTCGACTTAGTAACTCGAAATTTCGACTTATTAACATTACAAGAATGGCCAAAGCTATTAGTTAGATGGTATAAGATATAGTAGGCAGTGTTTTTGAACGATGGAGATGGAGAAACGGGTGCCTGGACAAAAACTATTGAAATTTAACTTAAACTTAGTAATGGCATGTACACACCCGACCTAAAAAAAACAAGGCTTCCTTTAATTTGTACGTTCAGGCGTTCTTCAGACGTTGTATTGTATCCCATCTGTTCGAACATATCTTTTCACTAATCATATTCTTCTCATCCCTGTAAAAAAACCGATCCTATACTTCACGTGTGGGACATCTGAGGAAAGTATCGCGGCGTGGCCAAAATAGGGCGTGCTGAGGCCTTTGTCAAAATTGTTCGACTGACTATATTTCTTGTAAAATCGGATGCTTTTATATTATTCCCAACATATATATAACAACAAGTATCACTTTTATCAACTTTTATCAACACAATATCAAAGTATTAGTAAATAATGAATAATGTTACAAAAACATTATTAGTATAAAGAAACGTGGCAGACTAACTGGCGTATACACGCCATTTAAAACTTATTTAACACATGATATTGCATAGTTTACAATAGGGTGGGTTTTGGACTTGTTGTTTCTCCACATGATGGTTGTATGTGTGCTTAAGAAAAAGAAACACCCGGTTAACACAGAAATGTGGAAAGTGTTATTTTACACCCCCCCCCTCCAAAAAAAAGCGAAGGATATGTTCAGTATGTGTGTACAATTTGACCCTATAAAATTGTTCTGTTAAATAAATGTTAAAGGTGCTCTGTCAATGTCCAACAGCTACCCACGAAAGAAAGTATCTTGAATTCAATCCTTGCTTTCACCGGCAACCAATGAAAGTCGTGCAATGTAAGTCGAAATTTCGAGTTAGTAAGTCGAAATTTCGAGATAAGTAACTCGAAATTTCGAGTTAGTAAGTCGAAATTTCGAGTTAATAAGTCGAAATTTCGAGTTAGTAAGTCGAAATTTCGAGTTAGTAAGTCGAAATTTCGAGATAAGTAAGTCGAAATTTCGAGTTAATAAGTCGAAATTTCGAGTTAGTAACTCGAAATTTCGAGATAAGTAAGTCGAAATTTCGAGTTAGTAACTCGAAATTTCGAGTTAATAAAAAACATACACCCGTATACTTTTGCGTACTAAATTCTCTTGTATTTCTAAAAAGTTCTATTCTCTGATGATTAAATTTTTGGCACTGAAATAAAAAAATGTTTAGCGTCCTCTATTAAAATTCCGCATTCACAAGCTGGGTTTTACGGAAGAGCATTAGTGCCAGGTGTATGTTTTTTATTAACCCATTGCTTCATGAGCATTTTGTGAAAAATGGCTGTTTTCATTGAAAAGTCTCCCGTTACAAGTTCAAATTGCTATAATACTATAAAAACTGCTTCAACACTAATCAAACTTGGCACAAATGTTGACTGGACCATTGCCCTTGCAACAACATGCTCAGGCTTAAATTTTCTGTTACCATGGCAACGAGGGGACATCTCAAAATTGCCAAAAATCACTATTTTGCGTTGATTTTTTCCATCAAAATTGATTTCAAAGTGCTGCAACTTCTCAATGGATTGAGATAGAGTCAAATGCTTTTCAGCGTTGCTTACACGTTACCTTATGATCAATCTGGGGTCATTTACAGCCTCTCACAAGCCCAAAATTTTCTTGGCGATGAGGGGGACTCCGCCCCCCTTCAAACCCCCCAAACAGAAGGGGGCACATCCCCCTTCTGGCAACCCCCTGATGTATCTTTTGGTTGGGGGGCCGCGCCGAAAAAGAGGTCACTTTTTTTAACAACATTTCTCAAACAAAACCAAGTGTTTGGGGCCTAAATAAGGCATTTTTTCATCATTTGAGACAACAAAAAAGGGGGGGGGGTGAAAAAGGCGTTAAAAGGCGTGTATATGAAGTAATGGGTTAACAGAAAATGATGAAAATACTTGAAATTACCCTAAATCGCGTTTTTTCATGTTTAAACATGGCCTGTCATATAAATTTGATGAAAAATTGTTGTTTTGTAGATTTTTTTATTTTTTTCATTAACTCGAAATTTCGAGTAACTAACTCGAAATTTCGACTTACTAACTCGAAATTTCGAGTTACTTATCTCGAAATTTCGAGTTACTTATCTCGAAATTTCGAGTTACAAACTCGAAATTTCAAGTTACTAACTCGAAATTTCGACTTACTAACTCGAAATTTCGACTTACTAACTCGAAATTTCGACTTACTAACTCGAAATTTCGAGTTACTTATCTCGAAATTTCGAGTTACTAACTCGAGATTTCGACATACTAACTCGAAATTTCGACATACTAACTCGAAATTTCGAGTTACTAACTCGAAATTTCGACTTAGTAACTCGAAATTTCGACATACTAACTCGAAATTTCGACATACTAACTCGAAATTTCGACTTAGTAACTCGAAATTTCGACTTACATTGCACGACTTTCATTGGTTGCCGGTGAAAGCAAGGATTGAATTCAAGATACTTTCTTTCGTGTGTAGTTGTTGCACATTGACAGAGCACCTTTAACATTTATTTAACAGAACAATTTTAAAGGGTCAAATTGTCCACACATACTGAACATATCCTTCGCTTTTTGTGGAGGGGGGGGGGGGGAGGTTGTAAAATCACACTTTCCACATTTCCGTGTTAACAGGGTGTTTCTTTTTCTTAAGCACACATACAACCATCATATGGAGAAACAACAAGTCCAAAACCCACCCTATTGTAAACTGTGCAATACCATGTGTTAAATACGTTTTAAATGACGTGTATAGGCCAGTTAGTCTGTCACGTTTCTTTATACTAATAATGTTTTTGTAACATTATTCATTATTTACTAATACTTTGATTCATACTGTGTTGATAAAAGTTGATAAAAGTGATACGTGTTATAATATATATGTTGGGAACAATATAAAAGCATCCGATTTTACAAGAAATATAGTCAGTCCAACAATTTTGACAAAGGCCTCAGCACGCCCTATTTTGGCCACGCCGCGATACTTTCCTCAGATGTCCCACACGTAAAGTATAGGATCGGTTTTTTTACAGGGATGAGAAGAATATGATTAGTGAAAAGATATGTTCGAACAGATGGGATACAATACAACGTCTGAAGAACGCCTGAACGTACAAATTAAAGGAAGCCTTGTATTTTTTATGCCAGGTGTGTACATGCCATTACTAAGTTTAAGTTAAATTTCAATAGTTTTTGTCCAGGCACCCGTTTCTCCATCTCCATCGTTCAAAGGCACTGTCTACTATATCTTATACCATCTAAAATAACTTTGGCCATTCTTGTAATGTTAATAAGTCGAAATTTCGAGTTACTAAGTCGAAATTTCGAGATAAGTAACTCGAAATTTCGAGTTAGTAAGTCGAAATTTCGAGTTACTAAGTCGAAATTTCGGGGTAGTAAGTCGAAATTTCGAGTTACTTAGTCGAAATTTCGAGTTAGTAAGTCGAAATTTCGAGTTAGTAACTCGAAATTTCGAGATAAGTAACTCGAAATTTCGAGTTAGTAAGTCGAAATTTCGAGATAAGTAACTCGAAATTTCGAGATAAGTAACTCGAAATTTCGAGTTAGTAACTCGAAATTTCGAGTTAATAAAAAACATACACCTGGCACTAATGCTCTTCCGTAGGGTTTTGTAGAATATGATGACCTGAATTTTAGGCAGGTATGTGGAAATTCACTAACATCATGTTCGTGCAAGTCAAAGATATAAAAGCTATTTGACATTAGTGATATATATAAAAACTATTGTTAATTGATTTATTGGGAGATCGATATATACTTTTCTGTTGAATTGCTTTAGAACTATATATAAAAAACTTACACTTCATGTTCAAACTGCAGATCAAAGTTTCTGTTGTTATCAATGATGCAATCTATCTATAGCCTGAGCATAGTGAGGGTGGTCTCAAAATGCAGCTTTCGCTGTCGAGTACGTACCCTTAAATACCCTTAAAGCACTAAGTAGAATGCTATACCTAAGAGCCAATGAAATGTAACATTACATACTATAAAGTTTAATTATTTCAAAACAACCAATATATCAACATGTTATTATTAAACATTTAATTTCATAAATATAAATTAAGAATAATAATCAAAAGCAAAATTATTAAAGTCTTATGCCTGAAATATTCTTTATATTGACAAATTTAATCACTAATAGTATACTTGATATGCTGTGTGTAAATGTAATTCAAAATCTAACAAATTATAATTTCATGTTCTACTGAAAAAGGGAAATAACAAATTTATAACCTAAGTGTCAAAAATCAGAACATTTATAGCTATTTATAGCTTTCGAACTGCTTTCCGGTTCTCATACATAAATATGATATGCTGCGAATCAACGACGGGGAAACCAATATAGAAATCGAAAGGAGTTCTTGAATGCGGATTTACTTTTAGCTGCAAATCGAAGGGATTTATTGATCAAATCCGGGTCCATGGACAAAAAAAATAGTAAACACAAATAGCTCCGCGCCTGTGGGCGCGGAGCAATAAAACAATGTCATTCGCGAACTATTTTGCTTGAAAATTTATGCGCCTGTCAATTGACAATCTTTACGCAGTGATCTCCCCTGAATTTTTCGGCGTTAGTGTACATATAAAGGGAAGTAACCGCTTCAAAAAAGCGGACTTCTTTCGGCATTTGCAATTAGATTCGCTCAGAAATGTATGCTGTTTTAAAGCAGCACGCCCCCCCCCCCCTCCAGATTCATGTTAATTTTCATGAAAATTTTCGAAATGTATCTAAAAGTAAAATATTGTGAGGTGCACAAATAAAGAAATTTACATATTGCAATCGGCATGTAAAATTTAAAATCCAAGAAAATTACTAAAAGTGGTCAACATATGCAAACAACAGCCCTTACTGCGTTAGCAACGCAGTAGAAATATGGTGATAAAATACTGCAAATCAGTCTTAAATCGCGCATAACATGTGAAAATTATCTTGGATCTTGAATTTTACCTTGCTTAAAATGTTAGTACATGTTTCTGAATATTGATTTCCTTAAAATATTTGGACTCATCTGGGGGCGTACAGCTTTAAACTCGAAATCGGTTAATTATCAGCAAATCATGATTTGAACACTTCTTTCATGAAGCAGAATTTGTAAGGCAAATGCGAAATTTTAGGAAATTCTGGCATTTAAACAAAAATAATTCATGTCAAAAGCATCATTTAAAGTGTTAACATTTGGAACTCTATATGTTACCAGATACTTTCTGGTATCAATACAAGGAACGAATTAGAAGGAAATTATTTTCCCTTCAGGTAACGTAATCGCCGTAAGCGTGACACGAGTGCAAGTATATCAGTATATAAGTTTATTCAGCTTTGGGTAATCTAACGATTTACATCGTTAAGTTTTTCAAAAATAGAAAGTAAATAATTATGAATAAAGCATAAGTTTCATTCATAGGTAGAGTGTGAACAGATGTGCATTCGTAAATTTGTTACATACTACATGTTTGTAAATTTCTAAATATATATACAATACATGGTAACTGTCACTCATCTAATTGTACTATTCTTTTTTCTTTTTTTTCTTTTTTTTAATGTAAGAGATCAACTGCACCGTCTGATGTTTGATCTTAGTTACAATTTTTGGTGTGTTGTAATATTAATATTGTCATTGTAAATTCGACCACATGCACTGTTAGTATTATTGAGCACATTCGCCATTTTTATACAAGTACATAATTATCTACATCTATATATATATACATTTATTTTCTGTTGCATATATATTCTATATAAATATGGTGTATATAATTTTTTTCACGTCATAATACACACTGTTTATAGTTTTCTTGCCTTAATAAAATAATTACTATCAACAACTAGCTACTATATGTTGTAGTTATTAGAGCCTATAAACGTCCGTTGAACAGTCAATTGCTTATTTATAAGTTAGCATCCTTTTCAGGATATAGGTCTCATTATTTAATGCTGCTTGTAAACGAATTGTATAAATGTATAAGGAACATTTTGTTTATGCTAAATTTCTCGTTGTTTAATCATTTTTGATCAACATTCAAACACTTCGTCTTGATTATAAATAGATAAATACCCTTTTTCATGATAATAGTATAAGTGTTAATTCAGTCAATTTTAAGTTTGATTCAAGATTAATTTAATATAAAGTATAATCATAAAAATCCGCTTTTTTGCTCAACACATTTTTCTTCTTTCTTTATCTGTCTAGAAATGTCCATGTTTTACTTTTTGTATATCTTTTTGACAATTTGGGGTTTATTTGGATCCAGCATTAAATTTTGTGGTGTTGTTTTGATAATAAAATAAAAACTTGCACTTCCACAGCTGAAACATTTGTGCATCTGGACAAAAATGCCAAAGTAAAGATAGTCTAACGTGGGAGAATGTATCCATGCTGTTGTAAGTGAATACTATTCCCCAAATGACCGGCCTTTGAGATAAATTTAAATAAGAAATATGATCAGTTCTCGGCATGGCCATCTTTAACTGAATTTTGTAGCTTAGTGTCATCTTCATATATCGAGTTAAAAAAAGTAAATAATGAAAAGAGGGCGATCGATCTGGGACAGAAAGATACACATTTTTAGTCCCATTAACAATGAAAAAAATCATAAAAAAATACAAAAAATAATTTAAATCAAGGCAAGGTGATTTGTATAAACTGTGTTGAAATAAAATTTCGAAAGATCAACACATGCTATACGAGCATTTAAGATTAGGGGAGATTTAACATAATTTTTATACAAAATGTCAGAAGTCAGTTCTATCAAAAAATATCACGTTGCATTTTTACTGAAAGTCACATTTGAACAAACAGTTTCATTCAAAACACAAGACTATCTTCAGTTTTAAAGCTACCCTTTATGATAGACACTGATGTTATCTCACGTTTTATCGTACAGTGTTCATTAAGTGAATTAAACTGTGCCTAATATAGTCACGCAACTCTCAGATTAATGAATTTACATTAGCGGTGTAAACGTTCGGCCGTAAACCATTCATAGTTTTCTTTTCCACAATCTTATCACTGTCCTTTCACTGTGAAAAATGGTCACAAGTTTGTGTTTCCATACATATGGCGGAATTTAAAATCGGCAAATATCTTGTGACTGTATTATTATTTCGTAAGTATATTATTCTTAAGATAAAAATAAAATGCGCTTCAGAATTTAATCCTTTTTTATTTTAAACATGTAGAATATGTGGATCTATTAAACAATCTTTTTTTTTCTTTTTTTTTTCCCGTATTTTGCATTTCAAACATGTTAAAAAAAGAAGTGAAAATTCACAAAATATAACACTTAAGTGTTTCCTAACTAACGGATGAAAGACATCACTAAATGGTTCTGGCATTTCATAGTAAAACGAAAAACAATATTTAAAATTTAATTGCTTTTATTAAGTATTTCGCTATGAATTGAATTTTACGAAATATAAGCAACATTTTTAAAGAAAATTTTAAGAGGGTGGGAATGTTTTGTGACATTCGCATCTAATGCAAACGTAATTGTATCTTTGTTGAAAGAGCGCATTCTTTTTAAATGTAAAGTCTAAACTGCTCATTATTTGCCAAGTCTAAAACAAAATTATTTTTCGAGTCAAGATTGTCTATTATTTAAGTATTTCCTAGTATTTCTTAAGTCTAAACTAATTAAAATTTCCCGAGTCTAAACCATTTATTATTTCCCAGAGTCTTAAACATTTATTTTTCTAGAGTCTTTGTCGTTATTTTTCTTCATTGCAATGTCTTACTTGATGTAAGCCATCATGTTTTTACTTGATGTAAGCCTGTCGCTAACAATGTACACCAAACGGCGCGTTGTCGTGCGGCGTTTTGTCGCGACGTCACATACTCGCTCGGTTCATATCGAAGGATTGGCTTATAAGCTAAGCGACAGGGCGACAACGCACCGCAAGACAACGCGCCGTTTGGCGTGGTTCGCCAGAGACAGGACGATAAGACGACATCTTGGCAACGCGCCGTTTGGCGCTTTGTCGTGTTGTCGCTAGCGGCAAGGCGAAAAGGCGATAACGATATAGGTTGCGTTGTCGCTATCGACAACGTAACGCGCAATGTACCAAATAAGCCACCATATGAATAAGCACCGACAATATTGCAACAGCTTCATCTTTTGTTTTACCCCCGGTAATCACAACAACGAATTTCAGTTTGTAGATATTAGCAATTATTTAAGTTATATGCCAACATCTAATCTTGCTCAAATTCCACTCGCAATTGTTTCTAGCAATCAACTTTATTGGTTTCAGCGTATTCATTACGCTGAATATACGCTGCGCTTACCAAAGGCTAGTTTATTCTAATGAAAAGTCAAAACTTAATTAAGTTAATGTTAACATATTGTAGAAACATGTCGAAGTGTTGACGAAAATTGTGACTACCTGGATACAAGCAGAAAAGATCGCACAAACCATCTTCAGTGCGAGAACTATGGATGTTGTGGTGACTTTAAGAACAGACACTGCTGTGTTGGGTGAGTAGTTTCAAGGTATCTAAGTATGTATACGTATACGGTCAAAACAGAAATACCAGTATTTAAGTATATAAACTTATACGGTAAAAACAGAAATACCGTTACTTAATTAAGTATATAAACGTATACGGTCAAAACAGGTTTAAGTATACGTATAGGATCAAAACAAAAATACCGATATTTAAGTATACGTATAGAATCAAACATAAATATCGGTATTTAAGTATACGTATAGGATCAAACAGAAATACCGGCATTGAAGCATACGTATACGTCAAAACAATACCGGTATTAAGTTTATATACGTATACGGTCAAAACATGTTTTAGTATACGTATACGGTCAAAACAGAAATTTCCGGTATTTAAGTATACGAAACGGATGAAAAACACAAGTACCGGTATTTAAGTATACGTATACGATTTTATAATGTTGTTGTAAAAAGGTGATTGCTAAACAGATGGTTGCCCTGTAGAGGTGGTCGTGGGGATGCAATTATATATCACGAGATGCTTTAATTTTTAATGATTCATGTATCCATTAGTCCTAAAAACATCAGCAGAAACTAGAGTTTTGTTGTCGTGTCTGTACCACGTGATTGTATCTCATTTTGTTACATTGACGTTAGCTAGATCTTTAGATATTTGATATAATTTATAGACGTAATGTTCTCTGATGCATTTGGACCTTTACCTCTTTTTAACGTTCGTTAATTCATAAATGAGGACCTGTCCTGTCAACCCAAGGTTTGAGGTTTCCTGCCCTTCTGATATATTATGATCAAGTTTTTTCATATGATTCCAGCACAGAACACGGACTCGAAAGTGATTAATGAACGAAAGTTACTAGAACTCGTTATACACACAAAAAAGCATGTTTAAAGTCACAAAGTTGACTAATAATCATACATCGGTGATAATTAAACTTTGCATTTTAGGTGTTGAAATTTGAGATCCGAGATTTATGATCGGGGGTCTCGCGAAATAGTACAAAATACATTTTGCATTTTTTATTTTTACTGTTTTTAGACCAATACCAATACTTGCTGGGGTATTTGGATCCATTTTGTTCATTCTTTTTGTGGCCGTGATAATAGGAGTATGTTGCACTCATCAAAAGAAAAAGAACAGAACTATTCCGGTTCCTACAATTACAGCAGGTATACACATGATATATTTGTAGTCTTTACAACTACAGAAAGTAAAATATAGGAAATCAAATTATATTAAATAGAGGATATTTGTTAAGTTCAGTGTAAGATCGGAATATATTTCACCGAGTGAGCACCAAAAGGTATATTTCACGAGTGGCGCAGCCACGAGTGAAATGTGAACTTTTGGTGTCCACGAGGTGAAATATATTTCGATCTTACACTAAACTTAACAAATTTTCTTTTTATTATATGCAAACAAACGTTAAAAAGGACATTTTTATCTAACACTAAATGAAAAGCGCGCCAAATAATTATACAACGTGACGTCATTTTCGACGTCACGTCATTAAGTTGGTACCCAGTACTGTACACGCTGGTATTTCACTGAAACAACGTAAGGGGCTTAAATTCAAAACAGTGAAATTATCAAAGTGGTAATTTCACTGTTTCAAACAGTGAAATTACCAGTTTTATATCACTGATATATTTCTATAAACCACCGAAAAGCATGTAATAAAGTCTAGTAAAAACCCTCTATTAAGACCACCAACCGTACCCTCTAAGAACACCAACCGGTCGTAGGGACTTTATATAATTTGTTCATTTTCATGTATCATAATAGCATTAATTTCCTGAATACATTTTATCCTTTTGATACTTGTTTGATGTTTGATTTAATTTTGTTTTATGTAATTGAATAAATCTATGTGTAAATGATTGTTCAAAGGTCTCGAGGAAAATAGGATTTATACTATCAAGTTACCTTTGGTGAAAAAGTACATGTATATTCATTCATTCATTCATTCATTCATTATTTCGTTCTTTCTTTCTTTCATTCATTCATTCATTCATTCATTCATTCATTCATTCAATCTTTCATTCATTCATTCATTCATTCATTCATTCATTCATTCATTCATGTACATGTAAATGGTTTGATCATCTATTAAATCAGTCCAAGGTAAAACATGAACAAAAAGCCAAATTCAATCAAGCTAAAATTATTACTTTTACTTAGACTTTTCGAGAAAACTCTTGATACAGTCAGGTCATCGATGCCGTTGAGGAACTTTAACGTTGGCCATTATTTCTGTTTAATTTTTAATGGATTGTCTTCATACTTTGACACACCAAACTAAAACATTTGTCTTCCGATTATGCTCGTTTCCAACTGCAGCAGCAGGTAAAATGTTTAGTTAACACGAATCGACATTCATGTACTAGTGAATAGAGAAAGAGATTGTCCATCTAGAGACAATTATTATGACATGATTGATATCGTAATAAGAGGCTATTTAATTCCCACATTTTACATTTCAGAAATGTACAACGATATACCGCTGCCTTCGCCGCCATGCCAAACTCCACTTGTATATAACCCGACGAGGCTTCATCCACCACCACAAATAACACACCCATTCCGACATAATAAAGTAGAGGACGTTATACCCAACCACCCACCACCATCAAACCTTCATCCACCTAGATTAAAAGCATTTAGATCAAAATGAGCGTTCAAGCTATAACAGAAACGATTTCAATATAAACAAGTGTCAACTGCACTCGGAGTGCACCATCAAAACTAGTAAATTACATTACCTTACATAAACTATAACGCTAGCCATAATGCGTTGGTATAAACCGTATATGGCATGAGCAGAAAACGTCAAGACAAGGGTGTAGCCTACTTTAAATTTACGGGTAGGCCGAATTCTAGGGTGTCTGGGCGCCTGTCATCTTGCTCCGGAATTTTAGAGGTGCGTTTTGGTTATACACCAAATAAAATGCTCAGGGGATTGTTAAACATATAAGGAGAAAAGTAAATTATTTTAATCTGTACACATTTCTGAAAATGGTGAAGGCCGCGGACTACACTCAGAGTTCACTGCAACATCAACTGGAGTATACCGCAAGCCTCAGCTCGAATAAACAGTACTTGGCAAATTAAGTATACTAACCATACTGTTAACCGTGAAGAAATATAAAATAGGTTGAAGCAAGAAATGGTTAATGTCCAAACAGTTCGAAAATGCTTCACAAGCCACAAGCTTTTGGTAGTTATACAGGAACTGTAACTATTTGCGACCTTTGCCGTTATGTATCCATCTGTTCAACTTTTGACAGAAATACAAGTGTATACATTTTTGAAGCTATTACAATTGTGTTTATTATATCTTTATCAATTGAAGCACCTGTAACATTACTAAAAAGAAACATGAAATGTGCGCCTAATCGGCCATTAATTTTTTGACGAAATTCATAAAAAATATGTTGACAACATCGTATAGAAGAAAACTGAGGCAAAATTACAACTTGCTTTTTTGTACATACCCCTGTTGCTTTTTTACAAGTTACCGGTAACACTATACTTATTTCATGGAAATAGATATATTCTGTACAATGCGATCAACCATATGTGGCGATACGTTTATAGTACGCAATAACATAGTCACATTCTAAAATGCTTTGAGGCGAACATTTCTTCCACCTTTGATTTGTTAATTGTTTGGTTTGAGTGTTTTTTTTTTAATTCAATCATTGTAACGGTAAATTATGTTGTCATACTTATTGGGTCGGCAGGGTTATGCTAGGTATGGTCGGGCTGTCCCCCCCCCCCCCCCAAAAAAAGAGGATGTTTTCAGACATAAACTTTGACATTTTGACAGTAAAGTTGCTAATCTCGTCTGCTGCACTCTTACAGAGTATTTTTTAAAGGAGCTCCATATAGGTCCAAATGCCTAAAATTTGAAAATCTTACATAAATCAACTGGTGCACTTAAAACGTGTAAATATGAAAAATATACTCGGGTTTAAATTGAAGATTCATATTTAGTGCGATTCTTGACCCAATTTAAGTTAAAAGCGTTAAAACGCTTTTCATTTCTATATCACTTTGCATCAATTTTTAAAAAAAAACGGATCCGATAAATTGTGCACAAGTTAGTCCCCATTATATTGAATAAAGATCTCGGGAAAAAATCCAGCCCCTTCATGTCTACACAATCCTCACTGGATCCGCTTTAAGTGAATTATAGAATTGGATAAAAGTTATATATCTATATACCAGTCATTAATTTAAAAAAAATGAAAGCTTTTTTTAATGTTTGTTTATAACTTTACTGGTCCAATGTATTTACAATTTAATCCTTGCTAACAATATATCCAGAAAACGTCGTTAAGAGACCCTCTCCGTGGTATAAGCGGTTTGAATCCGAGATTGAATGAGCGTGCTGAACCCACAAGTCATCACCCTTGCGCATGTGCAACAACAGACCGTTAGTTGCGGTGTGAAATTGGTTGTCGTTTGCAGTGCGTATTTTAATCACTGGGGAACCATTCAACATGAATGACGCAGCCAACGTGTATCCTGCATTGTTGGTCAAAGAAGCAAAAAACTGATACGTTCCATTAAAAGGTGCTCGGAACTGGGCGTGCCTTGCATCGTAAGCATTCCCTTCGTTTAATGTTACATTATCGAAAGGTACCGGCTGATCAACGCCAAGAACAGTGATGTCTTTGTCAAGATGGGCAGTAAAAGCCACTGTAGAATCACCGGTACAGCGACAGGCAGCTGAAATCAAAATATAGGCGCTTAAAACTTTAACTCTCGAGCGTTTATGGTCATCAAGTAAAAACACGTTATGTGAAATTCAAATTGGTCTCAACATACTTTAACTGACATGTTGCTCTAGTAACTAGCGTATACATCGTGCCACACCTAAAATGAACAACATTAACAGTAACAATATACTTCATACCGTATAGGTAATTGATCAATATGGTGTAAGGGAGACAACTTCTTTGAAGCGTATATCGTAATAATCAAGGGAAGTAATACACGCCAAACAATAAACAATTTTAAAAATTCTTAGTTTTAAGACAAGTTGATTTTTACAAAACAGTTGTTAGGGTTATATACACTGTCATGTGGATGATATAAAGACTTAAAAATATATTTAATACTTTTACTGCAAAACTATGAAAGGCTTACTATAAATATGTCTAATTTGAACAAATTAATGGTCAAGTTAAAATTGTCCTTTCTTAAAAAAAATGTCAGTTAATGTGTTTTTTAAGAACTGATGCACTTTCTAGTAGACAAACTTCTTTCAATAGCGTGATACCTACAGTTTTTTATCGATAATCACCTTTGGTACATTTTGGTTATGTTACAAATAACATGATTCAATATAGTTTTATACCGCGTTAAGGTTGTGACACTTATCGCTATATCAATACAAAGTTCATTATCAATTAAGAAGTTGTGTGTACTTTCAGAATAAATGATTCGTTTCTTAGACAGGTGCCAAAAAGGTGACATTATTTCAACATTTTAATGACATGTGTCGTGAAAAAATGGAAGCGTACCCCGATCTTGTCAACATCTCACTTTCAAATAAATCACCTCATGTAGAGCCCGTGTTTCGCCAACACATTTGATCAAGACTTGTTTTTTTTGTAATATCAGTTTAAAAATAGACACTCATTTGCTACAGACTGTTTACCTTGCTAGAAGTCCAGGGTCAAATACTTGTTTAGACTATCTAAACTCTAACATATACAAATCTTGTTTTTATAAAAGTATCTTCATTTTCAGAAAATATCAACCTTGAACAGTTTTTGTAACTTATGAAGTATGGTAAAAGGTACTCTTGAATGATGTAAAAATCTTCATTCAAATATATAGTATCCAAGTACTTAGGACGAGGCGATCTATCCATGTTTCTTTTAAAAAGTTTAATTTTTATTTTTCACCAATAGCTGTACGATTTGCTCTCATGAGCTAGAAAATAAAACATTTGTAAAATAATTTCTTATTCATAAAACTAGCAAACGAAAACAAAGCATACCTTTAGCTGAAGCAGATTTTCTTACAAGCAGGTCGTAGTTTTCTTTATATTGGGCAACTTTTGCTTGCAACGCCGCCCGCCCTGATGTGACCTTGGCTAGTTCGTTCAGAATTAGAGCGTAACGTACAGGTGTCACGGTGGTTCCTTGCTGATTCTGTGCAATCGTAGACACAAACAATGTGACAATCAGTAAAAACCGTGCTACCATGACTGTTAGTATTGTTCACAAAAATCTAGTGTCTACAATATGTTAAATAACTTTAAATATACATGTTTCATGACCTTAGATAAGAATTTACACTAACGCACTGATCTTTAAAGAATAGTGTGTTTCTTATCGTTCAGAGATCACAATGTCAATTCTTTCCGCTTCGTCAAATTGTGAAAGAACTTTTTAGTAGAAATATTCATACTAGTATTATAAGGGCTGCCAAGTTAGCTAAAAAATAAGTACGTCAAAATGTTTCGATTTCGAGCTAGTCTTGTGCGTAGAGTATAACGTCTGCTGTGGTGAAGACCCTACCGATCTCTGGGGTAAAAAACGATTTATTTGGTCAAAATGTTTCGACTTCAAGCTAGTCTTGTGCGTAGAGTATGTCGTCTGTTGTGGAGTAGACTCCCTCCCCCACCCCAATCTCTGGAATTAAACCAGGCAATTTGCTATTTATCTGGAAATATTCGCAAATATTTGTAAGGTGTCCATCAAATGCGCATCTGTCTCATGGTCACTTCTATTGGAAACTCATAATAGTAAGTTACAAACTAGACTTTTTTGGCGGGAAAATGGAAATTATTTATCATAGTTGCAGCAGACTACGCCTTTGTTGGAAAAAAATAATATTAAATAATGCTTATCCATAGAAAAACTCGCGGAGTATTGAGGAAGTTTTATTAAAACTTCACACACTGAAAAAGACCAGTGAGAAACAGTGCAGTGTCAATTAATCATACCACATGCTTACTTTCATAATAAATCATTTTAATTTTTAATACTTTTCATCCTTTTGCTTTTTAACCAAGGTATGTCATATTTTGTAAGATCATGGCTTGTGTGGTTCTCAAACCTAACTTCAGAGTGAGCTAACAGTCACTTGGGTCAAGGTTAATAGTGCTAAAGATATTTTAAGAAAAAATATTGAAAACCACGTGGTCTTTAGCGATGTCTTGTTCCATTACATTGGTTATTTGATCATGAAAAGTGTACAAATCCAGCCTCTCTTCTATATAAGATTGCATAACAAAAATTACCCATTAATAAAGAAAGGTAAAAGAAACACAAAGTATGTACAGGAAAAATTTGTTTTTCTTTTCACGACTGTCAATGTATACGAATCTATATCTATTGCATCAGTTAATTAAAGCAACATTATGCTCATTTTGTCACTGTCGAGCTGAGATAATTCAGTTAAACATTTCAAATGATTGACTATTTTAATGAGTATTGAACAATAATTGATATTCACAAATGTTTAGGATATAATGTAAAGACTACCCCAATCCTTTTTTTATAAATTGAACATTATTTGAAGTTATTTTAAAGGGTATAAAGCTATATCTTATGTTTATCAACATTAAAATTATATTGGTTCCATAATCCTATGGTCAATTCCCCAAGAATTGTTACATAGAATGCCTCTGTTATTAAGCACACATATGAATATTGCACAAAACAGAATAAAATGTTCCAAAACAAAATATTATTCTGCTATTTTAAGTAGGAATTTATCCCTTTAGCAATGTTTTCGTGCATGTGTAATTTGCAATTTACTACCATATTTATTTCATACAAGCACTTTGGAAGTATTCTTTTTAATATTCAAACAATGATTTTTGCAGCATATATATATATATAACTTTATATACTTTAATTTCACCTGAATACTCACTATTTACTCTTAGATGGGCATGTCACTTCAAGCATATGAGACTGTAACCTTAATATTTGCAAAGGAAGTATAAAGAAACTCGAATTAGTAACACTAATTTATTAACATTTACAAATTTCCAAGGAAACTGAAAATGTACAAGCATAAATTTCATTTCATTATTTCAAGCTACTTTTCTTTTCACAGTTGCTATACAGGCACTTTGACACTGAGCATCATCACAGCTTTGCCTTACAATTGTTTTTTTCTTTCAAATCCTTAGTAACAGAAGGAATTCACAAACTTACAAACCAGTGGCACCTTATATCAAAATCTAGTCTTTTTCTTAGATAATGTGTAAAACATTGCAGCAAATTAAAATACTTATGCAGACGATAAAGACAATACAACTTTTGTTTTACTTTTTTGTTAAATGTAAAAAATCTATCACTGAATTCATAAATGTTCTTGACACAAAGTGGATATGATAGCTGGAAAACAGAGTAACTTTTTAGGCAGCATCAAAATACTATACAAATAAAAATAAAATTGTCTTTGGTGAAAGGTGAAAAGTTTGTTTGTCTGGTTTTAAAACTAATTTCGCAATATTCTTGAAGTAATTGTATCAAAAGATATTGAATGTTCAAATCAGGTTTGTTATCTTAGACTGTGTCCATTTACTAAAACAAACACTACTTCTGAAACGTCCATCAATAATGTACAGAACCAGAGACTTTTATTACAGCTCTTTGATAGAATAGTTCAATCACCAACTGAGAATCTACATGTTTGAGATTCCAACAGAATTTGAGTACATCCAAATTTCAAAACAACAGTCTACAGTCTAGCAATCAGATCATCTCTACATCCCTTTCTATACCCACAAATCTTAGTTGTTCTGTTGGTCCATATCTACAAATAAAACAAAAATATATTTTATTTTTGGAAGAACACCAATATGAGCTAAAGGTTAGTTTTTTGCCCCAGAGACAGTTAATATGTTTTATCTTTATAGACAACCTATAAAGAATGGTGAGAATTATGTTTGATGGTTAGTGGTCCATTACTCCATATAAACAAGGTTACTGAAAGAGTTTCAGTTTTTGAACAGTAGTGTGTCCTCTTGATCACTACAATTTGTGAATAAACAAGAGCTGTAACAGGAGACTGCGAAGCTCGACTAATAAAATACTGGAGGCAGTAAGGAAGACAAAACTATGAAAAAAATCAATTATGTATAATTATGTATTAAGTTATAGTAAAAAAATAACATAATAATAATAAAATTAACATAAATTCCAAGATCAAGGGGAATAATTCTGGAAATAGTCACGCTAGAGTTCTGAAACTTGTCACACAACATGATTGTGTGTAATGATAAGAAATATATATTTGAAGTTTGAAGTAGATACCTTAAAAAGTAAAGAAGTTATAATATTTCTAATAGAAAATCCTAAGTTCAAAGAGAGATAAATCTGTAAATATTGCTTCAAGAGTTATGAACCTTGTTACATAAAATGTAATGATAAGGAATAAGTATTTGAAGTTTGAGGAAGATACCTTTAAAACTAAAAATTTATAGTAAAAAATAACATAATATTTTTTAAGAAAAATTATAAGCTCAAGGGGAGATAAATCTGAAAATATTGGTGCTAGAGTTATGAACCTTGTCACATAAGATGTGGTTGATGATTAGGAACATATATTTGAAGTTTGAACTTGATACCTTAAGAAATGACAAAGTTATAGTGAAAAATATTTTACTGCACCAAAACTTTAACGCGGACGCCGGGGCTAGTAGGACAGCTCTCCATATACTTCGTATAGTCAAGCTTAAATGAAATGAATGGGATCTAATATCTGCCCATTTCCTCAAGCAGAAATTTACAGTACATTGCTTCACCTCCCAATAGTGTAAATGCTACTCAAGATGGGATATAATTCTATGGCACCATAACACTAACTGCTGTAAGATTAGTGAAAGGCTCTTCAGGAACTCTGTACACCATCTTGTTCAACAAACAGAAAATTTTGATTTTTTTTTTAAAGGACCTTTAAATCCTTTCTTGTATTGTTTAATCACATCTTGTTTGTAGAGTTTTTATGTTGATTTCAACACTTTTTTTTTATTGAGTCTTTTTTTTTTGGTGTAAATATTTGGCAATTTGTCCGCATAACCAGCTTTTCTGGATAACTAATCAGTAATTACCAATTTCTTAGCAAGTGACCAACTACTTGCCCACATGATTTCTGAATCAGCAGTGAGAGACAAATGACCATTACACTCAATTTTCAAGAGAACCAGGGAACTCTGGATTACAATCTGATGCTCTCACATTTAAGCTAAATGGACAGCTTCCACATTTGGGCTGGTGGTTTAGAATCATTAATAAGACATGATGATATTTTAAGATAAACTTATGACAAGAACTGATTACAATATCCCAAAAGACAAACATACCTGTAATCAAAGAAAAGTTCCTCCCCTGATTGTATAGGTCGTTTAGCAAAGATTCCAATTCTGTGATCTCCATTCACCATCATTACCTTAGCATAACAATTTGGATTGACTGAATGGTTAGCAAACCGGATCTTGTTTCCTTTACGTGTTGCATCAACCACAAAATCTGCAATATACAATTGGACTTTTGTACAATGGATTATAGCAATATATTGACTCGCTATTGTCAGCTAGTATAAGCCACTAGCTGATAAGCCCCGCCTAAATTTACCTGGCATCACCTCTCTGTAGTATCATTAGTAAATAGATTTAGAAACCGAACGACTGCGTTGTTAAATCACTCTACCCATGCTTGTCCACTTGTCCAGCGGACACTACAATTATATTAATGCATTATATTAATTGAATGAAACTCTTAAAGCACATTTCAGATGCCAAGATTTGAAACAATATTAAGATACAACAATGACAAAACTTACCATTGTTAAGATTGAAGAGGAAACTACACATGTATTTATCATAGACCTTGCCTCGTCTATCTGCCTCATCCTGTGATATAATCTGTAACATAAATATACCTTATATCTATATATACATGTATAAAGCTTCAAGTAAATTTCTGAGATATTCCAGTACTAATAAATTTTGCTTCTTTAAAATGAAGCATGCTCAAAAGTTTTTCTGCAGCCATGAAAGATTTGTTTAATTAAAAAAATGTTTAATAAATAGACAGAATAGTTTTGTTATTGAGGCTACTTCTGTCAATCATCAGATAAGCTCTAATTGGCGAGGTGTTTCGATGTATTACAGGAGCAAATGGTATATGCCGCCAGCAATCATTCTAAACACTGTGGAGAGGTCTGATGACCTCTTAAATAAAATTCTTAACATTTTCTTAGTCAGAAAGATAACTTTCACAATATGCTTGCAAGAGTTGAAGTCTCATTAGTTTGTTCCTGGTGTTTTTGAGAAATCTCTTCTTTTCAAGACCAGAGTTGAATCACTGACATTCCATCAGCTAACTTGATAGTTTCCCCACAACAGTCGAGGCAAGCGATTTGATATAAACAACCGTAACCATCCTACCACTTCAGCCCCTTTGAAAGCTGCTGATCAAATGATTAAAGGCTGTTGCTAAAATGTTTCTTTAGATAAAGAGGAGAAATAGTTTTTACATACAAGGTCTCTCTGGCTTCGAGCATCAACACCATATAAATTTCAACCACACTTTTGAGACTGTGTGAAAAAATAAATCCTTAGTAATTGAGCTGAAATGAGGATTTAGCACAAGGATTACATACCTCACCACAATACTCTGATATAAACTCATTTTTTTCACACGACTCCTTCAAGAATATTCCCCAACCAGCTACATCTGAAGGTGCTAACAGTAAGTGCTGAAATTAAAGTACCAATATTTGTTATCAAACTTACAGTACTAATTGGTTCTTACAAATGGTACTGATGTAGTGAAATAATATTAGAGCTGTTGAAGCATTTCCAAGATATATTGATATCGGATGACAATTATCAACGATACACTGATTATTTCCATTAATTACTTGTCATTTACTTTCATATATGTTGAAATGATTTCATTTTGTCCCCAGGCAACAAACTAGGTAGTCACTCACTATAAGATAGTTCATGCTTAATATCTAAACTCTAGCTTTTTGGGTTCTTTTAAAAGATTTTTTAAGTTTTTACTATATACATACATGTATAAGGAAAATTAATGATCCCAGGGGCGGGGCCAATTTAAACCCCAGGGCCCTTATTTGAACAAATATGGTAGACACCCATTAGAAGATGTTTCATGCTAAATATCTTAGCTGTAGCTCTTAAGGTTTTTTAAAAGAAGATTTTTTAAGTTTTTACTATATACATAAAGGGAAAAACAATGACCCCCTGGGGCAGGGCCAATTTTGACCCCAGGGATTTTATTTGAACAAACTTGGTAGACACCCACTAGAAGATGTTTCATGCTTAATATCTAAGCTCTAGCTATTTGGGCTTTTTAAAAGAAGATTTTTTAAGTTTTTACTATATACATATAAGGAAAATCAATGATCCCCAGGGCGGGGCCAATTTTAACCCCAGGGCCCTTATTTGAACAAAAATGGTAGACACCCATTAAAAGATGTTTCATGCTAAATATCTTAGCTCTAGCTCTTAGGGTTTTTTAAAAGAAGATTTTTTAAGTTTTTACTATATACATAAAGGGAAAAACAATGACCCATTGAGGTGGGCCAATTTTGACCCAAGGGCAAAGTTGGTAGACACCCACTTGAAGATGTTTCATGCTTAATATCTAAGCTCTAGCTATTTTGGCTTTTTAAAAGAAGATTTTTTAAGTTTTTACTATATACAAATTAGGAAAATCAATGACCCCCGGGGCCGGGCCAATTTTGACCCTAGGGCATTTATTTGAATAAACTTGGTAGACACTGACTGGATGATGTTTCATGCCAAATATTTAAGCTCTAGCTCTTTGGGTTTTCTAACAGAAGATATTTTAAGGTTTTTTCTTTTGGTTGCCATGGCAACCAGAGTTCTGCTTGGAATTAAATTCTTTGAACAATTTTTAATGTTGACTACCAAAGGAACATTCCTGTGAAGTTTGGATGAAATTGGCATAGCGGTGTATGAGGAGATGTTGTTTAAAGTAAAAGTTTACGGACGGACAGATGCCGGACGAAAAGCGATCATAAAAGCTCACAATGTCACTTTGTGAAAGGTGAGCTTAAAACTCAAAACCTTCATTATTTCTCAAAAATAATTGAACATTAAAATAATAGTCAATCAAACTGATTCATCAAGTTCATGTTCATTTTTTCTTCTTTTGAGTACTGTAATTTTTTATTTTTTTTTTGAAACCTGTACTGTGAATTCACTTTCTTTCACGGGCATGAAATTTCACAAAAAACATTTTCATGAGTTCTTAAATTCGTGGACCGGTTTGTCTTTCCAAAAGGTAAAATGTGATGCAAAATAATCTTACAACGGGCCCAATGAAATTTCAATGTTTATTTTGGTGGAAATTAAATTTGTCAATTAACCGTTCCGTATAAACCACAACTATTAATTATTTTACAGTACTTAAGATACTATGAAGAATGCTATTTAACAAGTACCTTTTTTAGATTTCGTTGAACATTAACATTTTTGCACGAAATTTTATCAGTATCAAACTGGTCGGCACCACAAGGTTGACAAAGATCTGGGTCACATTCTCTCACCGCCAGGAAACATGGACATTGTTTAGTGTTACACTGAGCCTTACATCTACAACCAGGGAAACGATTCTGACCTGAAACAACACAGTTATCCTTTAACACTTTACCCTCATTCATAGTCACAGGGTTGGTTACAACAGGTTATGGGTGAGAGCATTTCAATACCTTCATATTGATTTACATTTTTAATCATAAAATTCTCTATCTTTGGGGGAACCGTACCTGCCTGTACAAGGGGGAATTTTCATTCCATTTCTATTTTTTTTTTTTTTGTAGTGGCAATTTCAGGCAATTTTTGCTGCACATACAAATTTCAGTAAAATATTGTGAAAGTTTCAGCACCAAAATTCATGAATTTCATCTTAGTATGTTGGTAGGAATAATTCTTTAGTATGTATGTGCACATACCAAAGAATTATTCCTACCAACATACTAAAAAACTCATGCTAATCAATATTTTGTATTTTATTTAGCAAACAAGATTGCATTTGTAAACAAGAAACATGGCAATGCCATGAAACCAGGTTTTCAATTATCACCATTGTAGATAAATATGTTGTATTTGAAATACAAATACAAGCAACAAACAATGTATATATGTGCAATGTAAAACATGAATAATGTAGGAGGAATTGCCACTGAAGAAGTGTTCACTATAATATTATGTATAAGGAAAAAAACAAAGGGCCATAATTAGGTCAAAAACTATCCAATCACAAAACCCCGACAATATGTGCCAGGGTGCTTGATGACAAAGCTTCTGTGAAAGTTTGAACAAAATCCGTTGAGAAATGTAGGACGAGTTCAGCACAGAAGAATTTGTTCACTATAATTATATTGATAATTCTGTATAATGAAAAACAAGTTACAAAGTAGACATGAAATAAATATATCATATCTTTTTTAAATTACCTCCAAAGATGATATGACCTTTGACTGCCAAATCAAGTTAAAATCATGTAAACAGGATTTTTCAATGTTAATGTCACTGTGACCTTGACCTTGGAGCCAGCCATGCGGAACATGCGTTCTGCACGTCATCTTGATGTGGTAAACATTTGTCTGAAGTTTCATCAAAATTCTTCAAAGGGTTGAAGAGTTACAGAGCGGACAGGATTTTCAATGTTAATGTCACTGTGACCTTGACCTTGGAGCCAGCCATGCGGAACATGCGTTCTGCACGTCATCTTGATGTGGTAAACATTTGTCTGAAGTTTCATCAAAATTCTTCAAAGGGTTGAAGAGTTACAGAGCGGACAGGATTTTCAATGTTAATGTCACTGTGACCTTGACCTTGGAGCCAGCCATGCGGAACATGCGTTCTGCACGTCATCTTGATGTGGTAAACATTTGTCTGAAGTTTCATCAAAATTCTTCAAAGGGTTGAAGAGTTACAGAGCGGACAGGATTTTCAATGTTAATGTCACTGTGACCTTGACCTTGGAGCCAGCCATGCGGAACATGCGTTCTGCACGTCATCTTGATGTGGTAAACATTTGTCTGAAGTTTCATCAAAATTCTTCAAAGGGTTGAAGAGTTACAGAGCGGACAGGATTTTCAATGTTAATGTCACTGTGACCTTGACCTTGGAGCCAGCCATGCGGAACATGCGTTCTGCACGTCATCTTGATGTGGTAAACATTTGTCTGAAGTTTCATCAAAATTCTTCAAAGGGTTGAAGAGTTACAGAGCGGACAGGATTTTCAATGTTAATGTCACTGTGACCTTGACCTTGGAGCCAGCCATGCGGAACATGCGTTCTGCACGTCATCTTGATGTGGTAAACATTTGTCTGAAGTTTCATCAAAATTCTTCAAAGGGTTGAAGAGTTACAGAGCGGACAGGATTTTCAATGTTAATGTCACTGTGACCTTGACCTTGGAGCCAGCCATGCGGAACATGCGTTCTGCACGTCATCTTGATGTGGTAAACATTTGTCTGAAGTTTCATCAAAATTCTTCAAAGGGTTGAAGAGTTACAGAGCGGACACAATTTCGTTTGACGCCCGCCCATCCGCCCATCCGCCCAGCCGCCCATCCGCCCATCCGCCCATCCGCCCGCCATACCCCAATCTAATAACCAGGATTTTCAAAATTGAAAACCTGGTTAAAAATGCTATGCCACCGCATAAATACAACACTAAAATAGTAATGTAGGAACACATTTTTTTTGTTTTGACCCAAGGGCTTTAATTTGAATAATCTTGCTAAAGGTTCACTACACAATGTTTACTGCAAAATGTCTCACCTCTAGCCTTTGTCAATTCGAGAAGGTGATTTTTTTAAAGTTTTTACTATATACATGTAAGGAAAACCTATGACCCCGGGGCAGGGCTAGTTTTGACACTAGAGGCAAACTTTTAACAACTTTGGTAGAGGATTTACAGATGATATTATACACCAAATATCAAAGCTCTAAGCCTTGTACCTTCAGAAAAAAAGAAATTTTAAGTTTTTACAATAATATTATGTACAAAATGAAAATCAATGGCCCCGGGGCAGGGGCAATTTTGACCACAGGGCTATAATTTGAACAGTCTTGGTTGAGGTCCACTACAAAATGTTTCATGCCAAGTATCTAACCTCTAGCCTTTGTCAATTTAGAGAAGATGATTTTTTAAGTTTTTGCTATATACATATGAGGAAAACCTATGACCCCCGGGGCAGGGCTAATTTTGACACTAGAGGCAAAATTTGAACAACTTTGGTAGAGTACCTATAGATAATAACACATACCAAATATCAAACCTCTAAGCCTGGTACCTTCAGACAAGAAGGTATTTTAAGTTTTTACTATATGTACATATAGTGAAAATCAATGACCCCCGGGGCGGGGCCGATTTGGACCCCAGGGATATAATTTAAACAATCTTGGTAGAGGTCTACCAGACAATGCCTTATGCAAAATATCTAAGCTCTAGGCCTTTTGGGTCTTTACAAGAAGATTTTTTAAATTTATTCTTATAGTTCCTTTTGGTTGCCATGGCAACCAGAATTCTGCATGGAATGAAATTCTTTGAACAACTTTGGAAGGCCTTCACCCAAGGAACAATCCTGCCAAGTTTGGTTGAAATTGGACTAGTGGTTTTTTACAAGAAGATTTTTTAAGTTCACTATATAATCTATATAACACACACACACACACACAAACAAACACACAGGTGAATCGCTATATGCCACCGCATCGCAGATGCTGCGGTGGCATAAAAAGCAAATTTCAATAGAATATTGTGAAGGTTTCAGCACCAAAATTCATGAACTGAGGGCCCTGGATCATTTCTTATAATCAGAATCTGACCGCACTGTTAGTGTATCAATACAATATTGTTCAAGTTTTACCACTGTTTTATAGACTTACATTCATCACTGCATTGACAAAACTTTTCACAGAAATTTTGTGCCATCACACACTGACAAGTATCATCACATCTCATGCCCGGATGATCACATGGTACATAGTTTGACACTGTCTTAATGTTACTGTCCTTCTTCATCTGTACTCGCTTTGAATGTAATGCCCAAACTTTACTTCTGTAAATCAAATATTATCATTATGACAGTATCTAGCTAAAGATACTTCAGCGAAAAGGTTTTATAGTATTGCTAGACCTGTTCAACATCTAAAATTAAATTTTTAAAAGCACTTACATGCAGGTAGTATAACTATAGTCAGTTCATTCCTTTTTTTAATCCTGAATAAAAATGTATTCAAAAAAGAAAAATATCTAAAAAAAGTATTTAAAAAAAAATCCAGAGATATGTTTTAAAGCTTATATTTATATCTTTCATATTGAGCAGAAAATCATAGCTTATTGTAGAGAAACACTCAAGGATCATTCCATTTGAGTATAATCAAAGGCTTGTTTTTATTTCTAGTTGATAGGCCAAATTTTTGAAGAGGACCATTTTTGTGAAGTTTCATTACATTGGAGTAAACTAGGATGTGAGCTTAAAATTTAGAAAGCAACATTTCCCATACGTAGTCTACTAAAAATACAAAATGAAAACATCTAAATACCAATTAATACATGTACCATAATCAGGCTTTTTTTTTTTCCAAAAGTAAAAAAATAGGCTTTGTCAAAATACAGTGAAGACTGATTGAAACTTGATCAAATAAGCTTGGTTTGTGACTTCCATCAATATTTTAGGTTTCATTTTCATTGTGAGATATTCAAATAAATGTAAATTATTTAGCAATGGCATAACTTGATCAGAAATAATCACGATCAGACAAATATTCCTACAAAGGCCACAAACTTTTTTACTTACGTTGGTCTTTTTTTAGATTTAATTTTCCTAGGTGGCGTTTTCTCATTATCCTCGCTGTCAATATCAGGTAGATGCATCATCTCCTTTAAAGCGAACTCGTATACCTGATTAAACCAATAAAAAAAAACAATGTTTTATATTATTATTTTGCAAATTTTAGGGTTATATGACATGAAAATGGTATATGTCCACATACAACAAATTTAACATACCAAATTATATATCTGCTTCTGTAGTTTCTTTTGGCTCAACTCTGACACCAAGCTGGTCAAAGGACAACCATCCTGATCTTGGTAGGTGAGGATTTAAATCCAACAACTTTACCAACTGACAATGTTATATAATTTAATAGTGAAAGAGTAATACTATGTACTTTTCACATCAAAAATATTCCTTTTCACATAAACGTTTTTGGTTCCTCTCCAAAATAAAGAGCTAGTTTGTGTATTTCAGATTATGTTGACTTTCCTTATTGAGTTCCTTGCAAGGGGGTATCAAAATTGCCTGAAATGTACACTACTGTTCTATGTATGCTTGTCTTTAATTCAATTTTGGATTTGGTGATCCCCAACTGGTATATGTAAAGAAGGTTTTTATGCATTAACCTTTCAAATTCAGAACTACTTTCAGTGCTAAAAAAGCCTTCCTTTAAAAAGTGTCAGTGTTCTTTTTTGCAATTGAAGTTATGTGCTGCATTATATACATTATATTTTTGCACAAACTATTTATTTACCTGTTTACAGTTTTTATTCCACAGTAGTTTGGCTATTGCACAATAGTTTGTTCTATACATCTCAGCCAGTACACGGAACAAAGATTCTTCAGCTCCTGTCCACTCTTTCACAATCTTCTTACTCTTCATAGGGTACTTCAAATCCAAACCTGTCAAAAAAATCATGACTAACTTTAATATGTGAATATCACTGCTTTACAGTATGTACTTTATAGGAATGGGGAAGGTAAAACTTTTTGCATAAGATCAAGAAGATCCAGGATAGCTCTTCTGTTTGACCTGTTCAACCTTGTAAGAATAATGGTAAATGTCAGTATAAGTCAAAAGTTAAACTTGTTTGAGTTAAATTCTACTTGTGGCACTGTCTGCCAAAATGTGAAAAGAATCAAATTAATTTCTTGTTTCTTTTGTAAAGATAATTCATTTTTATTGTTATTTTTTGGTTGTTTTACGTCACACCAAGCAGTATAGTTCATATGATGATTTTTCAGCTTTACTGGTGGAGTAAGACCACAGGTGCTCTTTTGAACTGGCACTGAAGTAGAACCACCAACATTCTGTAAGCTAGCTGGATGAAAGAATCCAAAGTCCAGAACCCACAGCTGTAGCGGCCAAGTGGTTTGAAATCAAAGACCTTAACCATTTTGGCCATGGACGACCCTTGTAAAAACAAACTTAATGTTATTTCTAATAAGTTTCATTAAAGTAGTTAAATTAGATATCATTTAAAGGTTTTTCTATTTTTAGCTCTGGAAGCCATTTTGTTCAACAAACCAACACAATTCTAGTTATTTTTGTGCAGATTAAATTAAAATCTGCCAGCTGTTTTAGAGGATATGTAACTTAAAGGATTTTTTTGCTTTTACCTTTAGTGGCAATCTTGCTCAGTTACAAAAATTACAGTCAAAAATTTGTTTGCTGTCAATCTTTTTTGATATAGGTTTTTTAAGTCCAGTATCGAGTCAATAATAATGTAGAAACAAAATACATGTACTTACTTTTGTATTTTGCTTTCATAATGGAACCTGAAATGAATGAAATAAAAATAAAACGAATCTGATAGCAAATCAGGATTGCTCACCCAAACAAGGAAGAAATTTCACAATGCGAAAGTATGTCACCAAGTCACAATGTTAAATATATATCTCAATTATGTATGGGTTGTCAAACCTTTGAACAACACACACCCATAGACACACCCATGTCAATAGGTCATGGATACCTACGCAATATCGGCTTTAAGATGGTAACTATAAGTTATCTTTTATAAGTTGTTTACCTGTATCTTTTATAGCAATGCTATCATGCACTACTAAAATAGGCATGTTATGGAGTACAATCACCTGCAGTGACCTTGACCTTTTAATCTCAAGATCAAGGTCTTGTTTGCATCACATCGTTTCTTATGGTGGTTAAAAACATTAATTCATTTGTAATTCAATTATGTTTGCAGAAGTTCTGCACTGAACAAATACTAGTACTTTTTCAAACACACACATAAAAATATAACATATCAAATAATTTCATTACCAAATACAATAAATCATGTTACAAATTCAATTTTTCATTGTAAAGATTGAAATTCATGTATTTCCTCATAAGCTAACAAAGCTAATTTGAAGTCAAACTATGTGACTGATATCAGTACAACATTTCACACCAGCTGCTATGTCTATATTCTACTAAAACATTGCTTCCTCCAGTAGTTTAAAATAATGTAGTAGTATTTAGATTTTTTAAGCTAATATTTTGATTGCAAAATCATCATTCATGAGCAATAAATGTTCATGGCTTTTGTGGCTAGGTCATTCCACAAATTTAAGATCCAACAAAATTTCATTTCGACTGCTGTACAATTATTCTAATTACATTACCACAATTTGCATTAAACTTTCACAAACAGACAAATTTTGACAATTCACAAATTTAAAAACCAATAATTCACAGATTGCATGCCCACAAATTAAGTCAATTCACAGAATACCTACCGACGCCATCGTTACTATCTTCACTACCACTACCAGTTCCGTTTGTTTTACGTTTCTTTCCTTTTATCATTCCTACAGGAGATTTACTACGCTCAGTTTTACACTCTTTGTCCGACTTCTCGGAATCCGAGACAGATACCTCCTTTTCCTTGTAGCCAACCTGTCAGGTACACAGACAATTTTTTAATATAGGGCCGTGCCTTTAGGTGTTTCGGTAGTTTTGTAAGAATGAAAAGTACATATTTTAAACTATATTTTAAAGAACACATATCCATCAAAGTTTAAGTCAATGAATAAAGACTATGTATCGGCCATGCTTATAGGTGGCACTACTTATGCAAATTTATTAGCACATGTTCTTATTACCGGATAAAGGCGGTGATTAAGGTACCCAAAGAGGTAAATTTAAATAATAACAAATGTGACGTTTATTTTTCAAGGATCAAATATATAATGTATAGATCAACCATCACTTTGAATCTAATAACGCTGATAAACATTTCATATCTCTTGGAAATTTTCCACATCAACATAACACATATATAATTTCGTAAAAGAACTAAACATGTCCTTAATATACTTGCAGGCTTATTATGGTCAAGATAGTCAAACTACAGAATAATATCCAAAACAAATACAAGCGCCATACAGCACCTACATTTTTGGAATGGAATTTATTTATATTCTAAACCATCTTCGCTCTTTGGAAACTTATTTGTTACAAAGATTGATATTCTAGCTTTTTCTATAAAAATCCGAGTTGTTCCTGTTCAACAAAATGCTGTAATCAATGTTCATTTGGAGGAACGATAGATCATACTGATGCTTTTATTGGAACTGAAATGAGTTTCATTTGTTCTATCCATGACCCCCTTTTCTACTGCTATGGAAGGAATCCATAATTTGTATACCATTAAAAGGCCTCTTAACTTAATCTTACTAGCTTAGACAGTCACATATGATATAAAGGTAATGTCAATTTGATATCCTGTCTGTGGGGAATAATAATCCCCCTTTCAACATAATCATCAGAAGATAATTATAGATCACTGTGTTTGTTTGATTGGGTTTTACGTCACACCAATACAATATAGGACATACTTTACTGGTGGAGGAATCCCTCAGGTGCCCTTCTTTGCACAAACATGCACCTGAATAGAACTACCTACGTTCTAGAAGCTAGCTGGAATAGCTTCCTCACATGAAAGAATGCAAAGTCCCTGTTGGGATCAACCCACAGCAATGAGTGGCAAGTGGTTTTTGAAGTCCATGAACTTAACCACTTGGCCACAGAATAGATGACAGTGAAATCTATATACTCACAATGTGCATAAAACAATCTGCACCACATGGTTCTGGTTCCTGCTTCTTGTCTGGCATCTTCCTCATCAAACTTACTCGGACTTGGTCTATAAGCTATAAAATATATTGTTTAGTAAAAAGTAATTCCTTTGGATGCTATCTTGAATGCATCATAATATCAATGGTTTACAATTGTTTAATGTACTAAAAGTCGTGTATTTAGTTTCGTGTATTTAGTATATACAGGATATTATGCTCAGAACTAAAAATTGTGTTTTGCTTTTATTACCATTTCCACAATCTTCTTCTATAATCTAATAAGATCATACAAATAAGTTTTCACAAAAAAATCTTTTTCAATACAATTAGGTATGCTAATTACCAAATATAGTGATGAACAATTTATAAGGTCACAAGAGGTAATATCTAATGAAAATTGTATTACATAAGCATAAAACTTTCCTATCCAATAAAATTGTATAGGTACTAGTATTTAAAATGACATCTATAACAAATGAAACAAATCTGTTTTACAGCACTATTCTGAAATGTGAATTCTATTGAAATAAGGAAGAAAAATATTTACTAATGTTTTCACTAGTATCAAGCTGTTAACAGTTAACCTGCTGAAACTTCAAGTGTTTTTCCTTTGTCACCAGTATACAGCCAGGTAAGACTGCACAGATCTGACATGCACTATACTGTTAGTACCAATACTTTTATTTCTAAAACCCTTAAACCTTTGAATGAACTGTTCCAAATTAACAGCTGGGAAAATCTATAACTAAAATTCAGGAGGCTAAAGGTTAAAAACTTACGATGTAGACAGCAGTCATACTTGTAACACCTCCGACAAAACAATGTATGAAATGAGTGCAGAGTTTGCTCCCTCGGTACTGACATGGCATTAGGACCGTCAATGTTGGGTGTACATTCCGCTGGTAAAGAACTCGGATCATTTTTTTCCAGCAAATCTTTGTACCTATTTATTTTAAGTAATAAAAATCACAACAGAATTAAAACAATGTAAAGAGGAATATTTTTCGGAGGGAAAATAGATGTTAGGGACCCTTTCTGAAGTGAGTTCTAGAATATAAGTAACAAATAATAGCTTAAAAGCTTTAGAAAAATGCTGTTTGCTATCAGTTTCTCCACTTGTTATTGGGTTTGTAAGCGAGCAGCATGGATCCTGAACAGATTGCGTGGATGAGCAGGCTGGTCTGGATCCATGCTGGTCGCAAATGCACTATGTTGGTTTTGTCATGACACGGCTCAATTATTTTGTCATCGTATTTGCTAGTTACTACACTCTGACTTTCAAATTATCACAATGTATATATATTTCAAGTTTTAAGACAATCCCTTGAATAATTTTGGAAGTTATGCCTATCACAAGCAAACTGCTATATACATACTAGCCATACACTGACATCTACATACCACCTCGGACTTTGTTTGTTGCTAATACATTAATTCTATTACAGTATATAGATTTCAATACAAATGAATAGGCAGATGATGTAAATAATGGTAAGTACGTCTAGCATATAAAGGGTTAAAAATGTCCAAAAGCAAGAAAATAAGGGGGTATGCGAGAGATGTACACTTCAAGTAAATTTTTACCCTATCACAGTTTGTTATATACTAAAGATTGAGGGTACTTTTAAACGTACAGTTTTAAACTAAAAATTAGTGTAAACCATTGATTTTTACAGAACAAATGTGGTTTTTCTATCTATATTGTTTTTATACTGTACAAACATAGAAAGTTTCATGAAAAATCTAAAACAATGCTTAGGTGAAAATTCACTTGGATCTGCAATTTGTGCATTCACCCGCAACAGAAATCTTACATGTGCTTCAATGTCTCAGGTTTCCCTTTCTCTGGGAACACTTCACTGATGGCTTCAAACACAGCAAATGCAGGAAAACTCTTTGAACATTCTAGAAAATGATATATAAAAACAAGGTTCATTGCTACTAAAATTTGTAAGGAAGATCTTTTTATGAGAAAGTTTGTATAATTTTGTACATTCTGATAAGTACTGTCATATTTATGTCAGTCACAATTCAAGACAATAGCCCTGAGGTAGATAAAATTAGAAACAAGATTGCATTTGAGAAAAATGCTATGCCACTGCATGGTTCAAATTTCATACCTGTACATCAAAGGACAAGAAAGAAAGTCACATCATCAAAATCTAGGTCAAAGTTCAATTTTACAACTAAAACTGTGCACATGGTCAAAATGTCATTGCTGTACATCAAAGGACAAGAAAGTAGGTCACTGTCCCCTTGGGCAAGGCATAATTTTGACCCAAGGGTTTAATAACAATCTTGATACAGGTCCACCAAACAACATTTCAAGTCAAATATCTAAGTTATAGCTTTCTCCCATTCAGAAAACATTTGTTTTATTTTCTGTTTTTACTACGTGTACATAATGAGAATCACTGCCCCCGGGCAGGGCCAAGTTTTGACATTTGAACAACGTTGGTAGAGGACCTATAGATGATATTATATATCAAACATCAAAGCTCTATGCCTTGAACCTTCAGACAAAAAGTTTTTTTTCCACTATATGTACATAATGAAAATCAATGACCTCCGGGGCGGAACCAATTTTGACCCCAGGGCTATAATTTGAACAATCTTGCTAGAGGTTCACTACACAATGTTTCATGCAAAATATCTTAACTTTATCCTTTGTAAATTTAGAGAAGATAATTTTTTAAGTTTTAACTATATACATATAGGATAAACCTATGGCTCCCAGGGGCGGGGCTAATTTTGACACAAGAGGCAAAATTTGAACAACTTTGGTAGAGTACCTTTAGATGATATTATTTAACAAATATTAAAGCTCTAAGCCTTGTACCTTCAGACAATAAGATTTTTTAAATTTTTTACTATATGTATATATTGAAATCAATGACCCCCAGGGCGGGGACAATTTTGACCCTAGGGCTATAATTTGAACAATCTTGTTAGAGGTCTACCAGACAATGCCTTATGCAAAATATCTAAGCTCTTGGCCTTTTGGGTCTTTACAAGAAGATTTTTTAAATTTATCCTTATAATTCCTTTTGGTTGCCATGGCAACCAGATTTCTGCATGGAATGAAATTCTTTGAACAACTTTGAAAGCCCTTCACCCAAGGAACAATCCTGCCAAGTTTGGTTGAAATTGGACTAGCGGTTTTTCACAAGAAGATTTTTTAAGTTCACTATATAATCTATATAACACACACACATACATACACACAGGTGAATCGCTATATGCCACCGCATCGCAGATGCTGCGGTGGCATAAAAATTGACTACAATCAGGTTAAATTTACACATAAACAGCAACTACATGTTTAAAGGTGCGAGTCTACTAAACCACAGCTTTAATTCAATTAAAGCTATGACAAAAGTTGATGCTGTTACACTCTACAACATAATCCATTCTAGCTTTGTAAAACATCTCGATTGATATGATCGTAGCTGTCACTCGATCATTTGCAATCAACACTCACTTTCGGACACCATCGAACAGTCATTTACATGTCTAAGAGTACTACACCTTTTTTACAAGAATGAACAGCTCATTTTTTTCTTGCATATCAGACAGGGTTATCTACTGTTTACACTGGTGCTAGAAAAATCTGTCTTACACACCCCATGTAAGACAAGTGGCATGTTTAAATGATGTCATTTCCAAGCGCCTTTTATGAATGGTGTTCTAAGGATGACGTCATTGTGCCATTATAAATGAAGTTGTACATTCAAACGCTACTTTATGAAATATTTATTTCTAATATGCAAGGAAAAGAATCAGACACCAGCTGTCGCCACAGACAAGCATGTCTAGCTCTTTGGTAACTATTTAGAGGAAACACGGCAGGGCCCTGTTACCACAGTTAACAGTTACCCTTGAGGTAGATACTCCAGTCTGTTACAGAGGCCGATGTAAGATTCCTATATTCAGATCACAAGAACGGTAACCCCAAATTTTTTTCCGTTTAAAATGTTTCTGTTATCATATTCTAACAACAAGCCAAGTTTAAAGAAATTCTATTGAACAGTTTTAATTTTGCCTATATGTCTATATGAAAACTCCGGAAAACGTCCTTAATCTCGCTGTAGCAATGTCTGTTATACTGTGATAATAGCTCTTAAGCGCTTAATTTATTGGTAGTATATACAGGCATCACACTTCAGGTGTACAAGCTTATAAAACTACCTTGTCAAGGTAATCTTGTAGAAATGGTTATCAATAAGAATGAAGATAATGGAGGAGGAAATTTGGGATAACAATTGTTAGCAATAAAACTTTGTGCATTATTATACAATTATTGACTAGTGAGCCATTGAATATGATGTGATATTCACCGGCAGATGACATATTGACCGAGGCGATAGCCGAGGTCAATATGACTTTCTGCCGGTGAATATCACATCATATTCAATGGCTCACTAGTCAATAATTGTTTTATTATATGAATAGGCTCAGAATTTTAAAAACAAGAGCTGTCAGAAGGACAGCGCGCTCGACTTTTTTAGTGCTTGCCTATAAAACAAAACTTTGACAGTTAAGGGCACACAAGACTTTAACTAGGAATTTCTAAGTACAAATCAAGAAACATTTTCACAGAGTTATCTTCTCTTGCTTACAGATAGGTCTCATGATGGCACATAAGAACTCCAACTTCCAAAGTAATATCTCAAATGGTTAGGTCAACAAGTGGACAAGAATGAAAATTTTAACTGAGTTTCTAAGTCAAAAAGGGCCATAATTCAAATAAAATCCTTAACAGAATTACCTTCTCCTGCCCATGTTTGGGACCATGATGGTAAACAAGTATTCCAACTTTCAATTTAATATCTCAACCAGTTCAGTCAAAAAGTTGACTGGTACAAAAAACTTAACCAAGATTCTAAGTCGATAAAAAGGCCTTATTTTTTAAAACAAATCCCTGACAGAGTTACCTTCTCTTGCGTACAGATGGGGTAATGATGTGAAATAGCATTAAAAGTTTCAAAGCAATATCTCAAAGGGTTAAGGCAATAAGTGGATTTTACCCATATTCAATGTATTTTCTAAGTCAAAAAGGGGCATAATTCTGTCAAAAAACCTTGACAGAGTTATGTCCTCTTGTCTGTTGATGAAGGTCGTGATGGTAAACAAGTATGGTCAGTTTCAAAGCAATACCTCCAATGGTTTTGAAATAAAGTGAGGTGGTACAAAAAACTTAACCAAGCTCAATACACTTTCTAAGTCAAAAAAGGGCCATAATTCTGTCAAAAACCTTGACAGAGTTATGTACTCTTGTCTGTAGATGGAGGTTATGATGGTGAACAAGTTTGGTAAGTTTCAAAGCCATACTTGTAATACTTCTGAAATAAAGTGGGGTGGTACGAAAAACTTAACCAAGGTGTGACGCCAACGCTAACGCTAACGCCGACGCCGACGCCGGGGCGAGTAGGATAGCTCCCCTTTTCATAGAAAAGTCGAGCTAAAAATGACGAAAAAGTACAACCTTATATACATGTACAAATTTTGCCTCGTTCAAGAGCGGGAAAAAAGACGCACGTGTTAGGCGTGCAATGACTACGCGAACGCTGCCCATACAAAAGTAATTCAAGTTTATACTTGTCGATACGGTTTAGCCTCTAAGTATAACAGTAAAGTAACAAGAAAAGCATTGATGCAAAGCATCAAAGGGCGACGCCAAATGAATTTGATCCAGGTTTGCACCTAAATACTTAACAAAAGATGTGTACTTTATAGAAGTACCATTTCATGTGACCTGGAGGATAGGCCCAGTTTAAGTTGAAACTTAAACCAAAAAGAAAAGACTCTGTCTTGCCAAGATGCAAAGACAATTTATAGTCAATTAACTAATCTTACTATTTATTGTTACCAAATACAAGGATACCTGTCATCATCATCATATAATCACAGGCACGAGTATCGGACCTGGAAGAAAAAAGTATGACCAGATTGATAAAAAAACTGTGTTCATCTTAAAAGTGTCAAAAACCAAAAAAAAAAATGTAAATAATGACCCCCTTTAAAAATATACTATTAACTTAAAGTATATTTTTAAAGGGGTCATTATTTACATTTTTTTGGTTTGTGACAATTTTTAAGATGAACACAAGTTCTTTTATCAATCTTGTCATATTTTTTCTTCCCATGTCTGATACTTGTGCCTGTGCATATAATAAAAGCTTATTGCTTAGGTTGCAGACATGTCATTGACATATATTAGACATAAAAGAGGACCTAAAATGAACATCAGGGGACACCATAGGTACTCAGAGCAGTAGTAGAAGGAGAACCAGCCACATCAACCAGCTGCTATCAGAGATAAGACTTGAAGCATGTAAGAATGTCATTACATATGGCAGATACTTCAAGTTCCATGAAGAAGAAGAAAAATAACTTCTTCATGTGCAGTATAGTGTGATCAACTGTATCAAATGCTTTGTAGACCTAAAAGTATCATGCAATACTGCCTTTGTCCATTTCAAATAAAGTACAATCTATTAAATGAGAAAAACCACTTCTAAACCCTGACTTAAACTGCCTGACCATGACTCAAACCCATGACTTTCAGAAGACCAACTGAGCTATCCGGCCGGCTACACATTTTCTCTTTAATAATGAAATAGTTCTAAACCACAACATATTTCCCCACTCTATTGGTTTATGTCCTTGAATTTCTGATGTTTACAGAGCATAGTGAATTAAACTCATGGTTATATGCAGTCACTGGATGAGAAATTTTTCAGCTTAACCAGAACTCAAACCTGTGACCCACAGAATAATGTACCGCGGCTGTAAGCGATTAAACTATCTGGCCGCTTACACATTTTCTGGCCTAAATAGTGAACAGTTCTAAACCGTGACAGATATTTAGATTTTTAAATCAACAGATAATTAATTCTTAATTAATAAATAAGAAATAAAAACCTTACATACTCATAGTCAAAATTAAAATAACAATTTATATATTATGTATAATTATTTTTACTAAAAAGGGCTTAGACAGTAAACTATTGGTTGTGCCATTATTTATAACAGGTCAATTTGAAAGTGAACATAACTGTGCTAATACATGTACAATATCTATTTTTTGTACGGATAAAAAACTAACCCTTTTTCTATGATTTTTGTGAAATTTTATGAAGGCTGATTTGTATTTTGCATCAAGGGCACTGGGCGAAAACATGAAAATGCAACAAACACACCACTTTGTGTCTGGCACCTTGTTACTTTTTTGTACTTTGTTGGTTTTCATGTGGCAAAAATCACCTGCTATAAAATTAAGTGTACAAATTTATTCAAGGGCAAGTAACAATCTACTCTATGAAAAGTCTGTTGTCGGGTTGACTCAGGAGACCTGAAGCTTGGAAATTGAGACCGGTGTCCCTCCATTACAAATAGATAAGACAGAAGCTGTCCTTTTCAATCTATGCACATGTTAGAAAAAAATTAGAATAACCATTCAAAACATGATTTTTTGAGACTTTATCAATTATATTGCTTGATCCAAGTTTCAGGACATTTTCAATCAATACATGTATTATCATTTATAACTTTAAATGAAAGTATCATCCCTTTAACAATAATGACATAACTGTAACTCTTTAAATTCAGAAATATTATAAGTCTCATCATATCAATATACTAAGATATACATGTATGCACATAACATTAATAATTCCCAGTTTCTATTAAATAAATATGAAATCCTAACATTAACATTGGTACTAATGGATGGAATTCAAAATCTAGTAGAATATATAAACTCTGTTATAGATACTATTATTAGCCAGCTAACACTGGGTATAAACAACTATAACCTGTAGACTGATCAATATATGTATTATCATTAATTAATTTAAATGCAAGTCTCATCCATCATAACTGTAAGTCTTTAAATACAGAAATACACATTATATCCATATACAATGATACACTTGTATGCACATTACATTAATAATTCTCAGGTTCCATTAAAAATAAATATAACATCCTATTGACAGGAATTCATAATCTTGTAGAAAGAAAACTATAATGTATACATGATATTGTATAGTATAAAAGTAAAAAAAAATCTCAAATAGTCTATATCATATGTTACAGATTAAGTTGTGTTAGTGTCTAAACATTAAATGCATATCTCTTACAGTAACAAATACTGTCCCTCTTTTAACATTCCATTAGACTTTACTATACAATGTATAACTAACTGCATATAATGTAATCAAGTGTTTAAAATGAGCACCTATATGTATAGCTTAAATATTCTACTTTTCATTTTTACCAAAGGTTATTTTAGTAACAATTCATATACAAACACATAGAAAATAATAATTACACATAGTGATTAGAAAATGCCTCTAGCAGAATACCTATAGGTATGTACCAACTGAACAAACTAGAAAAATCTGGTCTAGGGTATATCAAGCCAGTAAAAATATATATCAATATTCACTCATCAGGGCCTCTCTGCTTTTGATGACCTTACAACTGGTAAATTTTATAAAAAACAAAAAATAGTAAGTAATACTAAAGATAGAGTAGACAGAAAAGAACAAATAATTTAGTAAACATGAGTTACTTCCCCTTAAAAGACTGAAAACCTGAAACCCAAGAGAACACCCTAAACATTAAAATTACGAAATGTTGCAGGCTCAGTCAGTTTTATTAAGCCATGCAAATTAATGGTAAAGTATTCATAAAAAATAGATGACCATGTGACAGCAGTTATTGCAGAAAATCGGATAGCTTTCAACATCCGGATACTGGTACACTTTGTAAAAACAACCATTCTGTGCAACAGATCAACGTAATATGGATAAAATCAATAGGATAATCGTTAACAACAGTCCACTACCTATCCTTATACTCATTTGCAGGTGAACTTTCTTCTTGTAAGAAAATTTTGAAAATATATAAATGAATGAACGAAATGGTTACGGCATCAATGTAGACCACAACGATATTCGAAATCCGGGTTTTAGTATTGTCAATAAAACTAAGGGACAAGCTGTTAAACTGAGCCTGCAATTTCGTGAAAATAATATCACAATGCACATGCTTTTTATATAAAGTTATTAAATACAAATATAACAACATATTTGTTTACTTGATTTTTACGAATCAAAATAAATCTAATTAACTCAACATGAAATTAACTGCTAATAATAACAGCTCCTTCCATAGGCAAAAATAAAAAGCATTCCATATAAGACGACGCCGCTCACCGGCGTCGCCAATGATATTTCAATCGAGAAATATGCCATAAAGAACAAAACGCAACAATTATTTTTTAATTAGCACACGTAATTAACAGTCTACGGTGTATGGTCATTGAATATGAGTCTCAATCTATTTTTAGACTTGGAAAATCCAATTCAGCCAGTTAATATGATACTACCCCCAGTGACTATGATTTTATAAAAAGTTCTGTTGACTACAGTTTGGACCAATGAGATTGCAGCTATTTTTAGATCATATAATAAATATGTATATCCAAGATCTCTACAAGGAGCAGCACAGCAACACACTTGTCACAATATTAAATATCAACAGTTACTCACCATTTTGTTCTTTATTAAAGGCTGCAGAAACTGACTGTACAAGATTAATCAACAATTCATCATCAAGCATTGATTTGTCCTTGTCTCCATGAACTTTCCCATCATAATTCTTGATAAGCTCTTCAATAAAAGAGGTATCTTTTTCCAAAAGATCATCTCCCATATATGGAATATTGTGTAATACAGTTTCATCCTCAACCTATCAATCATAAAATATCATACATTGTATGGGTCACAATATAACAAATTCAGTGAATTTAGGAAATGAAGACAGTAGGACAGAGTGCTCAACTTTTAGTAAACAAAAGCCTGGATATGAATGTAGGAATTCTCAAAAGGACAGTGTTAAAAAGTCTCTGCTTTTTTTTATTTAGTTTGTCAAGCCAAAAATCAGTAATCTTAGATGCGCATTGACAAGTCTGACAAACAGCAAATGCCAAAAAACCTTGATGCTGGTCTCCATTAACTGTAAACATACTAAAATATCTTGAAAGGATGCATGGGAAGACTATGTTTCCTACAGTTGGCTTAAGATAAACTTTAAAGGAAAGAGCAAAAGTTTAAACTTGATCATGAGACAACATGCACATGGTATATGGCAACTTTATGCAAGGTGAGCTTAAAACCAGGTAAGCTTAAACACAAAAAGGCCATTGCATTGACACCGTATGTTCACTTTAAGATGGTTTTTTGCAATTATACTAACATTACATACATATGTATGAAATATATTACTTGCACGGGTAGAATCAGTTGTATAGTGACAGATTTGTACCATATTGTATCTTTCCTCTGCAAGGCACCAGACCAAAACATGAAAATATCACAAAGTCAACATTTTGTTGTGACTTGGTTATAATATCGGTTTACACATGGAGCCCCACCAAGAAAAAGAATGAAAGATGGGTTCCTTTATCGTATTTTTGTGTTTTTGTCTGGTGCCCCATCGAGCTAAAATACAACATGGCACAAATTAGCCACCATACAGTTGCCATCATTACTATATAATTTTTTTTCTAAATACTTACCACATAGTTTTGTTGTAATGGAGCCCATGAATACATTGATGGTATTGGTTTGAGGGGATTCATCATACGGAGTGGAACAGATTGAACACCAAGCTCTTTAATAGCACTTGTAATTTCACACTACAAAAACAACAATTGCATTCATTTATATAACTATTAAATTAATCATCTTTTTAATATTCATAAAAAAAAGCATTTCCAAATTGCCTTTGACAGTATAATTCTGTTTTGGCGGTATTTATTTTAACACCAGATTTTCACAAATCGAAAAAATGACACAGGTATGTAAGCAAGCTCCATAGATAGCAGCGGCCTCTGCAACATTTACTTTACTATTTCTTTGCTGACGGTGAGTGACCTAAGTTGGATTAACATGAATTTTCAGAATAAAGCTTAAAATCACTCAATAGTACTTAACAAATATCAGAGAGGACAGGCTTAGGAACAGTTACACACTTTATGGTATTATATTCTGGTAATGTGACATGTCTTCTGACAAATATTCTGGAGCTCATGGAAATGCCCTGGAGTTGTTGTTGCTTACCATCAGAAAAATAAACCTACCTTAACGAAGTGAACCCATCTAAGCTTGAAATTCAGGTTTTTGTGAGGCCTTAATTTCACTTATTTGGGACTTACTACTAATTTCAGACCAATTATTCTATATGCTTTCTCCTGTATTTTATAAAACTAATCACATACCTTCTTGTCAAGTGTAGCTGCTGTAAGAATTTCTGGAGTGTAGAAACTTTGTATTTCTGGATTTGTATACATGGAGTGGTGATCTTCCAAGTCTTCCAGAATATCTTTACGGTTATCACTATACAATGCCTGTAATAAAATAGTAATACATGGCAGAGTAGGACCAGAAGGTTATAATTGGCCCGCAAAATGAATAATGGCCCGGATGGCTTCAGTCTGGGGGCATTATTCATTTCATGGCTGATTATCACTTTCTGGCCCATCTATGACGTGTATTAATGTATTTCAATAAACTTGATAGATCTTAAAGTAACATTTTGTTAAAAAATTACTATGATATTTCTTTTGCTAAAATTCCCATCTCTGTAGATTTCTACTTTTATATTGTTACTTCGAAAGACTTGCTTCTCTAATATGTGTACAAAGCACACTATCTAAAATCAAGAAGCTTTTTGCATTTTCTTAGATTGAATTCTTTAAATTTCAACAAGAGGGCCATGATGGCCCTGAGGTCGCTCACCTGTATATAGGACCCCCCCCCACCCCCAGGCCAATTTTTACCCAAGGGCTTTTATTTGTTTATTTGAACAAACTTGGTAGACACCCATAAGAAGATGTTTCATGCTAAACATCTAAGTTCTAGCTCATTGGGTTTTTTAAAAGAAGATTTTTTAAGTTTTTACTATACACATATAGTTAAAAACAATGACACCCCTGGGGCAGGGCCAGTTTTGACCCCAGGGCTTTTATTTGAACAAACTTTGTAGTAGGCTAGGCATTTTAGCCAAAAATAAGACCCAACCTCAAACAAATTCCTTCAGAAAAGATATTTGCATATTTGTTATCTACTATATATATGTTGCTACAGAAAAAAAGTCCTCAAAAAAATTCGAAGTATAAAATGCTAAAAATGTCATGTTTTGAAATCATGTGTTTTCAATTAGAAAAATCTGTGAAATTAAATATCCCAGATATTCTACGCAAATATGATCATTAACAAAGTAACACATTAATACACAAACATGCTTTATTTAATTAAAAACACTTCAACCAATCTTTATTACATTCAAAAAGTCGCAACACTGCATAATCTATACATCATCATTTAGACTGGTATAAAACATTACCCCACCCACTAATGATATTTTTTTTTTTACTTTTAGTCAGATTCCATTAAATGTTCTTACAAGTTAGCTCTACCAAGAATAAAGTTGTATGAATCTATCTAAATTCATATTATAATTCAAAATTGCAATACATTTTACACGAATAATTATTATTTATATACATTGTATTTGCATTTCTGTTCTGAAAATCAATCCTTCAAGTAAATATCTAACCAATGCTAAATTGCACTTACTTTACCATGGAAGTTTTGTAAAAAAAAATATTGTTAAAAGACATTTTAAAATAAAATGAATCTTCTGAATGTTAAAACACTGAAAAAACACAATGTTATTTCATCATTTGCGTCACCGAGGCCCGACTATCCATATAGTCTGACAACGCTACACATGTATATATACATATTGCCCTGCCCTTGTTCAATTCTCCACTTTTCGGCCGGTGCTATTGAAACCTTTAGCCTATACCCTTTTCACAGAGACACATTGTTTCGCATCTGTAAAATTGTTACAACATAATATGATAAATAAAAATGCGAACTTTGCATTCTGCTTTTAAAATAAAACAATTGTATGTCAAACTGAAAACGAGGTACTATGAAAAGCAAGATAGGATTGTGCTTTTAGATTTATATTTTTATATTGAATTATCTACAAATAATTCATACTTTAATCTCAGCAAAAACGTGCCTCAGCTTTCTTCTTCAGAAAATAGGTTTCATGTTATATTGTTATAACAAATTTAAAGCGTGTAAATTGCCTATCGGCTGAAAGAAGCGCGGACTGTGAAACAATATAATGTGCCATATAAGTAGGAAATACTGAACAAAACGGCACCTATACTGTCATACAGATAACTAAATTGGAAGTTTTGGTCGAGTGTTTAAGGTCACTGACTTCAAAACACTTGCTTCTTACGGTGTTAACGATGTAGGATGTAAGTTCGAGTCCTGCCGGGGTTTTGGAATCTATTATCTGACATAGCTATCCCAAACTGACTTATAGAATATTGGTGGTTCTATGCGCTAAAAATAATACCTATGTCCCACTTTTTCCTTCACCAGTAAAGCTTGAAAGTTATTATATGACCTGTAAAGTGTTGATGTGACATAAAAACAAACAAACAAATCTCTGATCTTAGTAATTCCGAGAATGCAAGAAAACTGAATTCCCTTTAGAAAAGTTATATATGCAGTAGCACACACAACTGAATCTGGTACACCAACTGTGAATTAAAGATATAGAGGGTTTTTCTTTGATTTACCTGTAAATTGCTTTTCAAAAATGCTGGATCTTTTCAAACATAACTCATTTAGCCTCTCCTAACTTGGATATATGGAAAATTCTTGCCACATCAAATCAACGTATTGATTTATGTTCGCCAAAATATAAAAGGCTGGACTCTCGCTAAATATTGTCTTCTGCAATCAACCATCCCATACTACGTTTAGCCCTTCCTCTGAAAATAAGATATATAAAGTTCATAAATCAATATCAAAAAGATATTAAAAAGAAATAGTATTGAAATGATATAATATAATATAATAGGGAAACGCCTGAGAAAATGTTGGTATGAGCAAACTCTTTTGTATGTGCATTTATTATAATCATGCTGTAAAACAATGATGTAAATTTGTGTTGATATATCAATTTCTGTTGTATTAACAAACCTGAAAGACACACAGTTGTTTTGTTTTCATTCATTCAATAAGATATATCTACGTAAAAAGCCATTTTTCTCTCGCATCCCATTACCCCTTGTGTAGAAGTCATGTGTCTATCCATCTTCTAACTAATTATACAACAATACAACAACTGTTCTATGATTGCTGACAACAACATGGAAACATTACTTAAAATATACATACAACTGGCACTGGTATCATGAGGGTAGATTATCAAGCTACACAAAGTTGTAAAACAGAATCATTTTCAACAGATGAATGCCATATTTGTATATGATTATCAATAACTCTTTGTTTAAATATTTTTGGAAATAATTTACTATCTACGATATTATTTTTAAAAAAGTATTCGGATAAACCATACATATCTAGCATTTCTTTAACATTTGATACCCATTTTTTTCCATTTATATCAATCAGATAAACTTAATTCATATGTCATTCGTAAAATTTAATTAAAATATTCTTACGTATCAATTTATATACAATGGGAAACGGCCGAGTTCGCCGTATATACGAACATTGCTTGTATTGGCTCTAACATTTAAAATTATTTTACAATATTTCAAGTGAATACGCTCAATTATCTTTTGATTTGCTATAACCCCATACTCTCAGATGCATATGATATGATTCAGTCTACAAAAAAATCAAATAATTGGCATAATAATTTGGGTTTTAAATCCATGTCTTCTGTTAAGAAGTAAAAATAATGTATAAAGTTCCAGTAACAACTTCCTCATTAAAAGGTAATAGTTTTAGCTTGATTACACCCTATTGGGTGTAATATAACATATAACATGCTTGAATATTATCATTTCGCTTAAAAATGCATTAAAATGTATTACAAAATACGTTTGTTTACATCAAGTTAACATATTATTTGTTTTAATTATGATTTCCACAATTCAAAAAACATGCCAACTCTTTGAAATAAGTCAAATTTAACAATTTAAAAATATCCCTAGATTTTCGTGATTTTGGTCACAACACGCTTCCGTAGAAAGAAAAAATTACAAAACTTCTGCATACACATTTTTTTAAATACTCAGTAAAATGTGTGGTTAATTCTGTGTCATTTTAGATAATTGTACAAAAGGAAACAATGTAGAACTGTGAGTAAAAGATAAACTCTCTTTTAATGATTACTTCATTCAAAATTGAGTTTAAAATCGCGAAATTATATGACACATTTTGTCATCTGCATAATCGATTGATTGGTGGTCAATTAAATCTATCTACTGACATATTTTCCCCTAATCTATACAGAAGAATATAAAAATGACTAAAATTACTCACCTTTGCACTTGGAATGCTGGAATTGAATTAACTTCAGATCTTTCAACGAAAATGTAATAAACGTGACGTCACCGAACGTGCATAAAATTAAAGTATGGTGTAATTTAAGAGACACATTTAAATATCGATTTTTACTAAATCTTTATGATCGATTTTTCAGGATTCTGCAAGGAGATTTTTTGAGGACTTTTTTCTCAAAATGTAGATAATGTTTATCTTTTATTTAATCGTGAAAACAGTTGTGAAGGAATTAGTTTTACCTTAATTTCTATTATGACTGGCCTATAGATATTTACTTAAAGATGTTTCATGCTTAATATCTAAACTCTAGCTATTTGGGTTTTTTCAAAGAAGATTTTTAAGTTTTGCTATACACATATAAGGAAAATCAATGACCCCGGGGCGGGGCCAGTTTTGACCCCAGGGCTTTTATTTGAACATACTTGGTAGACACCCATTAGAACATGTTTCATGCTAAATATCTTAGCTCTAGCTCTTTGAGTTCTTTAAAAGAAGATTTTTTTAAGTTTTTGGGCGGGGCCAATTTTGACCCCAGGGCTTTTATTTGAACAGACTTGGTAGACACTCATTAGAAGATGTTTCATGCTAAATATCTTAGCTCTAGCTCTTTGGGTTCTTTAAAAGAAGATTTTTTAAGTTTTTACTATATGCATATAGGGAAAATCTATGACCCCCAGGGGCGGGGCCAATTTTGACCCCAGGGCTTTAATTTGAACAAACTTGGTAGACACTCACTAGAAGATGTTTCATGCTTAATATCTTAGCTCTAGCTCTTTGGGTTCGTTAAAAGAAGATTTTTTAAGTTTTTACTATATGCATATAGGGAAAATCAATGACCCCCTGGGGCGGAGCCAATTTTGACCCCAGGGCTTTTATTTGAACAAACTTGGTAGACACTCACTAGAAGATGTTTCATGCTAAATATCTAAGATCTAGCTCTTAGGGTTGTTTTAAAGAAGATATTTAAAGATTTTTCTTTCGGTTGCCATGGCAACCAGAGTTCTGCATGGAATTAAATTCTTTGAACAATTTTTAAAGGTGACCACCAAAGGAACATTCCTGTGAAGTTTGGATGAAATTGGCTCAGTGGTTTATGAGGAGATGTCATTTAAAGCAAAAATTTACGGACGGAAGACGGACGCCGGACGAAAAGCAATCACAAAAGCTCACCCAGTCACTTTGTGACAGGTGAGCTAATAAAAACTGTGTTTGTAGAAAATACAAGTTCTCATCATAAAATTGATTGATTTGTGCTTAAAACCAAAATTCACTTTTACAGCTAGCTGTTTTGATGATGTAATATGCAATGTCATTGTTTCAGTTTGCACCCATACTTGTATTCAGCAGGCTGATTATGACTATCAGTTATTGGCCCGGGCAGCAAACTCGTAATTGGTCACGTGACATAATCAGTTGAAATTGTGGGCATTTTTTTACATTATAGTAACAAATGTTTTTATTATGAAACAGCTGAGTAAAAGGGCTTGTTTGGGGGGAAAAATTCCCAAAAAAAGGACAAAACCCCACTTTTCCTTAAAAGCCCCAAAACAAAATTCAAGTTGTCTGTATCAAAATAAAATAATCTAAAAAAAAAAAATATATACTTTTTTTAAACAAGAGCGATCAGTGATCACATGTGTCGCCTCATGATGGCCAATTTCATGTTGGGACAAGTTTTGTGACAGACGGACAGTGCACAACTAGACTTGGTACTGATCATTCCTGTAAAGTTTGGATAAAATTGCACCAGTAGTTTATGAGGAGTAGTCCGGACAAGCTTTTGTGTATCTGGCAACACACAGAAAAAAACACCTTTTTATCAAAGGGCCATAACTCGGCCAAAAATGATTCAACCAGAAAACCCGTGCAATATGCGCAAGGACTTGAGCTACAGATCAAACCTGTAAAGTTTCATTGAAATTGCATTAGTGGTATAAGAGAAGTAGTCCGGACAAACTTTAAAAATAACAAGAGCTGTCACAGGAGACAGCGAAGCTCGACTAATAAAATACTGGACGCAGTAAGGAGGACAAAACTATGAAAGAAAAATCAATTATGTATAATTATGTATTAAGTTATAGTAAATAAAAAATAACATTTGTTAACATAAATTCCAAGTTCACAGGGGAAAAATTCTGCAAATAGTCATGCTAAAGTTATGAATCTTACCACACAGTTAGCGAGTAGTGATAAGGAATATATATTTGAAGTTTGAAGTAGATACCTTAAAAAATAAAGAAGTTACTATATTTCTTAAAGAAAACCTAAGTTCAAAGAGAGATAAATCTGTAAATATTGCTTCAAGAGTTATGAACATTGTCACATAAAATGTAAATTGATGATAAGGAAAAAGTATTTGAAGTTTGAGGTAGATACCTTAAAAATAAAAAAGTTAAAATAAAAAATAATATTTTCTAGTAAATAAATCTAAGTTTATGGGGAGATAATTCTTGCAATATTGGTGCTAGAGTTATGAACCTTGTCACATAAGATGTGGATTATGATAACGTAAATACATTTGAAGTATGAAGTTATTCCTTTAGAAATAAATAAGTTACAGTCAAAAATAATATTTTTTATGGAAATTTCTAAGTTCAAAGGGAGATAAATCTGAAAATATTGGTGCTAGAGTTATGAACCTTGTCACATAAGATGGGGATGATGATAATGTAAATATATTTGAAGTATGAGGTTGATCCCTTAAGAAATAAAGAAGAAACAGTAAGAAAAAGTATTTTTTGAGGAAAATTCTAAGTTCAAGGGGAGATAAATCTGAAAATATTGGTGCTAGAGTTATGAACCTTGTCACATAAGATGGGGATGATGATAACGTAAATATATTTGAAGTATGAGGTTGATCCCTTAAGAAATAAAGAAGAAACAGTAAGAAATAGTATTTTTTTAGGAAAATTCTAAGTTCAAGGGGAGATAAATCTGAAAATATTGGTGCTAGAGTTAAGAACTTGACACATAAGATGGGGATGATGATAATGTACATACATTTGAAGTATGAGGTTGATCCCTTAAGAAATAAAGAAGTATAAGTAAAAAATAGTATTTTTTAAGGAAAATTCTAAGTTCAAGGGGAGATAAATCTGAAAATATTGGTGCTAGAGTTATGAACCTTGTCACATAAGATGTGGTTGATGATAAGGAACATATATTTGAAGTTTGAAGTTGATACCTTAAGAAATGACAAAGTTATAGTGAAAAATATTTTACTGCACCAAAACTTTAATCTAAAATCTGGACGCGGACGCCGACGCCGGGGCGAGTAGGACAGCTCTCCATATACTTCGTATAGTCAAGCTAAAAATTATTAAAGGGCCATAACTCTGACAAAAATCATTGAACTGGAAAATGCTGACAATATGCACAACTAGACTTGGTACTGATCATTCCTGTAAAGTTTGGGTGAATTGCAACAGTAGTTATTGAGGAGAAATCCGGACAAGTTTTGTGACGGACAGACGGACGGACGGATGTTATTACCAGAGCTACATTATGGGGTTTTCTTTTGTTATTTCTTTTGTTCTTTTTAACCCCACAATGCAGAAAATAACCCCACAAGAGAAACGGAATGAATGACATCAAAGACATCTATTGTTATGAAAACAATAGACCAAACCCCATAATGTAGCTCTGGTTTGTACGGACGGACAGACGACGGAGAAGTGATCCCTATATGTCGCCACTACTTCGTAGAGGCGACACAAAAATCAGAAAATCTTAATGTAACTGTATGAATTATTTAAAGGTCCAATAAACATGAGAAATTTTATACTGACAAATTAAAAACTTATCCCTTTATTTCATTGTTTAAACTATTATGTAAACTGTATAAACTTATACTATAGTTAAACATTTGTTGTAAGTATTATCTAAATGTCATATATTCATGCAAAGAAGAATTTTTCTATATAAGAGGTTTTTTTTTTATACCTCTAGAGGTATTCCAAGTAGCTTAGTCCAAAATAAAATATTCACATCAAGTCTTCCAACTTATCCCTAAATTTTATACCTAGTTAAGCCCCTAGACGTACTTTGAAAGAGGGAATATTAGGTGTTAGTAGTACAATTCCTAAGATTTAGTTATATAAACTAAATAAGAAAATCTTCGGAAGTGAACAACTTACACCAGCCCCTTTCTTAGTCTTGCCATGTTAAAAGTTGTACCTTTACTTGTTCTGTATGTTTGAGTTTCTTTAATCTACGTAGCCTCATGTACTCTGATTTAACAACACCTTTCAAGTCAGGAGATTTACTGTTTGCAAGAGGCGAACACTTGTCTTGGCTAACTCCACCATTGCCACTAACAACGTCTGTTGTCAAACCACTAGCCATCACACACAGGGAAATCCACTGAAAAACAATAATTTTCTTATTAAGTAGGTTGAAGGAGGATTCCTTCTTCATCTACTTTATTATAATGCACAAGTTAACGATGCATGGTGATGGATAATATCAGTGATTTTTTTTCCACTTATCACACAACCTCTGGTTTTCTGAAGGGGAAAATATAGCATGATAAATCAGAAAAGGGGGAAATCTGAAATTAAATTCTTACAACTGAGAATGGAATTTACCCATATATTTTATAAAATTTTCAATTTCAATTCAATTTAACAGGTATGGTACATAGCAGAATAGTCTTAGCTATAGGGACAAATTTCTGTTTTTCAGTGAATTAAATTAATCAACTAGCTGATATAAGACAGATGCTATTAAGTCATGGTTCTGGTGAGGACTGGACAGGGGAAAATATTAGCATTTAGAGATCGAAAATTACACACGTCCGCTCGTAATTACAAGTAGAATTTAAGAGACTTTGATGCAGCACAAGTAGAAAAATATTACCTGCACATTGGATTTAGAAGCTACTTGTCTTACAGGATGCGTGACTCTGAAAATATTATTTTTCGATGCCTGGCATCTTTAGGGAAAAAAAAACAACCTATTTTTGGCTAAAACATCACATAAATAATTGCCTCACCTTTCTGCCCTATTCTACAGCTATTAAACTAGTATATTAACCAATAATCAACTATATAAAGCACTTTAACATTTTCATGACATATGGACATGCATGAATGGTGTTTTACAAAACTTTAAGAATAAATCTTACAGTCAAACAAGAATAAACCTAACAGTCAAGGAAGAAAGAAGTTGTCCAAACAATTTACAGAACAAAGTAGCTAGCCATATATGCCCGTACTGCTAGCCAAAAGTTCTAGCCGTAAGTTCAGTCACCTAGGACTAGCATATATGCACTGCTGAGGCTAGCCGTATGACAGGGCTTTTTTCAATGAAAGATAAATTCAATGATGAAGATTATAAGTTACCTGCACTTCTTATTCAGGGATGCCAACAGGTAATTTGAAAAAAGAAAAAACAACAACAGAAAATGAACCCGAGGGATCATGGGGGTCCGGGGATCCCATGCAGGTCCCGGACAGAGCACTGGTTGGGGACCAGTGGGCAAAACCCTGGTGGAGGACCACGGGGCATTTCCTTCAAACTTGTGCTTTATCAAAGTTCAAACATTTTCATACCTAATATCACTTTTGCTCTAATATCACTTTTGCTAATTGGCCAACATTTTTTTTTTCTTTTCAGAAAGATGCTACATTACAATTGGTGGGTATATGTTACGTAACGCTACCATTCATAGGGACAATAACTGAACATATCCAAAAGAATATTTACAATTGGACAAAAAACTGGAGCAAATTCGGAGATAGAGATTTTCATTGTTCACAGAAGTGGTCCTGGCGACCTTGAAATCCGCCAACTTGCGGAAATGGGGATCCCTGCTTCTTACATTTTTACAAAAAATGAACATATAATATATTTTCTTCTTAATAATTTGGTTACAGATGATGTTTGACCATTTATATTTTGACGAGAAATCTTTAAGATCTATCAGAAATAAATTCACCTAAAATTAAAGAGTTTTTGTGAGCTAGTGTAAATTCTGTGATATTTACAAACGCTGTAAAGTCTGTGACTTACCAAATAGCGTTATAAAGTATGCAATCGTGAAAAACAGGCTGCATTTTTGATGGAGAGCGAGCAACAAGCTTGAAATTTTTAATGCCTGCTGAAAGTGTTTGAGATGAATTTTGTAATGAAAAATGTATTACATTTAAATTTTCCACAGAAATGATATAATAATAAATGAAACAGAAGTTTGCAAATTCATTATGGGTTTGGTTATTTATTTTAATAATGCTGTATGGCTAGCCTCAAATCAATGGACCTTTCCGGTGTTTACAGTTTTATGTAAATTGTCTAACTTGTTATCCAATCGCTACACTGATATAATACATATACACTGGTTGACTAGTTTGCACAAAAGAACACGTGCTTATGTTTGTGATACTGTTTGTGAGCAGTTGACCAAGCAATGAATAGAAAAGGTGTGGCTAAATGTTCCGCTACGAAAAACCGGAAAGGTACATGCAGGGCTCAAGCTAGGTTCAAAATTTAGGGAGAAGTCACTTCTCCCTCCAGCTGCTTTAGGGAGAAGTGGGGAGACTTTAGGGAGAAGTGAGGAGATTCATTTATCAATGTTTGTTGTATGTTATCGCAATTATGTTGACTCACTGTACATATCTTATTAAATGATTTGGATTTGTGTTACAACAGAATATTCAATTTTAATTTAAAAGTAGTTTGAAACAAGTAATAGAATGAGTATCATGTAATGCAACCATTGCATTAAATGAAAAGATAAAAAAGCCCATAGTTGATTCCTATCATGGATCATATCATGGGTGGATTAACAGTTATTCCCTTCTGATTTACTATTAAAAAGCTTGCACCGGACATTATATTCATATTCACTTATGTTGTAAAGAAAATGAAAGTAGATAACGAAAGAAACGATCTTTAATTTAACTTCGTTTGTAATAAATACAGTGTAATACGCCGTCAATTTTATCAAATTTAACTCGTTGACATAAAAGGTTATCATAACTTTCATTTAAAATTACCGTTACAGTTATATGTCAAGCGGTCCTCTTAATTCTGACAATCATTCGATAGTGAAAATTTAATTGACGTTTGATTCGTCCATGATTAATACAGGGCTCATCCTGGGGGGAAATTTTAGGGAGAAGTGACTTCCTCGCGAAAATTAGGGAGAAGGGAAACAACCCAATGTGTATGCATTAACATGCATGGCTATACATCCTTTAATTATAATATAAACACATTAACATCACTTATAATATTTCTCCAGTTTATTAATTAGTGTATAATTAAAGTAATTAATTAGTAGATCTGGCAATGGCATCTAAATGTTTTTGAGCTGCAAATATGAATATATATAAAAAATTATTTTTGATATCTATTGATCAGCTATTTATAAGCTTTCTCTAAATATGTGTTTATATATTTTCATGTACATTTGTTGATAATAATGTGTAAGAAAAGATATGATGATAAAATCAATTTCATATTTTTTCTTTCCTCACTTTTATTAGAAGATGAAGTCACCTTGGATATTGATTAATATAATCTGTTCTATTCTGTTCTGGTAACAGAAATTTCTTTGAAAGTCCTGAATGTTGTAATGTCAGATTTATATGCATATAATTATGCTTATAAAACAATTTTCAAACATCAAAGAATATGTAAAATATGTACTGCAAACATTTGTGCACATTATATTTGATCACTAAAATTACATACATTAATTTCTTATTGAAAAATTTGACTGAGAAATTGTAGAAAATTAATTTCTAATTACCTCCCTTTATTTTCATGAAATGTTAAATTCGGTAATATCTTTATAAATAATGCTTTTTAAAATTTACAATATTGAGAAATCTTAATCTGAGCGTCATATTTACGACATTAAAACAAATATGTATATTGAAACAATAAGAACTCTTCTTCTTGACAAATTTTGTTGTTATATACGTTACATGATATACGACCGATATGTAGTTTAGCCGGGATGTCTTGCCCGAGTGCGTAAACTGTGTCAAATTTGGCATTTCTACAAAGAGAACAATGCCAAACACCCCCACTGTCTACAACATACCAATCGCAAGATTTTTGCGAAATGGTTTTCTTAAATTTTCGCGTAGGTGTATCAGAATCAGTAACTTTCTTTTACTGCTAGGTTTGGGCATTTCGCCCTGTAGCCATGACGTGAGCGACATAACAATTTTACAGTAAAAATTTGATGTTAACAGACTGAAATAATTCAAAACTATGATTAAGTTTTTAATCCGGTCGCTGATCATTAATGAAATTGATTATTTTTAATTGACTAACAGTTTTGTGATAGCCGTGAAAAATCCATTGCACATCGCCTTTACTCGGGTTAAAAACCCACCATCGAAGTGCATCGTGTATATCAATTAGGGAAGATTGCACGTGTTTAGATAATCGGGGAAAAAACAATGTATAATTATCGCCAAATCCCGTATTAAACTCGCAAAACTATCACACAATTATACCGTTTCGGGCCGATGCTCTCATTATTTACTGTTTAGAGTAGGCGGTCTATCGCTTCGCTTACAGGTAGAAGGGTAGTATAAAGCGACGCTCTGATTGGATAATGATAATTAGCGGTCGTCATATGGGCGGATACAATCTCTGCTCTTTACATCGCTAAGTAATTACTATTTGGGAATTAAGATTTTATCGGCGATGTTGACTTCTCTTTGATCAATCGGAAGAGCGAAATTGGAATATACACGGCGAAGTTTTCGCCTGAATCGCCCTTCCGGATGAGCCCTGTAATAATTGTTACGGGTAGTTGTATGTTAGCGATTTAATGATTGGTTTAATAATGTCGCCTCTATTAAAACATGAATTACGATTGGTTTCTCGCACGTATCGGTAATCTTGCCGTGGGCGGAGTCTAATTGTTCCTCGAGTGTGTGTTAATTAGACTTTTATGACATGTTGGTAAACAAATGGATTAATGACATTTCGCGTAGATTGAGATGCATGACAGTCCCTTTTTCCGGCGGCGAGGGTAAACAAAGCAAACACACACAACATGTTATTCACAGTTATTGTTATTGTTGGTAATTTTCAATAATAGATCAATAAAATCGGGCGACTTCATCTTCGCTTTCATGTAGAATGTCAGCGAAGTCGGACGGAATTCGACAACTATTTCGCCCGAATAGCCCACTAGCTCGAGCCCTGACATGTGCCAAGCACTCTTTCACTTCTCCCTCTGTTTTCAAACTTCTCCCTGATTCACGAATTCGAAAATCTAGCTAAACGCCATTTTCCGGTACTTTCTGTACATAGCTCTGGGGAATTCACCTAATGGAGTGTAAAAGCAAACTCAATGTTTTCGCCCTTTTTTAAATCAAATTGAAATAAAACAGTTATTTCTTTATAAGAAAATAACTAATTATCATTGTATGAATAATTCCATACAAAAAATAAAGTAAATAGTCTACACAAGTTTACGCAGAAAATAACCTTATTTATAATGGAAGATTCCACTACGTCTGTTTAAATTTATTTGATTTTCATTATAAACAATTATTTTTTTGAGTAATTTGCAATAGATATTAAACAAATATTGATAATTTTCAAAAAACATCAATTTTTTCACCTTAAACGGTTAAATAATGAAAAATAGAAATATCTAGTAACTGTGTTATGTACTTCATTTGGTGTAATTCCCCAGAGCTAAAACGGTAATGTACCGGAAAACGGTGCTTAGCTAGGTTTTCGAAAAGGTCAATAGGAGCTTCTCCCTTTATTTTTGGTCTAGCTAGAGCCGTGCATTTATGTGAAAAAATTCAGTGACAAGGTTTCAAAAACAACCTAACACCGCAAATGTCTCCGCTCCTGCGAAACCTATGATTTGACATGATTGGCAAATATGTTTATATATTTACATCAACAAGACAGCTATATGCACTTTGAACTTGTGTTGGACACTACTGTGGCGAATCATAACTGGGGCGAATCGTCACATCACTTTACATGATTTTAGCATGACTTGTTTTCTTTTGGTGTACTCACATATGATATATGAATTATCAGTTCATTTACCTGAATATTAAGCTTATCAGTTTATCTTTATAACTAGAAATAACACAAGGATTTCTGAACAAAATAACAAAGACATAGACTACCGCCAACTAAGTTTTCAACGGAATTGTCAGAGGCTTCCGATAATCTGGTTCCCATTCTATTAAATTCCCAAAAGTAGACTGGTCCCCTGCGCACTTCTAAAAACGGATGGGAAAGGCGGTGGGTACAAAAATAAATATTGGAAAGTAAGCAACATCCACATGATTTCTTGATAACTTGTCTGATAAAAATACGGTAAAACAAAAAATGAACACTACGCGTAATCACAGTCAAATGAAATGGCGTCGAAAGAAGATTCAATAAATCTGAAATATTCCGCGAAAAACGAGTGATTTTGTTCCCAAAATTTTCGTCCCATTACATATTCCAAAGTATGATAAGACTTCAAAGTCTTATAACAAATTCATAATTATTTCAATTAAAAAAGTGAATAAAACTGTAATTTCGACAAAGAAACGGTCCAGTTCTAGTTGTAACAGATGATCTCAGGGCATTTTTTTGTCAAAATTGTGAAGGGGCCTGGGCCTGTTCATTTTGTGAAAAAAGCGCCATATGTCATAAAATTGTGAAGAAAAACGAATGACATATAACTTGGCATTTCGCAACATTTTGAAACTGGAAAATGGTTGATTTTAATTTCTGACCTGGGTAAAATCTGCTTCAAGTCAGTACATTAACCCGGTTAACATGCCCAAAAACTATATATCTTGATTAAAACTATTTATGTGTTATTGCAATTGGGAAATCAAGTTTAACCAGAAGGTAAACAATGTATTTCGAAGACAAAGTCCCAATATTTTGTGAAATCTCTCTTGAAATTGTGATTTTTTTTCTGCCTATTTGTGAAAAAAAAGTGCAATTTTGAATTGTGAAGGGGCCTTATATCGGTAATGTAACGATTCGCCACACTAACGATTCGCCACATAACAATTCGACACAGAGTTATAACGACTCGCCACAGTTAAATAACGATTCGCCACATGTTCAAATACAAACTTGTTCACACCTGTTTTCAAATTGTTGACGGAAAACTTTTTTATAATTTATATTTCATTTGTTAATTACATAAATAAATTACACTGAATAAAGCTTTTATTGAATAATAAAACACACGAAAACCAGATATTTTATTAACAAAATTACATAACACATTTTATAACTTCGTTATTGATATAAACTGGAAAAATATACTAACAACTTTTATAGAATAAAAACACATGAAAATAAATATTTTATTACCAAAATTACATCACACATTGTAGATGAGAAAAACTTCGTTATTCCAGGTAAGTATATTAACATACGTACCTGGTTATTCATAAAAACTGGAAAATTATATGAAAACAGCTTTTATTGAATAAAGACACATGAATATTTTATTACCAAAATTACATTACACATTGTAGATAAGTTAAACTTCGTTATTTACAGAAAGATGAAAAAAGTATTCGTTAATATGGGAGATAACGTCATAACGTTATTACCGAGAGATTACTTTCCCTTGCACCATAACGATTTTAAATGACCTTGGTTGTTTATTGTGTAGTCTATTTATAGATAAATTATTGGAAAAACATGCTGACGTAAAATTATGCTAGAAAAACGTCACTGAATGTTTACTTCTGCGCTTATTTTGAAATGGGTAGAAAAGGTTCAGAATTGACCATTGATGTAAAAAATATTGCTGTTTGTATGTATAATTATGGAATGTCAATAGCGGAAATTTCGAGAACTCTTCAGAAACCTCACAGTTCCATATCATCTGTTTTAAAAAAATTCAAATCATCAGGATCAGTGGAAAATTTACAAAGATCAGGCCGACCTCGATCAGTGACAGACAGAGATTATCGCCATCTTGAAAGGACTGTGAAGTGCAATCGTCGGGCTTCATTAGCAGACATAACGAGTAAATTTAATGAGGGGAGAGCAGCGCCAGTTTGTAAGAGAACTGTTCAAAATCATTTACATAAACATGGATTTTCTAAAAGAGTGAGTAAGAAAAGAGTTATTGTGTCAAAGGTGAATAGAGCAAAGCGCCTTTCTTGGTGTAGAGAGAAAAGAAGGTCTAAAGTAGTAGGTGAATGGGATCGTGTGATATTTTCTGATGAAAGTCAAGTTGTAATAGGCAGTGACAATAGAGTTTTGATATGGAGGAAGCGTGACGAAGGGTATAGACCTGATTTATTGACTCCGAAATCTTCCAATAACAAGAAGGTGATCAAAGTGATGATATGGGGGTGTGTCACTTGGCATGGTGTTGGTACTCTAGCGAAAGTCAGTGGTAACATTAATGCTCAAAAATACGAGGAAATTTTAGAAGAAAATCTTTGGCCAGTTATTGCTCGTCATTTCCCCGATAACTCCTACACTTTTCAGGACGACAACGCACCTGTTCATCGTGCACGCAGTGTCAATCTTTATAAGACCAGAAACGGTATAAAATCCATGTTTTGGCCAGCACAATCACCTGATTTAAACATAATTGAAAATATCTGGTTATATATTAAACGGAAACTTTCAAACAGTACAGTTATCATTAACAGTGAGCAGATATTATTTGACGAAATTTTTCGGATCTGGCAAGAGATTACACCCGCCTATGTTCAGAGCCTGTACAAGTCTATACCACGGAGAATTATGCAAGTTATAAGGTTCAAAGGGCATTTAACTAAGTATTAAACTTAGTAAACCGAGTTTAAAAGTTAGTTTACTCGTTCAGTTAATGTTAAAATCAAGTTTGAAGTTATGTATGTAAAAGACAGAAAATCCAATATGGCCGCCAAATCACGAATACTTTTTTCATCTTTCTGTATATAAACTGGAAAATTAAAAGAAAACAGCTTTAATTGAATAAATGACAATAAATATATTTTATTACCAAAATTACATCACACATTTTAGATAAGTTATTTATATAACTAACATATTGTATTACAAAATTTACATACATAAGCTTAATTGCCGCATTGTTTTGAAATCTGCTCACATTGTCAGATAATTAAAGGATTATTTCGGTGTCAATTTAATATTTCTACAATTTAGGGCGATTGGCTTGTTAAAATAAAAGGTGTGACAAATGGTTTAGATATGCGTTCTTTAATCAATTATCGTAATGATCACATGTTTTTGCAATATCTTTTTTTAAATATTTGACATATATATAAATGAATGGTAATGATATTGTGATGTTCTTTGTTCCTTTTTTTGCTTTTGTCATGTGACCATAGAATTATTATATTTGTAGTTATTGTATGTAACGAGATACTGTAAATGTATAAGTTACCGAAATAAACTATAGACCCTTCTTAATATTGCCTCATACATATTCATAGATTTCTCAGAACGAGGCTAACAGGGCAAGCTGTGGTATCTGCTCTATGTAAACATATCACGAATATATGGTAGTCCAACTAATTGTACTGCGCGACGAGATATTGTGCTATTTTCGTGTCTGGGCAATATCTCGCCTCTCTAAAGCGAGATTCTGCCCCAGAACAAAAATATCTCAGAATCAAGCTTTGGCGCGTCAATATATTTTGACTAGAATATATGGCCGAAAGATTTTTCTACAGTGTCAGAGATCTTGATAATGTTCTGTTTGCTACATACTTGTTGAGAACTATATTTAATATTAAAAGATCTTCTGGAGATGAATAAATCAACAAAGGGTTTAATTTACACTATATACAGTGAAGGTCATACAAGACCTGATAAGTCAATTAAAGTTTATGATAATTCCAAGTAATTTCTAATATTCTTTGTCAGTATAAATATCAGGTTAACTCTTTGCAACTTAAATAGACATTATCTGCGTTATCAGTATTTTATTGCTAACCTCAACACATGTTGGTCAAGAGTGTATTAAGCAATTTACTGATAATAGATGTAAACAGTTGGATGCTGAATTCTGTACCATACTTCCCCTAAATTTAGCTATTGAAATAAAAAAGTTTTATTCACTTTGTATTTAAAAGTAAAAAATTCTGGATGACTCTCTAGAAACTGGTTAATTTTACAGACAGCCTAATCAAATCAAAATGATATTCACATGAAAATAGCGGAATTAGTACTCAGGAATTTTATGAATACTTTTCTAAATTGAGTGATGATTTGCCTGATGTTTACAATGATAATGTTGAACAATTCTGTAGCAGTCACAATTTTGTAAATGAGGAATGTATTTTTGAAGAACTAGATTCTCCAATAACGGCTGTAGAAATTGAATACGTTATACGTTATTTGAAGAAATGTAAATCCTTTGCGGGTGATCAGCTTTTAAATGAATATTTTATTGAATCTTCAGATATACTGATGTCACATTTAGTAGAAATTTTTAACGGTATATTGGATAACGGTGTATTTCCAGATCAGTGGATGAATAGTATTATCGTTCCTTTATTTAAGAAAAATGACCCATGTGACGTAAAAAATTATAGATGTATTACTTTAGTGAGTTGTTTTTCAAAGATATTTACAGGGGTTTTAAATAAAAGGATTTCCGATTGGGTTGAAAATAATAATGTTGTTAGTGATGCCCAGTTCGGTTTTCGTAAGAATCGTTCAACTATTGATGCAATATTTGTATTAAATGCTATTGTTAGTAAAATTTTAAATGAAAATGAAAGACTGCCATGTGCTTTTATCGATTTTAAAAAAGCATTCGATAGTGTATATCGTAATGGTCTGTGGTTTAAGCTTTATAATGTTGGACTCAGAGGCAAAACATTAAATATTTTACGAAGTATGTACTCTAAGGTTAAAGTTCATGTCAGAGGTTGTAAAACATATTCAGATTATTTCGAATGTTCAATAGGATTAAAACAAGGGGAGGTAATGTCCCCTTTACTTTTTTCATTATTTTTAGAAGATTTAGAGTTATTTCTCCAAGATGACGTAAACTCTGGTATTAGTTTTGATGAAGTTGCTTTTATACTTATGTCATTTGCAGATGATATGGTCATCTTTGGGAAAAATACTTCTGACTTACAAAAGAATCTTGATTTATTATTCACGTATTGCAGTACTTGGGGATTAGAGGTTAATCCGGATAAAAGTAAAATTGTTGTTTTTAGAAAACGTGGGCCTTTAAAGCATGATGAAAAATGGACTTATAACAATATGCATATAGAAGTGGTTTCTAACTTTAATTACCTTGGCACAGTTTTTAATTATACCGGAAATTTTA